AAAAAAAAAAAAAAAAAAAAAAAACCTGACAGGGCCCCCGTAAGGCGCTACGCACTGGTGTTTGATGCGGGCCTTCACGCGCCATCAGTAAATTTTCACCTCCACCTGCTCTTGACTCTGACTCCACCAGCGGCTCCTCCAAACACAGCACGGGGCGCGCACGTCACAATACGAAAATTTAACCTCATGGATCGGGAAAGGCACGGTTTGCTTCGGGTCGTTATGGATCCTCTGACTAAGTTAATGGAACATTCATGGAAGCCTCGTCGAAGAAATGACAAAATACTCCGGTGGCCGGCAGCAGTCCACGATCTGACATGAATCGAGCGATGTGCAAGGACAGGCACACTTCGAATTAAACGTCAAGAGATCCGCTGTGAAGATCCGGTTCGATTCTGACTCAAGCCGGGTGCGCACTCCGAAGCCGAGTTCTGCACACCGAAGCCGAGCCCACGAACTCGGCTTGGAAGCATCGTATCAACAGTAATTTCAAGCCGTTGAGCGAACCGAACTGCCTACTCCCACCGTTCACCCGCCCACCCCAGTAGGCAACTAGCTAAGCTCAGAATGAAAGGAGTTTGCGGGAAGGATGGCCCTAGGCTGAGTTCTCCCACTCTCCTCTCCTGGTGACTAGCCATTGCTCCGTGCCCTCCCATTCTCCCGGCGTGTAAATGCCCACTTTCGTCGGCGGTCGGCGTCCGCCATTGTGAGGGATCGGGGGTCCGATGACGGATGGCCAGAAAATCGAACCATGATCTTCATTCAACACGGGATGGTGGGTGGGTAATACGCAACCCTCAGGCCAGTTTGTCACATGACCGGATCTGGGACGGACAAGTACGGGCGTGGAGTCATCGCTCCTGTGAAGATGACCGCCCGGAGGTTGGTAAACTTGCCTAACATGGGAGCATAGGCGAGAATAGGCGTATCTGGGTAGGAGGGGCGAGTCGGCACATTGCGATTGAGACAACATCGAATCCCATGGGGTTCATGTGATGGGACGCTGCGGTACGGCCGCGGTGAACTACTGATTTCGGTCAAGTTCGTGAGAATTGAGAGCTCCCCAGACCTTCGCTTGATTCCCATGGGGTTCCCGCTAAGAATTGCCCATCCAAGCGGGGAGGATCAGTAGGCTGGTGAGTAGTGAACATGGGATATTTCAAGGCAGACCTGAGCTGTAGGCTCCGATATCGGCAGACCAGTGTGCTTCCGGTGTACTCTGTATTTGGGTGCTGGGCTTTGTGTCACAGCAGCACAACAGGCCTACTGTCATGCTATTACCTACCGTCGCCGAACTGCAAACTGGGGTGATCAATCTCGATTTGGCTTGCCTGTCGCTTTTCGGTCATTCCCGATATATCGCCTGATATTGGCATAGATTCCCCTTTCCACACTCGATCTCGCCCCGGTGGAAGCTGACGACCCCCCAAGCAATGGAACATTCCAAAACAACACGAATCGAGATCGTGTGGTCCAGTCCTTTTGCTCTCCTCTGACTCATGGGGCCACGGCGACACTCGATTCGAGATGCTCGTTCGGCTCGCCAGTTGTCGGCTTGGCAATCTGTTACGTACAAAGGCGGCTCCTAGGTCCGTAGCTACTTGAGCCGCTCCGCTATAATTTCCTAGCTCCTCGGAAACAGGCGAGAATAAGCACGTCGGGAATTGTGCCTTAGGAAAGCCCTGCACCCTTGACGAATCATTAGAGTCCTTGACAGGGTCTTGTGGCAGAGGTGGACCCGCGAGGTGCTGGCCAAGTCAATCCTGCGCCTTCTGAACCATCGTGAAATGCTTCAATAGCCTCTTGCTCCTGAGCGTGCTGTTACATCTGATTCATGCGGGCCCAGTCTCTTTGGGTGTCGCCTGCTGAGAGTGGTTAGTAGGGGGCTATTTCTTCCGTAAGAAGATCCATCCCGTGGACTCTACTAATGGGCACCGTCTTGGGTGGAGAGATTGATAAAAAAGTCTGGTGGTGAGCTTGCGCTTTTATGGTCAATTGAATGATTTTCTCCTGATCATGAGCGCGACGTGACCTTGATGAATGGCAATCATGTAGGGGGCTATTCACAATTGTTGGATAGATCATACGTACGGAGATATTCACACCACTTACTGTTACATTGAAGTCTTACACCAGGGCTATGGGAGAGAAGAGAGATGAGATGAGAGATGACACAAACCGGGCACACACACGTGGGCTGTCAACTTGGTAAGGAGGGAGGAGTGAAGGCAGATGTTCCAAAGAGGGAGGGGGGTGTGCGCTGTTCGCAACTGAGATTCGTCGATTCGAGAAGCAGGGGGAGGGGGGTGAAGAAGACCCAGAGAAAATTTTCTTAACCATGAGACTGGAAGAATCTAAGAGAGCTCTTAACGGGAGCGGGCAAGCCAGAGCGACGACAAGGCTGGGAGGAGGGGCTCCCCGCTGGCCAACAAGGAGGCGGGCCCATGTAGGAATGGGCAATGGAGGTGCTGTATTATGAGCTGATATGATGTGCGGCGGCCATCGGGGCGCATGTCTTGCTTAAATTTTCTCTTGTTTCGCTCGCAGATCGGAATGGGCAGGATGGCCCACCTGGAAAACACCGGGGCGGAAAATTCTGGATGCAGCTGTGACCAGTCTTTAATGGCTGTGGAACCTGGTGCCTGGCAACCAGCCACGGCGGGAATAATCAATAGATGGGCTGGATGTCATGATCGATGGCGGGAGATGATGGTGGTAGCTCGTCGTGATGCTCCTCTCAGGGTCCAGCCAAGCCATTGGGCGTGGCTCTTGTCGTGATTGGCCACAGGAGAGGCTCTGCTCGAGCGCAATGTCCAAGCGCTTTCTCGACATGTTTGTCGACATGTCGGGATGTAATTGCGGCATCAGGTTTGCGCACCGCCGTCCATTGCGGGTGCGCCCGGTGGATCGTCGCCGGCTTCTATCGGTCACGATCGGAGTTGGCACGGTGTACTGCCTATTTCTTACGTTATTTCAAGGTAAGGCGGACCTACACCGTACATTGAGATGTTTCGAGCCTCTCCACAGAGCTAGGATGTGAAGCGACGCTGGCGGGGGAGTGATATGTTCTCAATTGCACGGAGTAAGCATCTTTCAGCCTGAGCAAATTGTCGTGGCCCTCGCTGGGCGTTGATTCTACCAAGCCTAGCTGGCTAGCAGCAGAGTTGGGCAAACCTGCGCCGGACTCGGTCATCAAGGTGCGGTAAGGCGTGCGTGAGCCGCTGGGTGAGATTTGGATGGATGCGAATGTCATGGGACCAACCAACCGACAGAGTGATGGTGCCATCCACTTACCGGGTTTGGAAGGGCCATACACCGTGACTCGGCTCTTGACTGGCCTGCTCACTCTGCTTTCCGTAACAGACCATGTTTCCAGCACCCCATCTCATCTGTCCATTTTTAGGCAACTTGGTGAGGGGGGTGCACGAAGCACAAGCGCCCACTGGGCCAGGCACCGGACCTCTCCCGTGTTTCTTCTCGTGGCCGGCAGCGCAACCGCCAATTGCTCTCCTGCGACGGCGACGGCGTTTTAGGCTGTATGCTGTGCCTGGTGTCTCATTCCAGAGCAGGCCACTTGCGCGGAGGCTTGTGTGTGTATGATGCTTGGCTGTGGTTGAAAACATACAGGATTGGCCCCTAACCGGTTATGCATTAACATTAAGGTTCACATGATCCAAACCTGTAATTTTTCAAAGTTTGTCCCCTGATATGATGGCACAACGCACGCTTGCATGCAGAGCAAGGCAGATGCGGCAAGTGAGGCGTCTGCGGTACATGTGGTGGTACTTGGGCAGCCTGTGGCCGTGCCAATCCAATGGCCTCGAGAAGCGAGCGTCGTGCCGCCAGCCGCCAGCGCTTGGACTCCTTTGCTGCTGGCAGGTTCTCTGGGCTGAAGCAAAGACTTCTGGGCCCGGGACGCGGCCGGGTACCTGCAACATCTGGACGATTCGCAGTGGATGAGGAAATGAGGAAAAACTTGCCTAGTGCGTCCAGGGCACGTTCACGCCTCGAGCACACCCTATAGGCCTTCTGAGGGGGTGCGGGTGCTCCACTGGCCATTAAGCAATGCAGGGGACTGGGGCCCTGGCACAGTCACTTCTGAGCCGAGCTGGTTTATGACACATAGATTGTCCATGGCGACATGATGGCGAAACCAGGGAAAAAGTTAGCTTCCGTATATAAGTTTCCCGCTCCTGGACGAGATGGAGGCTTCTCCGAGATCTGTAAGATTCGCCAATTCACTGTCCATCATCAGAAACCCAGGTTTGTTCTGACGACCCCGGATCTGCATACCCCGACCCAAGCAAGCATTGCAAGCCCTGCCCGAAGACTATCAGTCTTCATTGCACCTTCTATACCATTCTATTATACAAGAACAAGACTCGAACAAAAGGAATCACCAACCTTGACTCCTGCTCTGCCTGTGCCAGCAATCCTATCCCGCCCGCAAGCAGCAGTCGACGTCACTGCCGTCTGATTTCAAAGACACCGGCAATAAGAACTAGAGGGAAAAGGCCTTCCGCAGCCAATACCATCCATCCATCACCGCGCCGAACATAGTCTGGTGACGATCCCCCGGCTTCGGCATCATCTGAGCGCTCTCCCAGACGCTCTGCACCTCGCTAGCCAGACTTGCTTATTCTCCTCGGCACGCGAGCGCCCTCACTCCTTCGCCTACATTCGGTCACAGGGAGCGAGGGGCCACCCATTAATAATTCTACCATCACATACGCCGCTGGTCGGAGGTGATTTAGCATTTTTTTTGCTTTTTTCCCCAGCTACTCATCCTCCTGCCGCATGCGACAGGGTCGGATCCTTTGAACATAATTATTTAATTGTCACCCTTCCCCGGATCCTACCCCGCGCCGCCACATACGACACAGACAGCCAAGAGACTCGGCTCGGTTTTCTGCCTCTCTCTAGGACTGTCATTGGCATTTAAATCGGGTGATTCGTCTTTGCAATTGCCCCTCTTCAAATACAACCATCCCTCCTCTTACACACACTCTCACAACAACCACCCACAATGCCTCACAGAGTCACAAACTTCCTCAGGACTTCCTCTGGGAACATTGGCCAGATCAAAAAGGTAGCCACCAGCCGGAGGTCATCGCCCAGCCCCGATATGTCTGACCACGAAGACAACCACCACTCGCACGCTGTCGGTGCCATCAGAATGCCAGATCTCGCCGAGGCCCTGAAGGCCCACCGCCTTTCCCTTCACTTTGGCAAGAAGGAGCACAACTCGGCCGTCGCTTTAAATTATGATGTGGAGAGCCCTCCCATCGTCCTCCACGGAAACCCAGAAGAGAGCACCGGAGCCCTGTTTTCCGGCCAGATGCAACTCGAGGTCAAGGACGACGTGGTAGATGTCGAGACCTTCGCTGCTACTCTGAAGATGCATACCACCCACAAGCGACCGTTCCAGAACCACTGCTACGACTGCCAGAACCAGTTCACCGAGCTCAAGGCCTGGAACTTCCTCGCCCACCCAATGACCCTGAAGCGTGGCACCCACTACTTCCCCTTCTCAGTCCTGCTCGAGGGCCACTTGCCCGCCAGCATGAACACCTCAACAACCATCATCGCCTATGAGTTCAAGGCCGAGGCTAAGCTGAACCGCACATCCAGCTCCCAGCACCCCACAACTGTCAAGTTTGAGCGTGCACTGCACGTCAAGCGTGCCATGGTTGAGTCTGAGATTCCTCATCACTCGGTCCGCCTCTTCCCCCCCACCAACATCAAGAGTAGTGCCCACTACTCTACTGTCATCCATCCTACCGGCAAGAACACAGTCGAACTCAAACTCGATGGTCTCATGGACCTTAACGAGCAGACAAAGACTTTGAACCTCTGGAAGCTCAGGAAGGTCACCTGGAAGCTCGAGGAGACGGTCAAGACCGTCTCCCCCGCCTGTGACAAGCACCGCGTCGGTGGCGAAGACGAGGCTTCCAAGGGCGCCGCTCGAACAGAGATGCGCGTTTTGGGCGAGAAGCACCTCCACGACGGCTGGAAGTCAGACTACACCGGCGTTGATGGAACGGTCGACATGGAGTTCGACTACCAAGTCACCCAGCGCCGTTCCAAGGGAGATCTCAAGTATGCCTGCAGCGGAAAGTACCGCGACGGCACCGAGGTCACCCACTCGCTCCTTCTCGAGCTCGTTGTCTCCAAGGAATACGCACCGGAGGGCAAGCCACACATGGCGGCCCAGACCGGAACCGGCCGCATCCTCCGCATGCACTACGATATCATCATGTCGGACCACCCAGGCCTTGGCATCAGCTGGGACAACGAAGCCCCGCCTGTCTACACTGATGTGCCCGCCAGCCCGCCTGGATACGAGTTTACCGAACACTTGATCGAGTACGACGAGCTTGAGCTGCTCGATGCGCAGCGGGGTAGCCAGCCCCCCACGCGGAGACCCTCAACATCTGACTGATTTCTCACGACACTTGCACTTAATACATGATAATAATTCCAATGAAGGAATTCGGCCATGATGCAGAGAAGAACTCTGAAATGACGAAATGCGAGCCGTTAGAAAGCTTAGCGCACGTGGTTTTTGCATACACACATATACCCAAACAAGCGTTCTGGAATTAGCATTTGGTTTAAGCCTGAACGAACAATCTTCTGTTTTATGATTTCCCTAACAGGGAAACTTTCTACCTACATACATTTTATAATGTGTCTATTTTTTTTTTCGGAGTTTGTACTCCAGCACTGCCAAGTGAGCGGGCTGGGAATGATCCAGGATATAACGTCTCATTGAACATAAAAGGAAATGACGAACGATAAGGACATTTGTTTCTATGTATTTAAAAAGAAGAAAATGAGCTGCACAAAAAAATACAAATCAAAATCAGATGATCAAAAATACTCTCTCACATCGTGAACGCCCACTATCTCGCAGTAAGCACCGGCATCGCCGCTTACATGACCTCGTCCCGTAGATTCCCTTCTAGCAGTTGAAGATGTATGCCCTTGTAGCTAGTGATGTATGACTTAATCTACATGACCTAGCTCGAGATGCGACCCGACGTTGATCTTGAGCAGATAAGCAGTTTGCCACAGCTCCGATCACGCGGATATACCAGAGTAGCTCCCGTCACCAACGGGGGACTCGTTTCCCTTTCGGCAACCACCCGCCCTAAACAAGGGGTGTCTTTAGGAGACTCCTAGTCCGCCAGACCCGACGATCAGGAGATGGAGGCGGTCCGGCGCCGCGCGAGCCCAGTTCGGACCCCCGAGCGGGAAGATGAGGGTCCCCGGTGTCCGAGGCGGTGGGGACGAGAGAGGTTCTTGGCGAGGGAAGCTGTCTTGTCGGTGACCCACCCGGTGTCCGTGGCGTTTCCCCGGTCTTGTATGTAAGGGACCGGTGTTGTGGAACGGCGCGGTTGGGAGAGGTGGTGGGACAGAGGACGCCCAAGTGGCTGATGGCTGGTATTATATGATATGTTGTGGCACTGGCCTCCCACATTGGCTGGATGCAGGAAGTGAGTGTGAGGAGGGGCGTGGGGAGAAGGGAGTGGCACAAAGACCCTGAATTAGCTGACGGGTGTTGTGATATGTTGGGCAGACGCAGGAGGTGAGGGTGAGGGGATCAGACTAAAAACAAACAGATGAGAGGCTACCTGCAGGCTTGTGGCTGATGAGACGAGAGTTAACATGTACCATTGTGTTCTCTCCCGTTTTGTGGTAGTTTTTGTTAAGTTGGTGCTCGATCTCATGAAGTTGCATAACATGTGGGAGCTTACAGCTATTGATTACCATACTCCTTCACGAGCCTGTAATATGTACAAAATACCTTCCTAAAAAAAGCTGAAGAACAGGAGAAACGGTTCACATAGTCTAGGTCCATTAAAGTATGCTCGCTCTGCATGGAAGACTAGAGATGATTATATCTGGCCTTTAACTTGATATCTCAACCCAAAAATACCATATAATAGCCAGCCCAATAACACCCTATGCCTGAGCTAGAGAACTGGTCCGGGACCACCGCACACCAAACCAGTAAACAACCGCGCCGATGAGCCAAACCACAACCAGAATCAAAGCCTGGACTGGGGCAAACGAGGCCCCCCTGACCACCACGAACCCGCTCACAATGGCAAAGATGAACGGAATGGCAATGAAAGGCTTATAAGGACGCTCAAGACCAGGTTCCCGGTACCGCAGGACGATGGCGCCGACCACGGTGAGGAAGAAGAAGGCATACTCGCCAAGACCGTTGAAGGTGACGAGGTCACGGAAGTTGCCAACCGCAATGTAAACGGCGGACACGATGACGGACAGCAAGACGGCGTTGATTGGAGCGTCGTATCCGGACGGGTCCTGGGAGTCGTCGGAGTCTTCGGGCTTCTCGCGGAAGCCGATGCGGCCGACAATGGCGAAGAATCTCGGGAACCAGCCCTTGTTGGCCGCCGAGACGATCATGCGGCCGACGACCAGGGAGTTGCCCAGAATGGAGCCGGCGATGACGAGGCAGATCAACACGGCGGCGATAATGCCGAACTTGACGCCCAGGAGGCGGCTGATGGCGGTCTGTGGCAAATTAGCGGTAAGCCCTGAAGTCTTCGATGAGAAGTAAGGACTGAAAACGTACAACAGCAACACTGTCACTTGTGGAAACAGTATCCCATGGCAGGAGGATGTAGTATGAAGCATTGGCAACGATGAAGCAGAGGAAGATGGTGGGAATCGCCGTGTTGATTGTGAGAGGAAGCTGCTTTCCTGGGTTCTTGAGCTCAGACGAGATATAAATTGCCTATTACCATTAGTTAGCAGGCCACAAAGAGACAGTTTACAGAGTAGGCAGACCTTGTCCCAGCCCGAGTATGCCCAAAGAGCACCATAAACCGCGGCCGAGAAATGCCCTAGCAGCTCCCAAGAACTGAGCTGATCCCAGTCCGTAGCGCTCCCATCTGGATTGAGGGTCTGGCGGTTGCCAAACCAAGGCTTGGTGTACCAGTCCCGGCCACCAATGTCCTTCCGGTCTGGGCGAGCAACCTGGAGGACAATCACGGCCAGACCGGCGGCCACGATCAGGATGATGCTGGAGAACTTGGTTCCCAGGAAGAAGCCGCTGAGCCGGGTGCTGGTCTTGGTGCTGATGCAGTTGGCCAGGCTCACAACGAGCAGGACGAGGATGGCGAGGAGCTTGTGGAGCAGCGTGCCAGCCTGGTCAGTGGTGCCCAGAGCCGAGTATATGCTCTCTACGAATACGATGCTCAGGATGGCGAGCGTGGCGGGCATCACGGTCAATATCCAAGTCCAGGCCGCCAAGAAGCCGAATATGTCCCCAAAGATGTACTGGAGATAGGGCTGGACGCCGCCTACAGAAAACGCGCAAGGCGTGTTAGCACAGCTGTTTACATTTCCGAAATCTAGACACCAGAAAGTCTAGAATGAGAAAAAGAATCAATTGGAAATTGCATACCCTCTCCGGGGATTGCTGTACCGAGCTCTGCCAACGTACTCGCGCCGGACCAAGCCAGGATCCCGCCGACGAGCCACATGACGAGGGCCATGCCAGGTGAAGGGACATTGGTGTCGATGGCACCGGGAGAGGTGAAGACCCCACTGCCGATGACGATGCTGACGAGGATGCCAAAGGCCGCTGCTGCGCCGAGGGAGGGCGCGAACGTCCCTCGTTGGTTCACCGGCTCGGCTTGCTGGCCGTCATCCCTGGCGCCGAGCAAGGGCTGGCGAACGTCTTCCGCTGCAGGCTGCTCTGAGGCCATTGTGAGCGGACTCCAGCTGTCGTTCTATATCGGTCCAAGAGTTGGGTAGTAGGCAGATGCTGGCAGGAGCGTGTGTGGAGAGGAGGATGAGGAGGAGCACTGGGAGGCTGGTGGTGGTGCTAGAGGATGGCGCAATCGGCAATCGTGGGGATGCAATGAGTAGCATGCGAGTGTCACCATCAGTCGGGGGACAGCCCGTGCTACACACAGGAAGGAGATGGCAAGCAGCGGGAGATGTACGCTGATGGGGGTTATCTACAAAACTCTGTTGCAATTGATATTTTATTGAGGCTTAATGCATTGCATCTGGTGATGAGGTCACGGAAGGAGGCTGATACCGACTCAGGATGACATGGGAATTTGCAGGCATCTGACTCACTATTATTTTGGTGAGTACAGTGGAGTATCACTGAAGATGCCTCATCACTTGATTAAGCCTGGTTCTATGGATGAAGAGTTAATCCAAATATCCCTTCGTATTAAAGAAGCTAAAAAAAAAATTAGAGAAGAGTCGCATGGGCACTTCCGACCGTCATCCTTCAGGACTGACTGCATGTAGGCTTTATGCACATCATGGGACATTGGTAGTGGTGGTGTAACGCGGGCTGCGACAGACATGTGGTTGATAGAAGAAATTAGGCACATTGAAGGACGTTTATGAGCAGGTCTTTTCTATGGCGATTAGAAGAATTTAATGATATAAAACAATATAAATTAACAGAATTCAATGGATTCTATCGGGCATTTAGATTGGCCCCTCGATAATCAGGCAACCCCTCGAACAAGCATTACTCTCCATGCTTGAGCGCCTGAAATTCAATGTCACCTCAGGTATTTGACCGGTAAGCCACAACACCCAAAGTTCTTCTATCAACAACCGCGTCGCTCCTCAATTCCTTGCGGAACCAACCATATTTACACTCTAGATTCCGTCGATTTCATCCCACCCATCGTCGTCGTACGAGAACAGGCGCAGGATCGCCTTAGCCACCTCTCTGCCGTCATGCTCTATATCCGCCGTCTCCTTGGCCCGGTCCGCATGCTGACGATCTGTCAACGACCCGGCTTCCTCCCGCATCTCGATTTGCCTCTTGACCATGTCCTCGTCGAAAGCAAGATGAGCCTGGGTCGTGAATAGCCTCTTCTTGATGAATAGCCCCTGCACCGCGGTATGCTCGCTGCGCCCCCAGCACTCGACCTTGGTGCCTGGCGCGAGCAGCCCACCGGCCGTCTCAGAGCTGGGCGGCGCTACGACTTGGTCTTGATGCATCTGGTGTAGGTAGACCGTGTCGTCCTTGGTGCGGAAGAGTCGCTGGCCCGTAGATGTGAGCGTGATGGCACTATGGCCTAGTTCCCAGTCACCCTTGGGCGATGGGGCGACCTTGGCCCCCAAGAGGCGCGAGAGGAGCTGGTGCCCAAAGCATACTCCCGTGAAATAGAACTTCTCCTTCTTCAACCAAAGTTCTAAGCGGCAGCATGGCTTAGTAGCAGTTCGCAAACGGGAGCGAGTCACTTTTGCCTCCACACTCACCTCGTAGTAGCTCGAGCAAGTCAAGAATCCATTGGTTGTTTCCGTGGGCATCATACATGCTGCCCGTGATTAACAGCCCGTCAAAGCCGTCAAACTCATCACACGTTGGTAGCCGGCCACCTTGCTCGGTGACGACAAAGACTTGGTCCGTCTCAACACCAAGCGGCGGATGGTGCTCTTTGCCCGCTTCCGTGAAGTGGTGGTGGAGGATATCCCCAAATGAACCCTTCTCAGTCTGAGTATCAGGATGCGGCATGTCGGTCTCGAGGACCATGACACGGACCACGGGCGCATCAATTTCAGGTTTGTCGTGCCTCGACATGATGGTGTATAACAATTGCACTGAAGATCCAGACCAACTCGCGATCCGTTTAGGTTTACAGTCAGAGTAGAACTATGGTAAAAGACTCAATTTGCCTTTTGATGACTGCGTGATTAGACCATGGTCGATGGTGGTCTTTATTGGGCTTCATTGCGTCTATAGTAGTGCCGTTGACGCGTCCAGCTTGGCAAAACCCACGCTTTGCTCATGTTTCCCACATCTAAGCAGAGTCTTTGGTGTTTTGGGTGATGCCCAGGCTTGATTACGTAAATTTGCATTGGCATTCTCACAATGACGACAATGAGTATCCGCCGACAATGGGGCATATTGGCTATCCACCGACTTGTTACCTAGCTCAGGCCAGGCGGTTAGCTTGTAGCAGAAGCGGCTGTCTAACCGTCGAGGGCGTCTCGCAGTGTAACTGGCATGAATTCATGTAATTAGCGTATGCAGGTGCTGCAGGTTTTGGACTTTTGAGGTGATTGCCAAGGTGGATTGATCTTACAACCACGCTGAAAGACGGCCCCCAACTTGGTCGTAATATCCAATTGTATTTTGGAAACTGCTCCAGATGGATGACGGCTTGCAGCGCAGTCAACATGGAGGGGCCAAGGCAGTTAGTAGCTACCTGTGGGGTAGGTAGTTTAGGTGTCTTGCAGCTCTACGTGTCCCCTGTCGGTGGCCCCGGCCGAAGTGAAACTGCCATGCGCGCTGTGCTCCGGCCAAATGACGCACTTGATTGGCTCAAGGCCTGCGCCGCCGCTGTGGTGGGTGTTTTTCACAGGCTTCCGGCCGCCCAGCTTGCGGGCTCCATTCACAAGGCCATGACAATAGGAGGAACATCTGCTGCTCTATTTTTGTCGCTGGCGGATTCTATTTAACAACAATGGAGGGCCATTGAGCAACACGACGACCAAGATGGCCTGCCGTCTTGCGCCCGCGCGAATAAATACGCGAGGCCTCGTTTCTTTTACCTTTTTAATTGCATCTCAATCAGCCTCTTCGTCTATTTCGCGTGGCATCCCTTCCTTAAAAACCTTCTTTCGTCTTTGGCGTCGGCTAGTCGAATACGTCACCCGATCAGCGATCAAGCCTTGGCTCTCACTCACACAAGCAAAGGTTCTTCAACCCCGCCTTGGCTTTCATTTTAAACCCGGTCCTTATAAGACATGATCTATCACAATCATCCCAGCACCCATTCATAAAAACTCAAAGACACATTCCATAGTCAATCCGGATTTGTCTCCCACTATTTGAGACTCACACCTTGTCTCTTCCCAAACAAAGAAAAACCACCACGATCTACGCTGTCTCTATCTCTACACGCCGGCCTCGCCATATAAAACAAGATGCTCGCCAGCAACATCTTCCTTTTCGCAGGCCTGCTCACCACTGCCGCCGCCGCGCCGCTTGCTGCCAGCCCTGGCGACATCCACAACGTGATCTCTCCTAGATGGGCCCTACGAAAGACCATCGAGTGCACCGAAGAGGATGCCCAGAGAGCCGGCTGCCTCGGCGGCTGCGACAGATACTACAGCTCCGGCGTGGTCTGTAAGCACAGCGAGAGGGCGGAACGGGCCCATCAGGAGCAGATGAGGTCGTCGGCCTCGACCCAGGAGAGAGACGAGGACCGGCCCATGTATTTCTGGGGTACGCCCGGCAAGGGTATCCAGAGCGTCACTCCGGGGCATTGATTTTATAAATTATGACGGATCGGGCCTGGATTGCCCTGAGATTTGGCGTTTGGAACTTGGAAGGAGTTTCTTTATCTACCTAATGATGGATATACCCTTATGACTATACCCGTGGCTGTAAATGAGCAGATAGCTTAGAAGAAATACAGAACGATCTTCATGTCTCTTTCAATGATTTTGGACTTAAGTTCAAACAACACTGTTTGTATCCTCGTGAGTGGTAAGACGGTGTAGATGAAATTCATTGCTTGAACACTTCACTGGATGGAGTAAGTCGTCCACAGTTAGACATCAACATTGAATTAATTTTCAATCCGATCCTAATAATAAATAACCCGAACAGTTAACACATTGATAGAGAAATTATTCTAAGACAGTTTATTGAGTGATTCTTGCGGTTGCGATTGTCAATCAACGTACACAAGGTTTGATTTCACGATCATCACGAGAAAAGAAATAAAGTTGCCAACTCAAAGCAAGCCTGAATTTTGTAAATACGATTTACAGACCCGTTCTATCCCGTAATGTGATGAATCCGAATATGGACTAACTGATCGGTGTATTCTAGAAAATCACTTCCATCATTTCCGTTTTTTACAGGTAGGCCGAAAGGTTGCACTTGATGGAAGTGTGACAACTACTGTTCAAAACGAGAACTTGCTTCGAGGTCGATTATCCGCCTTACTTTTCGGTGATTTCCATTAGTTGTTTAATGTAGTAAAATCCAATGCAGCATCGCAATATCATTCTGTGTAGCGTCATTCGGTCCGTTAAGACATATCGTGGAGGTAGGCAAGCGAAAACGGGAGGGAACTAATCCATCAATATAACCCACAGCTATCCCCACCCGAGTTTTCGTCGGTTCCAAATCATTCGACTACATCTTCCTTAGTAACAAGCTCCTCCTGATCCAGGAGGGACTTCATCTCCTTGGCCAGCTCCTCGGCGTTGTGTATTCGTGAACAGCAGGAGGGCGGTGTTATCTGAACATCAATGCTTTATTCGACCTCCCAAGGCATCTGGCTCTTTGACGCTCCCCCGAGGAGTCATTTGTTCCAGAAATTTTCTCCAATGGCTCGCTTTTTGTTTTGGGGAGTCCATCCTCGCGGCTGAAACCTCACTGGCCTCAACGGGTTTCGTCGGTTGGCTTCTGCCCGACTGTCGCTGGCTAGATACCAGTTTCTCGTCGGCAATTTCCTCTCCGGGGCGGATAACTCGATAGTCTTCATCGGCGAATGTCTCGATATCTCCAAAGAAGATATGGAACTTGTAATTGTTGTTGATGGACATTCTTGATACTCGAGTGATGTAGAGAAATTCTTAAAATTTAGGATAAATTTCTGTCGCGGACTACCTAGGTAGTGTTAACTCAACTTCAACTTGGGACTAAAACACAGAGTGAAATCACCTTTTGGCTAGATATACCAGGATGTGTTCCAAATATGACTGTGCGAGATCATCCCTTGGTGTTATTTATAATTCTTCTATTTCTTCTTGTCGCAAACCTGGTAGATCCCATGATCAAGCGACATATAGCGATGATCACAACTAGCTTTTCTGCCATGTCTCTAATTGAACTTAGTAGGGAAAAAATACACACGTCTACAAAGGTACTTAGCCTTATGCTTTTACAGCACAACTGTTTCAGCATGCCATGTGCTGTGTCAAGTCGATCCGAGCAGGGGTAGTCCTCCCAACGAAGTTTAACTCTCGTGTTGATTTAAAGCTTGAACGAGGAAGGGAAGCATGGGATTTTTCTTTCCATAAGATTCAGAGACATGTGCTACCCCGTCATGAAATACCTAATTATGAAACCGCCTAAGCTAGATGAACTGTGTTTCTTCGCAATTCATTTCGCCTTTGCGTCTCAGTAGCATGATGAAAAGTGCACTCAAGGAGGTGTAATAGCCCTCCGAGAAAAAGAGAAGTTTTGGCCCAGATCTCTTACCAGTCTTATTGCAGTCGATGTTCATTCGTTGTTCCAGCAGTAAAAAATGATTCCGTGAAGCGTCACTGATATCGACATTCATTTTCCAGGACAAAGTCGTAAGAAAATTTGTCGTAGTGTCGTCCGATTTCCGTGTTGACTTTCCAACAAGATTCGTTCCAGCATCGTACTACTCTTTTCAATTTACAATCACTCTGGATATCCTAACCAGTCTTTTCCGATCACTTATACCCCAGCCTAGAAGGCCTCGTCGCGATGTTTGCGGGTTCTCAGGTTCACTTGCTCTGCCCCTTGTCCCCATTTCATTTTGCAACCCATTCCTCCATCATGCGATTCCAATTCCGGCTGAATATACCAAAAGAACGCACGCCAAACATGATTGAAAGAACTTTCTTTTATTCTAGAATTGTACAATTACGCTCGCTCTATAGTTCATCCTTGCCCTCATCCAACTTGTCGGACCCCCAGTAAAACGTCAAAATGTCCACACCAAGATACTCATCCTTGTAGCTCTTGGTCACCTCACCGTCGGCTGCAGCGCCCGCACAGACAATCTACCCAACTGTTAGCATAAGTCTATCGCGCGAAGAATAGGTAGTACTCACAAGAGGGGTTAGGTGCTCTGAGGCTCCTGGAGGGTGCATGACCTGCGAGCCCGGAAACGATTTCCACTGCTGGATGCCCCCCCACCGCTTCTCCGACTCGGTGCCCTTGAGCGCCTCGGCCAGCGCGCCGTTCCATGCCTCCGAGATGCCCCTCACCTCGGCCTTTTGCACCGGGTTGGCGTGGCGCATGGCCATCATGATGCGAATGTTGTGGAAGGAGGCGAAGCCGGAGCCGACGATGGCGATGTTCTTCTCGCGCAGCTTCTGCAGGGCGCGGCCGATGCGCAGGTGCGACTCCGGATCTTCGGTCTCCAGGACGGACATTTGCACGATGGGCACGTCGGCCTGGGGGCGGGCCAGGGTCATTGGGACGAAGACACCATGGTCGAAGCCGCGACGAGGGTCGAGGCGGGTGTTGTTGAAGCCCTCGGCCTTGAGGAGATCAGCGATCTCAGCCGCGATGGCGGGGTCGCCCTTGGCGGGGTACTTGAGCTCGTACGACTCCGGAGGGAAGCCGTAGTAGTCGTAGATGAGGTCCGGCTGCGCGCCGCTGGAGATGGCTGGCGACTTGGTCTGCCAGTGAGCTGTGACGAGGACGATGGCGCGGGGCCGGTTGGCGGGGGAGTCGAGCGAGAGGAGCTTGGGGATGCGCTTCTCCAGCGAGTCGATGATGGTCTTGTGGTCAGGGTCGCCCAGGATCGGGAGGGGTCCTGGCCGGATCCGAGTGTTAGTATATGTAATGTAATATCAGACACGGGATTGGCTGATGAGGAAAACTCACCTCCTCCATGGGACAGAGCAATGACGGGGGCGAGAGCCATCTTGGAAGCGTTGGTTGTTCGGAAGAGAGCCCAAGCTGAGATGCCAGCAACAGCGCCAACAGATGCAAGCAGCCTCATCGTCTGCGTCAGCCTATTTATTGTTTGTCGGCCGGTGCTCCTCCAGCCTTAGCCTACGCACCATCAGCNGGGGGGGCGGAATATTGCTTATATATTCCACGGCCACAGACCAGATTCTAGATTCAGGATTTACCTATTTGGGACCAAACGGCAATGCCTATGCCGGAGAGGGACCATCGAGGGGCCGCGGGAGGTTGTCCTCGACCGCTTTAGCTCAACCGCCTGCTCAGATCCACCGCATGTGTGGCTTTCCCGCGGTGCTCTGTCATAACCGCGCGGCCCGCCCACAATTGGCTTTGTCATGTACAGTTCCGCCATCGCCGCGAGATCCCTGACTACATGTACCAGTTTGGCTTTGTCATTCGAGTCTGAGGCTGGAATGTGCAGTTCCACCAATAATCCTCTCCCGCCTTGCCGTATTTCCGAATGTCGTCCGACCGTCACAACCTCACCGACTGGTCCAATGTTGTATCACTTGGTCCTCGATTTCTCCGAATACATGACCCTCTGTCAGCTGGGAGACCTCCTCGCGGCGACGAAGAGGTTTGCAACAGGGCAGGCCCGTCTGCGTTACTTATGTAACCTTATTCCTCTACTAATAGCTGGTATCAGGGTGCAAGTCGATGCGAGTAGGAGCGGCACTTGAGCCTAGCAGCGATTAAATGTTATGTAAGTTTAGGCTGTTTAAATGGGTGGCTCGAGTTCACGATCATTATGAAGAAGTAGGCATGCTTTTCATAAAGAAGATCCAGAGGCATATGATGCCCAGTCGCTTAATAATTACGAAACTGATTTATATTCCCTTGTACCTAGGTTGCTTCATCTCAATTTCGCAGTAGCAGTTGGAATGATCAGCTCAAGGAAATGTCATAACTGCTGCTAAGTGAAGAGAAGTTCCAACCTGGCTATGCAAAATCTTTCTTGTAGCCCTCCTAATCCGTTGTTCTAGTAGCAATAGTCATTCCAGTGTCGCAATAAAGTCCCGTTAAGCGTCATTCGTTTTCGACCTTTATTCCCAATACGATCCATTCCAGCATCGTTTTATTGTTCATTTCCCAGTTCAATTCATTTCAGTACGATTCATTCCAGTATCGCAATATGATCTCATGCAGTCCCATCCGATTTTCGTATTGATCCCCTTGCAAGATTCATTCCGGTATCATATTATTCTTTTCAGGGAATAATTTCAGGAATCCTTACCAATCTTTTCCGTTCACTTATTCCCCCAGCCAAAAAGGCTGTGTCGGGATGTTGATGGGTTCGCGGCGAACGACTGGAACTGCGACTGTTGGACTTGTCCTGACTGAACTTGTCCAGGTTGGGTTTGTTCTGCGCCTTGTGGGGCCTGCCCATTGAATCTTGCAATCCATTCCTTCATCTTCTCATCACTGTAGCATTCGATGCGGTCATCATCATTCTTAATCCATTGGCAAAGCTCACTAGGAAGGAGAGCGAGAGCGTGGACCAGTCCCTCGACATTACCTGCATCTAAATGCTTCTTTGTGGTCTCGAGGAATCCACGCATGGTAGTTTCCATTCCATCAAGCGTTGTCGACAAGTCCTGATCCATCTGCTTTAGTGAGGCTTCCTCTGAGAAGTCCAGGGCAGAATTGGCATTCTTGTTTTCTGTTTCCAACGGGCCCTCGCGCTCCGTTCGTTGTCGTTTATTGGGGAAGCCATCCTTTCCCGTTTCGAGCTTTGACATGGAAGCTGAAAAAAGATGATCCAATATAACACCATGGTGAACCAACATTTCATTCTGGCAATCCAAGATTTCATTCTGGCGGTTCGTTTCTTTAGTCTGGCGATCCAGCATTTCCGTCGTCTGGCGATTCATTTCTTTAGTCTGGCGATCCATCTTTTCGAACAACTTAGTGATCATGGCAACCACTCTCTCGGAACCTGGTCGATCTGCCAGTGCTTGCAAAAGAATCTGCTCTCTTTCCTTCAGGGTCTCCAATGCAGTCCGCATCCGCTGGGCACTTTTGGAGAAGAAGTTTTCCATCTTAGATCCCTTCCAAAGTCTGCTCATCTGCATCCAATCTGAGATTGTTTCCGAAACTGGACAGGCTACCGGGAACTTGGCTGGCTCTAGCCATTCAATCACGTCTTCCTCGGCGGATTGCTTGTCCTGGCTCAGAATGTCCTTCATCTCCTGGTATAGCTTCTTATCTTTGTTCAAGCAAATGAGCGCGATAGTGTGTTTGATATCTTCAGGCAGCACCGCCTTTTCAGCCTTTGTCATAGAGCTGATTGTCGTGAAGGTGCTGCCTGTAATCTCAAAAGAATTTATCTCTTCAAAGACTTGTCGGTACTTCTGCATGACTCCTTCTCTAGTCACGGTGTTCTTGCGGACATGCTTGATCTTGTCGACGGTCCAGAGGTCGATTTTCTGATTCCAATCGACATTGTTTAGATCAGCTAGTAGACTCATGGGGTCATACTCTCCGATGAGAAAGGAATGAGTCTCAAGTTCATTCTTATCAAGTTGTTCCTGAAGCGCGATGACTGATTCGCTATCCGAGGCAGAGCCTTCGTCTTCGCTGCTCTGATCGATGTCGTCCTCTTCGTCGTCTTCGGAGTTACCACCTGTCTTGTGCTTTGCTATGTCCGCGAGTGTCCCGTGGAACATGTATCGATCTGGGACTTCTGTTACCTGGAAGACATCAGGTTGTCCTCGGTAATAGGCAGTTAACGCTGTCTTCATCTTTTCGAATAGGTGGTGCTCGTTGATAATTCCCGTGAGCTTTGCGGAAGCACCTTCTTTGACATCTCGGATGAATCGCATTGCCCAAAGATTTCCCAGAATTGGAAATGAGAGGCAGACTTGGATCTGGTTCTTCCGAGCGGTGCGGTCCATACTTATTGCTTTTTGTATGGCAGATTCATCGGAGCCGACGTCGGAGAACTTGTCCCAGGTGAGTAACTTTGTGCCGGTGAGCTTGACTTTCAGATCCTCAAATGCGTCTGGGTATTCTCTCTTTGATGCCTCTAAATGCTGGAAGATACACTCTGCCATACGCTCATATTGCGAATTAAGCTCCGTCTGAGGCATCGATTTCCAATGATCGGCCGATTTGGAATTGACGCTTAGATCCGCATAAGTTTCAAGTAGATCACTGACAGGTCTGAGTCTCGCGGCGATAAACTTGATCGTTGGCATATCAAAGCCCTGATACTGTAATCCGGCTGCTGATTCAGACATCGTATAGCTGGGATCAACTTCCGAAGGTAATATAACGGCTGAAGTGAGGAGTGTAGGTTGGATTGGAGTGGATAGTTCTCAAAGGCTTCAAGCGGTGGATCAAACGGAAGTGAAGGATGTGGGAATATTCGTGAAGTTGGTGGAAGGAAAGAAAGGAATCTTGCCAAGGTAGGTTGTAGGAAATGAGATGTATAGTAGATTTCCCTACTCTTATGGATGAATACTGGAATACGCTGCACAAGTGTGATGAATAAGAAGCAGGTCAGACCAAAGTGAGAAGTTTCTGAAAATTAGCTAGGTCGGAGATTTCAAGAGAACCAGTTTCATTTGGTGCACCAAAATTAACCGACAATGCCAAAACAATAACACTTGACTCCCTCCTAGGCAGCACTACCTCTAGGTTTGTTTAGCTACTTGAATTGTATTAGGCTTTAAATCTTTGAAGATCTACCCGGAAGATAATCCATTGTTGTGTATCAAGGCACCCGATGAGTGGAGTTTATTGGAAGATATGACCGCTATTGATATGTTTTGTAAGATGATTTCGCGCAGAGAACGATGCATCGAGTCGCAGTGGCTACATTCGCATTCCTTCCCTGCGCCGTGGGCTTTTTTGTGACGACCCAATTCTGACGATGTGACAAACGCCCATTCGTAGTTGGTACATTTATAAGGTTTCTCGCAAGGATGCGTTTTTGCTTTGTGTCTCTCCAGAGATACACTGTTTCCATAAGAAGCATTGCAGATCGTGCACCCGAAAGTCTTCTCTTCAGAATGGGTCTTCATGTGAAACATGAGGTTACCCTTCCATTTATAACCTTTTCCGCAGATCGTGCACTTGAAAGGATCCTCTTCGGCGTGGGCTTTTACATGGTCAGTGAGTTCGGTGCTCGCCATTCGGGAGGACGGGTTTCGTCAAACTGGGTTTTGGGGGAGGATCAATCCGATCGACTCGAGGGAACCAAATGTATCCCGGTCGGTCAGACTGAATGCTTTGGAGTGAGGGTGTGCCGATTTAACGAATAATACTATTTGTTGTGCGTATGCTAATCCATCCATCCGCTCGCTTGGGCGAGCTGGACGAGTAGGACGCGTTGGACGGGCAGGATTGGTTGAAAAATGAATATGGTGTATGGTATGGTTATGGTTATGGTGGCTACAACCGGCGCAGAAATGCTACCAATTGTTATGCGATGGATCAGAATGTGTGTGAAGGCTTGTATTTCTCCTAGCTACGTCAAGCTCAAGGCAGGAAGATGCGACCGCCTCCTGTGCGCACTGTCCCAAAGAGAGGCAAGGAATCATACCGCGAGATGATTCACCGCGCTGTTGAGACCGGATCAAGCAAGCAGGTAATCCAACCTTTGGAGCTTCCGACCGACGTTCAACCATCGACAAATGCGAACGAAACGAGTCCTGATGGAACCAAACCTACTGCCGATGGATGGTCTGGTGGAACCGCTTGCAATGAACTCAACTGGCAAGAAGAGACGAGCACAGCCGACACTACATCTGGTTGGGATGTCCCGAATGATTGCGATGAGGTTGAACCCGTCCAGTCCACCGACTCCGGTTGGTAGAAGCTTGTACCCTTGGGACAAGGTAGTTTCTTGGGTGACGAAGCCGCGATTGCACAAAGTGAACTTGAAAAGTTTCTCTCCAGTATGGCGTCTTATATGTGCTTTTGCCCTGAATGAAAATCTTTTGGTGCAGGTATGGCGTTTGAATCATGATTGTTGGTTTCTCTTCGAGAGGCCAAGTCTTGTGAATGAAGATGGCAAACTCTACACTTGCTTCAGCTGTAGTCCGGTTTACCAGAGAGTTTGATACTATTTCTTGCTTCGAAATAATAATGTCGATAAAAATGTTGTAAGACTTTGATCCTGGAAGGATGTTTTCTTTCCACTGTCTCAATAGAAATTTATTTCTAGTTTCCTTACCGCGGCCTGCTAAGTTCATGTCTGCTATGTAGAAGTAATTTTGCCCAGATAGCGGTATCACCTCGTGCTCTGTGATTATCTTTCAGGATAATTGGAATGTTGCCAGTATAGCGTATTCTTTCCGTCGACGGAATTACTCGCTAGAATGGTAGCCCCTTCTTCTGGCCGATCATCGAGTTAATGATTGGGATGAATGTGGGCCTTCTGAGACCATTCGCAATCTTGAGGAGAGTCTGATATACCGCGTTGTTCGTCACCAAGACCTTCATTACGGTTGAAGGCCTGACTTTGGTGAACCTCCCCAAGCTTGGAGACGTTGCCAAGGTGTTGCAGGCGTCGTTGATCATCTGCCCGCAAATACACACGGGTTCTTCATCCGACGACTCGAATGATTGATTAACCTGCTCCGCGATATGAGTGATGCGATCCACACCAAACGCGTCGTATGCGGATTGCGTGGCCGGGAGGCTCAGTTCTCAGGAGAACATGAGAACGGTTAGGCCGCAGATAATATTATACTTGGAGTCGTCATTTGTGCCGGTGCGATTTGGTCTGCACTGCTTGGTGTCGCCGGTGAAGTAGACGACCGCGTGAGGACTTTTCGCTAGAGGAATGGCGGTTTCGGTTTCTGGTGCTTTGGCCGCCTCGTCAAAAAGGATGAAATCAACTTGATACATATGGGCCGTAACGGCCTTTGGGAAATGATTGACCGTGTCAGCGAAGGCCACCGGAGTTGCTGTAATTATTTGGCCTCTGCACAGACTGCTAGCATCAAATTTTGTTTTGTATTCTTGTCCTGTTTAATGTCCTGTTTAATGTCCTGTTTAATGTGCCGTTTAATGTGCTGTTTGGTGTGTTGTTTGATGTGCTGTTTAATATTTGCCTTGAATCGAGTCTCGTCATGCGTGCGATCCAAAACCAACTGGGTATACGCTTCTTTCAGCTCTGGATATCTCTCCATAAGCTCGATAGCGTTGGTAATATAATCGGCGACGAGTTAGGGTCTTTCCTCGTTATCTCTTTGCTGCTTGGTCAAGTGGTCGAAATACGTCTGACTTTCCAGGGTCTTTGTCAAGGACAAGTCTATCGCTCTGGGGCCCATTGAGGAGTGCCTTCTCCTCAGTGTCCTATGCTAAGGCTTTGGCGCCTCCATGGCCAGCTGTAACGAATCTTTCTGTGGCGTCTTTGACTAGTGAAACTGGGGTGCAAGCTAGACTGATTTACGACGAGTGTCTGAAGTTGCCAGCGAATTGAATATTTGGCCACCCCATGTCGACTTTCCCGATCCTGGTCCACCAAACACAATGATAACGCCAGGAAGGGAAGAAAGATGAGGGATTTTTTTCAGGAAGAGAAGAGGAGAGGAGAGGAGAGGAGAGGAGAGAAAGAATGGGAGCGAGAGCGAGAGGTGGGCGCGTACGCGTGTAGTGAGGTGAGATCAAGTTGAGAAGTTGCTGACATGAACGGCTGCCAGCCGGCGGCGGCCCACACCGCATGTAGAGCGTGAATTGATCTGCCTACGCGTCGATCAAATCCCGACTAAGGTTGCAAGTTTGTTGAATGGATTTTGGTAATTCCCATACGATAGAGGGCCGATATCGTATGGGGTTGGAGCAGATCCATTAGTAGATTGGGAGCAAGGCTCGACTTATCCCTAGTAGTAAACTAGACCCGCGCGAGGGTCTGGTCGGCTAGTCTAAGTCATAGAAATCGCCTCTAATAGGAGCTAATATATCGACTGAACAGTATAGTGAGCTGAGCTCATCACCTTAGTATAGATGGGTTGGTGAGAACAGTATCTAGATTGGTCTAACTGCCCCGTCTTGGTCATATCCGGTGTGGCCCGGCCCATCAGCACCTAGAATACATACATATGTGGAAGCATGTACTTAGGTAGCAACCCTTTTGGAGAGGTTAATATCGCTGTGAATCCCTCAGCCACCACCACCTCCTCCGCCGGTACTTGGGGGCCCTAAATCTCAACTCCCGACCCCCAAGTACTCCCTCCACTCGCTGGAGTCGTTCAGCTCATGGAAGTGCTCAGATATACACTGAGCTTCTTTGTATGCTTGCTAAGTAGCAAGTGTTTTTCTACTGCTTAGTGTCAACATGGGTTAGGAGTCTGGGTGCTTATTCTGAATTAGGAACACTCCAACGGATCACATTGTCTTCCAGCTTCTTTGCTAAATAATGCTTCTTTTCCATCTCCTTCGTTCGATGGCTGTCTCTCAACCATGTTCGCAAAATTCAAGGTGTGACTGACAATGTTGCAAAGAATTTACTATAAGACCCCGAATAACGCTCTACTGAACCTGGTATAGACCACCTACGCCCTCCTCATGGGCGATCTCACCTCGGTGTTTGTTTTGGGTATCCCATACTAACCCTTTCAAGAGGGCGTAGAGGTCCACGGCCGTGTCTGCATGGTTGAAAATGTTACCTCGCTGGAGTTTGGGGGTCATTCTCGTCAGCGAAATCGTGGGTTCATAAACCTGCACAGCAATTTTAACCCGCCCTGAAGGGTTGGAGACACGACAATCTATAACTACCTACATTGGTGTCCTGTCTGATGTCAACTGCACAGCAATCTTAACTTCATCGGAAGGAGTTGTGCAGCACAAGGTGTGGGATAGATCCGTGTAGTTTTGGGCTCTCAAACTAGATAGATAAGAAATATCGTTTCCCACTGAGGCATGGCTGGCATCTCACACTATTGGCTTGCTTGGAATTGCTCTCGTTAGTATTGCCCTTTATAGACTTGGTGCGACCTTATTTACAAGAGGGGCAATCTTCGGTTGGATGGGAGAAGAGTTCAGCGCTCATCCTCACTGATACCTTGAGTGTCCATTCCCTCCATGCCACCATCCCAAGAAGAGGGGTTTGTCTCTGCGGACGCTCTATTCACCAATCCCATGGTCGCATAATGTGATGAAGCAACTTTCACGTCACTGATTCGCGAGCTGCTCAGGTGATTGATGTTACCTTGCATGTCGTACACACCTATCCAGCCCAAAGTGCAGGTTTCATTACTACCCAACCCCTATGCGGCCCGCGTTTTCCCGTTGTCGTGTACACTCTGGGGGATGCCAGCACTCCCGCCCTTTATCTCTCTGCCCCTCGGGCCTCCCTCTTTCCCATTTTCCCCTCCCCTCATCTCAATAACCGACTCCAGCCATTTATCGAACCAACATCTTCGCCATGGTGGTGACTATCAGGCCAGATCAGCATGACGCCCTTTTGCGCGTCGCTACATATCATTGCCGAGACTTTGATCTTAGCGTCATCTGTTCAGATCCATATAAGCTTTATGATGTTCGACCCTTCATCTCTGAGACGTTTCTAAACCCCCCAAGTGCACCTCTCGGGGTGTTGGGACACCTTCCAAATGAAGTCCTCGTGGAGATGTGCTCCCATCTAGATGTCCGATCCACCTTTAAACTCCGCCAAGTCAACCGGCTGGCCCGTGAAATTGTATCAGCATCGCCGGCATATCGAGATCTTGCGAAACACTGCTTGGAAAGCTTGCGTGGAGCCCTACGAACGGGGATTTCTAGCGGGCTGCCGATGACTGAACTCCATCGCTTGCTCTACAAGCCTGAGTGCTCTCGGTGTGGCAACTTTGGGCCACTCCTGTTCCTACCACTGATCGAGAGGTGCTGTTATAAATGTCTACTGCTGGACGGGGAGTATCGTCTTATATCGCTCGATGCATTATCTGAAGCGACCAAGGTTTCCCCAAGCCGACTGCGCGAACTATTGCCAGTCCTCCGTACCCTTACGGGCAATTATTTCCTGTTGTGTGGTGAACAGCCAGAAAGGCTTGACTTGGTTTCTTACAGAGCTATCCTGCAATGTTCAACGCCTCTTGATATTCAGCATCTCCCAAACTTCGTCCCAAACCCCGAGGATGAAGATATCATCCTTCGCTGTACGGCGGCAACACCCTTCCCGTACTTGGACAAGGCAGGCTCCAATATCGACCACGGTGTGAGCTGCCTAGGTTGTGAGATGGTAGCACTGGATCGCAGCCGTGCGGCACCCAACAAGAAGGAGGCTACCAAGCTCGGGGAGATGGCATTTTCAAGAGAGGGATACTTGGTTCATTTTCAGTCGTGCAAAGAAGCCCAGAAACTCTGGCAGGAAAGCCACGAGGGAACTGCTAAGGCTGTAGAGCCTCCCCGTCCTTTTGAGTACATCCGCCCACTCTACTCGCCCAAGCACTATAAATAAATACCCGCTTTATTCTTCTTCCCCCCTCTGGTTTGGTTTCGATGATGAACTTCATAATCTCGGAGGATCGGGACTGGCAACATTTGAAGATGGCAGTGAAAACAAATTAAGGGAGGGGATCATGGCTTGAAGAGTTATCTATCATCAGAATGCTTGGGCAAAACCCTTAACTAGGTACTGCTGCAAGTTCCGAAAGTTGAAGGGCAGCGCTTCCTTAGTGGTGCGGGAGCGGGCAAGTAGGTGACATTGAAATTGAGACACTCAAACATTAAGCTGCTTATTCTCAAGTCTGCGACCAGTATTATCAGATTATTGAGTCCCAATAATATATACTTCAGAGATAATACCGCATCTATTGTTACTGTTCTTTATTTTTATACTACTGAATTTCTCTATTTATTGCAGAAAGTAGTCGATTAATCACCACCTTTCAATTAGGTGTCTCATTTCTCCTCTCACCCACTTGGCGGGGTCTTCAAGATGGATGTCTGTCAATTGACCCCGCCCAGTGTCTGACAGCTAAAACAATGATGTCAAACTGAGATAATGGGTTATCCTGAACGGAATTGGGCAAATAATTTGTTGTTGACGGTTGGGAGTCGGATTCCCGAACTCTAAATGCAATGAACAGTGCCATCGAATCAAATGTCGGTGGTAAGCTTTTTATTAAGCTAGTAGGCCCAAGCTGCTTCGTGACCAAACGCTAATTGAGGGTCTAATCTCAATTGCTGCAGGGCCTGGTCTTGTCACGGTATGTGGCGGCAAAGTTGACCGCTTCCAGTCAGGAATGCTTACTCGGTGCTCGGAATCATGGTAAGCAGTAATTAAAGAGGCTTGTCCGTGGGGCCTCAGCATCAGCCCGAATTGCGGATTCCATCACTAAACGCGGCCCGCGCTTCAGTGGCGCTTTCTCTCGACGTTGTACAATCGAGAAATTGGGGAATTATTACGCTTGCCAGCAGCTGCTTCCTCTGGGCCCTTGTTCACCTCGTATTCTTTCGCCTGGGTGGCGCCCGATACATGATCGGCAATGAATATGCGATGATGGCGATGGTGCGCCCCTGTCGTGATGCTACTGGTCAGCGTGAGTTGTGAGCGGGTGTTATATTTAAACATGTAACGCTCACTATTGCATAGGTATGGCGTCGCTAGTCTCCTTTATTTGCTTAGTACCCATGTCCAATTGCTAACGGTCACTTCCCCTGTGCTTGCTTCGTTTGGGGTTGGAAGGCTATCATCAATTTCTTCTTTTTCTACACACATATAAGATCCGACCATGCCTTGACCGATCATCTTGACTGCCCACATCCCGAAATCTTCACAATGGCTGAAGAGGACGACACCCCCCAGCGGCTCTCCGAGTTATCCCCACGCCAAACCTCGGTCGCAAGCACAACAGCAGCTGGACTCAACCAGCATGTGACCAGAGAGGCTCTTGGCCTCAAGGTCGACACCCGAAGCGTCTCTTCCCCCGAACCCAAGCCCGAGGCGACTGGGCGGACAACGACCTTCGCGACGCGCTCCGACCGCCATGCCGGGAGCACGAGCCCCGAGGCGCTGCGACGCCGATTCACAAACGCAATCAATCGCTCGGCGACGTTTCGGACCGTCGAGGACCTGGACGACTTCGATGACCCGTTCAGCCCCAGGCCGGGCTGGCAGCCTGGCTCCGAGCCCGGCTACGACCCTCTGCTCCCAGATGGTGGGCATGCGTCCATGGAGTTCATGAACGCGCCGTGCCAGATCACCGTTGTCGACTTTTCGCACAACCGCATCGAGAAGTGCCACTACGAGAACCAGGGCTTCATCGACGCCCTCGAGCGGCCGCAGGAGCCTTGGGCGCAGTGTCGGTGGATCAATGTGAATGGTCTCAGCTGGGATGTCCTCCAAGCTGTCGGCTCCAAGAAAGGGCTGCATAAACTAGCTTTGGAGGACGTCATGAATCTTCGGAACAGAACAAAGGCGGATTGGTATGCGATTCACAATCTGAGCCCGTCAAGCTTAAGGTCTTTTGGCAACAGGTAGCTAACATGCCGCAGGTATTCCACCCATGCGTATATCAATCTCACCCTCCAGAAGCTCGTCCATCTGGTAGAAGACGACGAAGCCTCTTCGAGCACGGGAAGTACGATCTCACGGAAGTCTATCGTGGCTGGTTTCCGTCGATCAGTCAAAGAGCTGTGGAGAAGCAAGAAAGCAGAGTACCAGGAATCTAGGAATGAGGCCAAGCTCCAAGATCAAGACCCAGAGAAGACATCGACGCAGAAATACTCTCAGGGACCTGGGCTTCCTGAGACCACCATGTTGCGGACGGTTCAGAGATACCATGCCTCAAGTAATGAGGCCCGCATCGATTTCATGGAGCGTCACTCTTCTCTGGTGCCTTACAAGATGGCCGTCTCTGCTGAGCAGGTCTCCATCTTCCTCACCTCTGATAATACTGTCATATCCTTCTTCGAAGTGTCGGCAGGCGACATCGAGCGACCCATCATCACCCGCCTTAGTACGGCGGGCACTATTCTTCGCGAGTGTTGTGACGCCTCTCTACTTGTCCAAGCTATCATCGATGCCATCATCGATCTTGCAATGCCCATCACAACAATCTATGCGGATATCATTGGTGACCTGGAACTTGATGTCCTTACCGCACCGCACATGGACCAGAGCATAAGTCTCTACATTGTCATCAGTGAGATCAACAAGATGCTCACGTTTCTGAATCCCATCGATAACCTAGTCAATGTGCTCCGTGACCACAAGACAACTCTAACGCAGGAGCAGGCCGTGGCCGAGCTTCGCAACCCCAAGAGTGGAGTGATCATTTCGCCCATGACACACACATACTTTGGCGATGTGCTGGATCATTGCATCATGATCACTGAGAACTTGCAGCAGTCAAAACGAGCATCGGACAATCTCATCGATCTCATTTTTAACACAATCTCATCACACCAAAACGAATCGATGAAGCAGCTGACGGCTGTGACAATCATCTTCCTCCCCCTGACCTTCATCACTGGTTTCTTTGGACAGAACTTTGATGGCGGATTCCCGGAAATCCACAAGGATATTTCTTACTTGTAAGTAAAAGAAACTTCCCCTATCCCATTCAACTTTTCCCTCCAAGGTTTAACTATCCGTATCTAACATGTATTCGCAGTTGGATGTGCGCCGTTCCCACGGCCTTCGCTACGATTCTGATCCTGATGAGGAACATGATCCATTCATGGTTCCGTCGCATGGTCCAGAGGAAACAGGTTCTATCTACGCGGCGAAGGAAGAAGCGCAGAAAGTCGTTCGTTGGCCGAACGTGAAGTGTCTGCACTTGTGAGTTCTACTCCGGGATTGGATAGGTCTGGGATTCGTTTTTGGCGAAGCGGGTTTGGGTGCTACTGCGCTATGCGCTTGCCTGGCGAGGTTTCTGGTATAATATCTTGTGTAAAAAGCGAGCATGGCATAGGAAGAATACCCATATGAGAAAGCTTTACCACTGATTAGCGCGATTTGCCAAGGATGACCCTTATATACAAGCTTCACGGGCATGTCATTCAACAAGAACAACAGCCCCTGTGGCGCAGTGGTCAGCGCACTCCGACGACTAGCCCTGTGATGTACTCATCCTGCGAGAGCTATTGAGTGCCCGCAGTTTCCTCATATCTCGCGAAAGGTAGTGGAGAGAACGGGTACATCACGGGGCCTATGATCGTCGGCTCGAATCCGAGCAGAAGCATCATTTACTCCTTTTTTATTCTTCTGTTTTTTCTTCCATTTTTTTGTCCTTGGAGTCATCTTAGTCTAATCTTTTAGGGGCGTTCAACGGCTGCTACCCTTCTATGGCAAGGGTGCACATCGGATGAACAGTCGGTGCCCACCTTCACCCACCTACCGTTCTAGCTTTAGGCCGAATCTTCAAGCGATCACTTAGCCGCTATCTATCAATACTGATTGGCCAAAGAAGAAAGCCGTTTGCTTCCCCGCTCCGAGAATGAATCTCTCGATTCACCGCGAGGGATGGTGCACCTTCGGAGCGGGGACGACCGATTCTCGGAGACGGCAGCTCGTGATGCTATCCAGAAGTGAGTAAGTAGGAGCCGATTGATAAGCGCAAGTCCCCAATGGCCCCCCTCGGCATGTGTTGAAGCACCCACTCTAGGTGCTCGCATGCGCCTTGCATATGCTAGCCGCTGGTACCACACACATCGCAGCCCAACCCACCGCCTACTCTGGGGTTTGACGAACCAGGAGGGATTTACTCAAATACTTCGGACCTGCTTGATCTAGCATCCGGACGGACTGAGAGGGGTCTTCTCCACCTTGGAGTATTTGAATCAGTGTCCTTCTCACGCCATATTCACATTCGTTCAACATCTTCCGTTTTCTCTTTGTGTCGTCCTGTCTGCTCTTCCCCCACCTGCTGGAATTGCAGCATCCGATACAGTCTAAATAATCAGCTGTTGAGAACCAGGATCGACCGACCATGGCCGAGTCCAATCACCTTGTCCTGCGAAATGGCAGAATCTATCAACACCCTGAGGATAACTTCAGTGGAAGCGGGCCTTCATTCGCGAGTGCGATGATCGTCAAGGACGGCATCATCCAGTATGTCGGTTCAGATACGGACGAGCAGGTGGTGACCGCCGCCACTGCGGGGGCCCAGGTCAAGGACCTCGACAACCAGCATGTCCTCCCCGGGTTCATCGATGGCCACCTGCATCTACTGCTCCTTGGGCAGTCCCTGACCAAGGTCGCCCTGGACGGCTGCAAGGACCTAGAGGAGATCCGCTCGAGGGTGAAGAAGGCCGCCGAGGAGAATCCGCACGCAACACGTATCTTTGGCAAGGGCTGGATGGTCTCCATGACGCCAGAGGGTGTTGATGCCAGCGTCCTTGACGATCTGGACCCCAGGCCCATCTTCATTGACAGCAAGGACTTGCACTCGACGTGGTGCAACAGTGCCGGGCTGGCTGAGGTTTGCAAGGTCATGGGCATCGCGCCGGACGGCTCGTCCCCGGATCCTCCTGGTGGGACGATCCAGCGCGATGCGGATGGCAAGCCTAACGGTGTATTCAACGAGAGTGGAGTGTTTGAAATCATCTGGCCGTTCGTGGCCAAGGTTGCGTCCATGGAGGAGAAGAAGGCTTCTATCCGGGCTGCCATCACGGCCTACAGTTCCGTCGGATACACTGGCATGATCGACATGGCCATGGACGACACCATCTGGGAGCCTCTTATTGAGTTGCGAAACCAAGAGGGCCTCGGGGCCATGCGAGTCGCTGCTTATTGGCTGATGAAGCCCATCAAGAAGGGTGAAACGGTGGAGGCCGCGCTGGCCCAGGTCGATCGCGCAGCTGACATGGCAAAGAAGTACAGCGACCCTGATTGCAGAATTGTCGGTATCAAGGTCATATGTGATGGAATCATCGATACCTGCACCGCCTCGCTGACAGAGCCCTATTCAACCGGCATCAACTCCGACATGTTCTGGGACGAGGATGTCCTCAACGCCGTTGTTGCGAGGGCACATGCCGCCGGCCTCCAGGTCGCCCTCCACGCCATCGGCGACCGCACCGTGAACACAACCATCAACGCAATCGAGAAGAACACGGACAAGTCCCGCCGGCCACGCATTGAGCACATCGAGATCTCGTCGGCCGAGGACGCCAAGCGCCTGGGCAAGATTGGCATCACGGCCTCCATCCAGCCCGTACACTCCGACCCGGCCATCCTCCGAGCCTGGCCCCGACTGATTGGCGAGACCCGATGCAAGCGCGCCTTCGCCTACCGCGAGTTCGTCGACAATGGCGCGACCTTGGCACTTGGCTCCGACTCTCCCACGGCGCCTCACATCCCCCTCCCGAATCTCTACGTTGCTACGACCAGGCGATCATACCGCGAGCCCGAGCTCGAGACAACAGTGAACCCTGAATTTGCACTCACAGTGTGCCAGTCGATTGCAGGAGCCACCCACGGCTCTGCCTACTCGTGCTTTGCGGATGCTTGGACAGGAAGCTTGAAGCCGGGACTGAAGGCGGATTTCGTAGTGGCCCAGGTGGAATTGACGCCCGAGAAGCTAATCAGGGGTGTCGTCAAGGAGACTTGGTTTGAGGGAAAGAAGGCGTACTCATCCAGTGGTTAGCTGGCATCTTATTACGGACTTGTGAGGAAATGGTGTCGGGTGGTGTTAGCATTTACGGGCGTTTGGCTAGGTGGTTGATGAGATTTGTCGCAATGGGGGAATTAAGGATCGGTATAGACGAAAGCAAATGCCAAGATTCCTATTATCCCAAACCTTCGAGGTATTATGATTCTTACCATCCAATCTCTATCAATCAGGGTCACACTGGACTGGTGTTGAAGGGAGTGAGTTGGTGCTGACCTAAGCTTCTGCCTAGAAATCGCCTAAAATGAGAGCCCGAATCTAATCATCGCCTGTGGGGCTCGGCGCATCGTCACGGTTCAGCCATCAGATCATGCACGATTTGTAGGCAGCAGGCACCAGCTCTTCGATTATGTTTATTCTCTCATAAATTCGAAAGGCTCATCGTTTCATTAAATACCTTCATTAATTGACGCCATCTCCTCACCTCGCCTAGTACCCTGCATACAATCCCAAGGGTCTGACATTTTAGAGAATAACAAGGCCAGCTCTCTGACGTGACTGGTCATATTCGCCATGGTGAAGTCAGAGCCCATGTCGGCCGACGCCGAGCGCGAAGATGAGATCCAGTATGGCGCATCAGAGATAGCGAAAGACGAGATCTCAGAAACGTACGTGATGCGCTTCATTCACGTCAAGCCTCAATCGGTCTCCCAAATTAACATCGCTCAGGTACCCCAATCGCCCCAGGAATCACTCCAAGACGTTTGCATTCTCTACTCTGTTTAGAGACCTCTTCAACCCTCTTAATGAGAACAAGAAGCAGGGCGCGGGCGGCGGACGGAGGCGAGGGCCTCAAGCTGCAAACAAGCCATCTCCACATGAGCAGCGTCGCCACATCATCGACAGGTTCATTGCGCGGTGGAAAAAAGAAGTCGGGAATGACTTCTACCCAGCTCTGCGCCTCATTCTTCCCGACAAGGATCGTGACCGGGGCGTTTACGGTCTGAAGGAGAATGCGATTGGAAAGTTGCTGGTGAAATTGATGAAGATTGACAAGAATTCAGAGGATGGGTACAACCTCCTGCACTGGAAGCTTCCCGGGCACACAATGGCTGCCCGTCTCGCGGGTGACTTTGCCGGGCGCTGCTTTGAGGTTATATCGAAGCGGCCCATGAGAACCGAAGTTGGCGATATGACCATCGCCGAGGTCAATGAGCAGCTCGACAATTTGGCTGCATCAGCAGGCGAGTCAGAGAACCTACGCGTTTTTGAGGTCTTCTACAATCGCATGAACGCCGAAGAGCTCCTGTGGCTCATCCGGATCATACTCAAGCAGATGAAGGTGGGCGCGACAGAGAGGACCATTCTTGATCTGTGGCACCCGGACGGCGAAGCTCTGTTTAGCGTGACTTCCAGCTTAAGGCGTGTATGCTGGGAATTATACGATTCTTCGATCAGGTTAGAACAGGAAGAGACGGGTATTGCCATCATGCAGTGTTTCCAGCCTCAACTGGCGCAATTCCAGATGCCGGCATCTTTCCAGAGGATGATTGAGCTCCTCGGACCGACGGAAGAGGACCCCGAATTCTGGATCGAGGAGAAGCTCGACGGTGAGCGCATGCAGATGCACATGACCGCCGACCCATCGCATCCTGGGGGGCGCAAGTTTCTCTTCTGGTCCAGAAAGGCAAAGGATTACACATACCTCTATGGCAACGGGCTGCAGGACGAGAATTCGGCCTTGACACGGCATTTAAAGAAGAGTTTCGCCTCGAATGTGAGGAACCTCATTCTCGACGGAGAGATGATCACATGGGACATGGACACAGACAAGATTGTTCCATTCGGTACGTTGAAGACGGCCGCACTCTCTGAACAGCAGAACAAGTCCAATTCGGATTCAACCGGTCATCGCCCAGTTTTCCGGGTATTTGATATTCTATATCTCAACGACAAACAGCTTACCCAGTATACGCTCCGTGATCGCCACAAGGCGTTGGAGAAGGCAGTCAAACCCGTTCATAGACGCTTGGAGGTCCACCCATACACCGTAGCAACGAGCGGCGATTCAATCGAGCCTCTTCTGCGCGAAGTTGTCGCCAATGCCTCCGAGGGTCTGGTTCTCAAGAACCCGAGGTCAATGTACCGCCTGAACAGCCGAAACGACGACTGGCTCAAGGTGAAGCCCGAGTACATGTCTGAGTTTGGAGAATCGCTAGATTGCGTTGTCATTGGCGCATACTATGGCTCAGGAAAACGAGGTGGCACCCTCTCATCCTTCCTCTGTGGACTCAGGGTCACGAAGAATCACATTCAGGCCGGTGCCAATCCCGAAAAGTGTTTCAGCTTCTTCAAGGTCGGCGGTGGTTTCCGTGCAGAGGACTATGCTGAGATCAAGCACCGGACAGAGGGCAAATGGATCCCCTGGGACCCAAAGAACCCTCCGACAGAGTATGTCGAATTGGGCGGTGGAGAGAGCAAGCAGTATGAACGGCCTGATCTCTGGATCCGACCCAAAGATTCTCTCGTCATATCCGTCAAGGCCGCGAGTGTAGGTCCCAGCGACCAGTTCGCCAAAGGTGTCACTCTCCGGTTCCCTCGCTTCCGCCGGCTGCGGCTTGACCGCAGCTGGGATTCAGCCCTATCGTTGGAGGAATTCCAGGACTTGCGCAGGAAGGTCGATGAGGAGGCGAAAGAAAAGGCCATGACCGTGGAGGACAGAAACCGCCGAGGCGCGAAACGCGTGAAGCGAGAACTCGTCATTGCAGGTGAGGACAGTGCACCGGTAGAATTCAAAGGAGCATCGACAAAGATATTCGATGGCCTAGAGTTCTGCGTCCTATCAGAGTCTCTGAAGCCGTACAAAAAGTCCAAGGCCCAACTCGAGGCCGTCATCAAAGAGAATGGCGGAACCCTCTCTCAGCGTGCAGCACCAGGTACAAACATGGTTCTCATCGCGGACAAGAAGGTTATCAAAGTAGCCAGTCTCATCAAGGAGGGCGATGTGGATATCATCCGACCCCGGTGGGTGAGGGACTGTCTCGATCAGAGTGACAAGACCTTTCCCCTCCCGTATGAGGACCTCCATCTGTTCCACGCCACAGACGCTCTGAAGCACACGGCCGCCCAGAACACAGATCAGTATGGAGATAGCTATGCTAGAGAGGTGTCTGTGGACGAGCTCCGGGAGATTCTAGCAGATATGCCCAAGTTCGAGAGCCCGGACACTTTTAATAAGAAAAGCTTCATTGAGGAGTTGGAAGAGCGTGGTAAGGACCTTAACAACCTCAAAGGAATGGCTTTCCAGCGTTGCGTGGTTTATCTCAAGCCAGTGCAAGATTCCGACAAGAATCTCGCATACAGACTCTCGAATTATGTAAGGTACGCCGGCGGCGTTTGTGTCGACGATATGGACAACTCAGATTTAACGCATGTTGTTCTGGTTGGCCAGGATTCGGCCGAGTCTCGCGAGGTGGGTGAGCAAGTTCGGAGTGAGCTTTCATCTCGGAGTCAGGTACCCAGATTTGTCAAAGGGGGTTGGATCGAGGATTGCTGGAAGGAGAAAACTCTGATTGATGAGGAGCAATACTCTGTGCTATAGGAATGGCTAATGATCAAGAAATAAACGCAATGCCAGAGACCATCTTTCAAGCGTCTTGCGATTTGTGTCTATGGATATTGCCTCTAGTCCCTCATCTCTTCAGCACGTGCTATATATCTAAGAGAAAAAGCGAAACTATCGCTTAGCTCGTTCAAGCCGTTTGTCTACTTGCCAATGGTCAAGAATAACCTGTCACCAACATCACCGAGACCCGGTTTCAGCATGCCCTCCTTGGTCAGCTGCTGGTCCACAGCGGCGAGCCAGATCTCCGTACCCTCGGGCCACTCCTCGGCGGCCTTCCTCACACCCTCCTCGGCCCCCAGGACGCAGAGGACCAGGACTCGTTTGGCGCCCCACTCGCGGAGGGTGCTGATGGCGGCGGCGCAGGTCCCACCGGTCGCGATGACGGGATCCACAATGATGGCGAGGCTGGAGGCGTTGCCGCCGTCCGAGGACGACGCGATGTGGTGCGGGAGGTTGTTGTAGTATTCGACGGGGTCGAGGGTCGTCTGCTCGCGGTACATGCCCAGGTGGTGGACCGGCACCGGAGCTGGGAGGATGGTCTGGACGGCTATAGAATAAAACAATCGGGCGTGAGCAGGTTGCTGGGGAAGCCGAAGCGCACAGAAGAGAGATCTAACCTTCCACCATGCTTAAACCCGACCGTAGAATGGGGACGATGGATATCGTGTTAGGCTGGATCGTGGTTGTGGTGTATTCGAAGCCTAGCGGTGAGACGTCCTGTATTTTGACCGCTCAGTTACAAGCTCGAGAGCTGCCGCGATAAATCATCATGTTCATGCTGCACACCTTTGGTCCATCGGTAGGAGTGATGGCCTTTGTCAAAGCCTCGGTGGAAATTATGAGCGAGATCTCGTGGATGAGAGCCTTGACGTCCTTGGACGACGCGGACTTGGACCGAAGTTGGCTTAACTTGGCCAGGACGCTGGGGTGCTGGGAGACATGTACGTTGGACAGGGATGCCATCGCTCTCTTCTCTGCTGGGCGGAGCGCTCCAATTTCTATATTTCTTTCACGGTGGGAGGATCGAGAGGTATGGGAATCGGAGGAATAAGTACTAAGGGAAACAGAAGAGGGGGAATTGATTTCTGTGGGAACCTAAAGGGAGACAGAATCTCAGGTCACCTGGATGTCTCGAGTCTGGATGTCCTATGGTAATCGTTTGGGCGGCTTTGCAGGAGCACTGGGCGGGAGCAGCAGGCGGTAAGTGTCCCTTTTGGCGGGTCGGTGGGGTACAAGAGGGGTCGTTATCCACCTCCACAAGGTGCTATCGGTCCCACTGGCCAATCCTAGCCTCGCAGTGCCTAATGCCGTTACCGGGATAACAGGAGAGCTTTCCCGCTGTGAGAGTGGGTCATCTATTTACCTTACATAGGTACTTGGGGGCCCGAAATCAGTTGGCCCCCTACCAGAGGTGGGGGAGTCAGCAAGTAGCAATTTCGAAAAAAGTTGACTTTGTTTTATTAGAGGAACCTACTTAAAAAAAGGTAGACCTACCCTGTACTAGACCTATAAAAACTACTATAGGGTAGGACCCCTAAAAAGTAACTTAGTTTTCTATACTAAATCAGTTGACTCATAAGTCCCTTTTTCTTTTGCGAGTTACTGGTGAAATTACTACTCGATGACCCCCTCCCACCAGAGGGCCAACTGATTTCGGCCCCCCAAGTAGCTCCTGGCAGGGAACTCTTTGGGACTGAGCTGGTCACGTGAATGGCAGACACTGCTTGCCCAGAAGCTTCCCACTCATGGCCTAGTCAGTGTGGTGAAGCTCTGGCTGTTTAAGTAGGGGGGCATACATATTATCTGCTTATCTTGAAATAAATACGTAATCACAAAATCACAGCTCTCTCACGTTAAAACGGCAACAAAGGATATCTCCCATTGCTGCAATTAACCACTGCTCCTCTGGAGGAGGCTAGATAAAATTGTCAGTAAGATTTAGAGATCTCCCGCTAACATGTAGCGATCCAGACCAAATTATGCCTGATGATATTATTAATGAGAAAAACTGCAGCAACCTCGCGTATGATGCCCTAGTGCCGTGTTATTAGTCAGGTGTATAGGTGTTGTAGTAGAGGGAGAAGAGAACAAAAGAAGAAAATGAAAAAGCAAAACACAAAATGGAAAACACACGGGATAATATACTACGCGATACTGATTGATATGGTAGGGACGTGAGCCGAAATGAGGAGATAGTTATGTCTTCTGAGATGTCTATTAACTTTCTACCAAATTGGATGGACAAAAATAGTGCACTATTTGAGCAAATTTGGCTAGAAGTTTTGTCGAAGACCAGTCTGACGACGAGAGATTGATCTTGGCTCCTTGCCGTAGCATCTCAAATTACCTAATCATCAACACCTTAGAAGTAGAAGGGAGGGTTAGTGGAAAAAAGCAACGCCGGAGCTACGTCCCTCCAGTTGGCACACGCCAAGTACCACGCAAAGATAGCGGGAACCTGCAGGGCTTAGCGCGGCAGCACGGCCACACCGAGCCCCTGCTGAAACTCTCCAATGGTTCATTCACGAGGCTGTGCGAGGAAAGCCTAAGGCAAGTTTCTGTGTTAAAGAATGGAGATCCAGCACAAGGCGGGACACTACCCAACTGAGTGCATGTTATATAGCGAGCCGAAGACCTTGAAAAGGGATAAGAGACATGGAAGTTAATTCCTGTGCTTTCATTTTCTTTTGATTTCAAAGAACTCAATCCAAACGGCAGCCTCCCCTTTTTTTGGGCCAGCAACTTCCAGCATGAGCCCAGAGGTTATATGTAGTATTGTGTTTGGCTTTGTAGCCGCCATGTTGGCTGTCGCTGCTATGGTTCAGAACTACATTCACGGCCGACGGGCAAGAGAAGGTGGAAATATCCGTCCGATCCTTTATCAGCTACATAGAATCAAATTTCTTTTACTTACATAAATGCTGTAAAGGAACTCATCATGAAGCCCGTCATCATTGGCACGGCTGGGCTCACCGTGGACCGTACCACTTACAGGACCACTTCACAAATACAACGGATGAAACGACACTGCAATACCCCACGCCTACAGCACGTCCAAGTTACTATCGCATAAGGTAGAAAGAAGTATTTATGATATTAGATTCTAATTTTTAGCATCTTGCTCTAATGGTGCGTCTAAATTCCCTTTGATCTTTCAGACATTACATGCCGATTGGCGTATCAGCCACATTTGCTAACTGTGGCTGAACAGTGGTGGCTACCTAGGTATTGAGGTTTGCTATGGCGCCCCACTCCGCTGGTATGGCGTCGAAGATGAAGCTAATCAAGGCCAGTTTGAACCTTTCAGTTTCATTTTTCCAGACTTTCAAGGATAACATGTCCTTATGTTTGTTTTTCGAAGCACCAGACGGTGTCTCTCAAAGGGATCTGTAAAGGTATTAACCTGTCTAATCTCGCCGCTTGGTCAAAGGCCTCTCAAAAGTTTGCTCAGAGATGTCATTTGAGCTCCCAGTGCCGTGATACCTGATCCCTCGCATTTCTCTGCCCATCTACAACCCTCTCCGTCCTTAATCATTTTTTATGCTCAATCGATACAATCGCATAGCTCCGATGAGGCCTAGGCTCACGCGACGACAACTTTCACTTTTTTTTTTCTTTCTCCCTTCGGTCAATTCCAAGCTCAGAGGATAATCAAGATGACTGAAAGGCTGCAGAGAGAAGGCCTCCCGCAGCCTCTTACCCAGGATACAAACCCAACTCTCCACACTCCCCATGCTGATGCGACTGAGAATGAAATTCTCCGAGAGCTTAGCTCCGGGAGGGAGGATATTCAGACTCAGCCATTGGGTCAGTATCAGAACCTGGACGAGCTCGCGGCAGTTCCTCCCGTAGAGAACCCGGACGAGGCTGAAATCTATCGCCATCGAAGCTTGGAGCAAACCCGAAGCCAGCAACAGGCCAGGAGGCAAAGCTTAGTAGCCGACCAAGAGGCAGGGGGGGCCGGTACCGCCAAGGCCGGCGAGCCTTCGGAACTCGCCATCAGGGTGTATACGCTGTCCTACCTAGTCTTCTTCGCCATCCTGGGCACGCTCGCGAGAGTAGGCCTGGCGGCATTGACCACATATCCGGGTGCGCCGGCCATCACTGGCACGCTGTGGGCCAATTTCGCGGGTAGCCTTGTTATGGGGTTTCTCATTGAAGATCGGATGCTTTTCAGCATCGGTAGCCCATCTCGAGGCGATGGGAAGAAAACAGACGATGCCAACGGCTCAAGCGGGGCCGAGAATGCTGGCATTCTGGAGGCGGCAAAGAAGAAGCACTTAGCTCTGAAGAAGACCATTCCCCTTTACATTGGGCTCGCCACCGGATTCTGTGGCAGCTTCACAAGCTTCTCCTCGTTCATCAAAGACACGTTTCTCGCCATCTCCAATGACCTTGTCTCACCCGACCTCATGGGTTCGCCTACCCCTCGAAACGGTGGCTATTCATTCATGGCCATGCTAGCTGTGATAATTCTTACACTCTCGCTATCCATCTCCGCCCTATTCATCGGGGCGCATCTGGCCATTGCTGTGGAGTCGGTCTTTCGTCGCCCCGTGAATTTCCTCGCCTTGCAGCGTATTGCCGATCCTCTAGTTGTTGTGCTCGGATGGGGTTGTTGGATCGGTGCTGTCTTCCTCGCCATCTTCCCTCCACATGATAGCTGGCGAGGGGAGGTTCTGTTTTCTCTTGTCTTCGGGCCGCTGGGCTGCTTGGCCAGATTTTATCTTTCGCTATACCTCAATGGGAAAATGGCCTCGTTCCCGCTGGGTACCTTCACTGCGAACATCGTGGGCACCATGGTGCTGGGGATGGCTTGGGACCTCGCGCACGCCTCCGTTGGCGGAGTAATCGGGTGCCAAGTGCTGCAAGGAGTAGAGGATGGCTTCTGCGGCTGCTTGACGACGATATCAACCTGGGTATCCGAGCTCACCAGTCTCAGGAAGCGACATTCGTACATATACGGGACAACGAGCGTTGTTGTGGGTCTGGTAGCCATGATTGCGATTATGGGTGGTTTGAAATGGAGCGAAGGATTCAGCGGCTTGGTATGCAAACCATGATAGACGGCTAAATACATCCATACATACTCAAGGCGAATGCCCATCAAATTCATAGACACATTTCAAAGGCTCGGTTGATCATTCCTGATGATGGCCATGATACTGTACTGTTCCAGCCCATCATGGCCGCCAAGATCTATCATCTTCTTCAAGTCATGAATCAACCTACTCCTTCTTCTCGTCCTCTTCCTCAAGCTCTGGGTAGTGCCTCCAAATTCCGTCGCCATACTTCTGTCGCTTATCACTCGCCAGGTACTCTTTGATCGCCGGACGCTCCTTGATTGTCTCGTAAAGCTTGAACACACCATCATATTTACCTGATTCCTTGAGTTTCTGGAATGTCTTGGGGAAAGCAAACTGCGTTCCGTCAATAGACTAGTGGTCTTGGTCAGCGTGACTACTGGAAAAGAGGGAGATTTGATGAAAGGCGGGTGCAACTCACCTGGAAGAGCACGAGATCGGCATACGTGAGGCTATCTCCATACAACCAGGGTCCCTCGCCGCTGGTCTCAGCATCTAGCACCCTCTGCGCATAACCCAGGAACTTGGGGATTCGCTCCTCAATGAAGAACTTGGAACGTTTCTTGGCCTCCGGCTTCTGATCCTCATAGTAGGCAGAGACGGAGATGGGGTGGTGCGTATCGTGAAGTTCATTGACAAAACCGTCGATGAGGGTGAGAACAATCTGGTTCAGATGGTAGACGGCAACGCCCTCCTTGGGGGCCAATCCCAGTCTCGGGGCCAGGTACTGGAGGATGTTGGGAGTCTGGCTGAGGAGGACGTCACCGTGACGGAGAGCGGGGACGGCGCAGACGGGAGGGTTTTTGCCCTGGACAGACGGCCCGGAGTCTGGGGAGATGAGTTCAAGAACCTGGCCTGTGGAGGCTTCCATGCCTTTATCTGAGGTGTCTTTCCATGGGACGCCGGCTTCCACAAACAGGAGGCGGATGAACTCGCCGCGACCGGGGAGGCCGTGCCAGTAGACTAGCTCATAGGGAGCGTCCTCGGTCTTGAGCCGCTTCGGATCGGGTTCAATCATGGTCGTTAATTGATTCTTCTGAATTGAGTACTTGGAATCGCAAAATAATCAAAGGAGAGTCGGTGAGATAGGACGGAAGGGCGTGGTTGAACTGCTTATAAGTGCTTAGCTCTGGTGGATCGCATTACTGCGGGGTTCCGACTGAGCGGCAGGTAATGCTACGATGACATAGTTGCGGCACAGCAGTGGCTTTTCTGGTATATTCTTCTCCGATACATCGATGTGATAAATACACTGGGTCGTGTTGTTGTCTGGATGATGCACTTCTCGCTCGGTGTGTCTAGATATAGATCCGAGGTTGCCTCAACTGCGTATTGCGTATTTCCAGTCAAGTCTGCCTTCATGTAACCCGTCCGGCTGACGGCAGCTTCGGCCACCAAGCGGGGGCGTGAGAGGTAGCATCAATCTGTTTTTCTTTCAAGGGCTTTGTGTTTCATGATAAGCTCTCTGATTTTGGCGTGAACACACAAACACGGATACCATCACGTCAGTCGGATTAATATAATCTCAAATTCAGTTACGATAGGTAACAAACGGGACATTAAGTAGAGCTAAGCTTGCTTTGTACAATTAATATGTTATGTATTCTATGTATAGACGGTGACAAGGGAGGTAGGGACTGGCTTTTGAAGCTCTTTTTTTTTTGGTGCTGTATCTTTACCCATCTGACACGCAAGCCAATCCCAATACCTACATCAAATCCATATATGTGCGCCCCTAAAATGGCGATTTTGGCATCAATCTCCAGGGCACGGAATAGAAGAATGCTAGAAAGATTGAAAACTTGCCATTTCCAAGCCTGGACTATTGTGCATTAGCGCTGAGTGTCTCGTTCGGCTGCATCTAGGCTCAGGCAACCTGAACAGCTTGGCGCAATTCGTCCGCTGTTCTGGTTCGTCGAGAGAATCAGTGCATCCCTGGTTGAGCAGCAAATTCTATTGGCTCCATAGCCGCTGAAAATATAGCCAATTGCTTTTTTGAGACTTCGGCTCGAGAGGGGGGGGATATTATAAGCGGAATATCCAACCAATCTTTTCACCCTCACAGCTACAACTTTACGTATCTCCCTTATTCAATGCCAAAGATTTATAAACTACCTTTGATTACATCTCCTCCCATTCTCATCAAATGAACTTCATAATCGGCAAGAACGAGGATGATGAGTTCAAGAAGCTGACACCGCACTGGATCCGCATGACGAGGTTCCTAGAGCTGGAAGATGGCCTCAGATCTCGCCACGGGAAATACCCTTGGCTCTGGTGCCTCCTGACAGTCCACCAGGAATTCGACTCGCGCCTAGCAAAGGCCGCTTCCCTAAAGCCTCTCACCGACCAGTTTGAACTATACCCGCTCAAAACCATCCAGAGAGTGGCATTGTTCCGCCAGGACGTCAAGACGCAGGATTTGACGCACGCATTTCTTGCGTTTTTAGCTTCGAGGCAGGAAAGCTACCGCCTATGTTGGTATTTTATACAAAGAAGCCTCCAAGCCCAATTTAAGAGTTTGGAGGAGCCCACGGAAATTCACTCTTCGGGGGGTTGGAATGACTATGAAGCCGGATACAGTTTCAAAGGCGAGAATTTCGACGACTCGCCTGCCCTTACAAGCCAAGACAAAGCTCTGGCCGAACAAGTCCGGAACTTCGCCATCAAATTCCAGGAGGACTATGCCAACATCCGGAATCGCAGTAAGTCCATGGCCTGGATCCCATAATTCTTCGATATCAGGCGGCTGCTCACACCGCACAGAGATAACGGCGTCTGAGCCGATTGCAGACAAGCTGCAGGATATATTCCACCAGGCAAAGAAATCCTGGCCAAAAGAGATCGACGATATCTGGAAGTTTCTCGGTGATATTATGGAACTCGAGCCTTCTGACACCAAGTACCATCAACGGAAGTACGAGAATGCGTTCGCTCTCACAGCGCTTTTGGAAGCCAACTTTTGCATGTTTGCGAGGATGGATACTGGAACCCAAGCGATCACCACTTGGCCGGAGGCCTTCCAGAGGCTGAAACTGAGTGCTGAGGAGAGATCGAGCAAGTGGGGGGCCATCTATCAGGAGATAGAAACTCTCAGAGGCACAATCGAGGAGCAACGTCAGATTATCACGTGTCTTGAATACCGCCATATCCTGGAGCATCTGCCTCCCGATCGGGTCCCCGGCAAGGGCGGCCCGAAATGGATGAATCTGTGGGAGGAGGTCGTGAACCAGGAACTGGATCTACAGCTCCTGGGCAACTTCGGACCACGGGCTCTCACGCCGCTGTTTGAAAAGAAAGTCAAGGATCTCACCAGAGCGAGGTTACAAGCCATCACGAATGAGATCAACCGCCAAATCACAGTGGCACAGGCAAATGGGCGGCTGCCAGCTAAGCCTATGAATATTGCCCAAGAAATAAACGCGGCTCCCAACAATATATACGGTGGTGTCAAAGTCCCATACAAGGAGTGGCCGGGGTATCGGAGAGGTGAGGACATGTATAGTGACCTAAGTGAAATGATTCACGGGTATGGGAAGAAGTACGAGTTCCAGGCGACGAATTGGCCAAAGCTGGAACGACACATCCTCGAGTGGCTGAAACCCAGCAGCGCCGCGGCTCGCGACGGGGAAGAGATTATCTGGGAGGATGAGAGGCTGGAGAAGAAGATCCGGTAACGCTCGATTCATTTTTGGGTTAGAGGTTAGATATGAAGTTATCTGCAGAATCAACAGGAGTCGGATGCTGTGCCCGAGGTTGAGATGATGAGCAAATAGCTTGGCATCCTATACAGAGCATCATAAAAGCATAAGGGGACGAATAAAACTCGGTAACAGGACAACGGAGACTCAAATAGGGCAATGCTGATTGTCCTGGTTTTGGTTCTTACACAGGCTGATGACGATTCGTCCCTCGAATATTTCAATTGATACTGTTCTCTCTTGCAAATATGCCATGGATCGCCTGAATATCTATGATAAATCAACACATATTTTTGTGTACAGCTGGATCAGTACATTTCAGAAGTCTAAAACTACTTAAACAAAGAGATAAATCTTCTCCTTTCCAGAACCGACAGCCTTGATCTGAGAGCCGATCGTCAAGGGGCTGCCCTCACTGACGACAAAATGCCCGCTTTCCCGCCCCTCAGGTACGCCCTTTGCTCCAAGAATCTCGTGGATGTTCGTGCTCACCAGATCCAGCGCCTGTTTCTCAGTCAGGCGACCCTCCCCGTTGCGGTAGGCCGTCCCGGCCGCAAACGCAAGGTCACGGACCTCCCAATCTTCCAGCAGGCCGACGCCGACCTTGACGCCCGCATCCAGCAGCCAGTCGATGGTCGTGCCATTGGTCAAGGGTGCTCCTGGCAATGCCCTCCGGCTGTCCCATGACTCTCCCTTTGCTTGGAGCGGCGTCAGGATCACGCCGACCTGGGCTTTTGCCAGCTCCTTTGCGACGATGTGAGATTCCGCGCCGCCGATGATGGCCAGCCTGATCTTCTTTCCGAATTCGTAGGCTTCCAGGTCCTTCTTCACCCTTAAAGCGGAGGCAATACCGTCGGCACTGTTGATGGTCAGCGCCAGGGTCCTCTCACCCTCTAGCACCTGCTTGTGGAAGCCAGCCTCTGAGTATGGCGCGGGATCCTCCTTGCTCTGGCCCACGGTGATGAGTGCAGTGCGAAGAGCACCAAACGCCGCCGAGAAGCTGGCGGTAGCCTTGACGTTCCCATCAAGGGTATAGTGGACAGCGACGTCGTCTGCAAATACGGCGCCATCGTCCAGGCTGATCCGCGCGTCTGTAACGAAGCCGACGCTGGTGCCATGGTGTGTGGCGCCGCCGAGGAATTTAGGAGCCGAGAATGCCCTGGTCACGCCGGCGGTCACCGCAGCGTGGAGTTTCTTGCTGTCAAACGCGAGTCCGTCAATTGCTCGAGAGAAGGTAGCAGGGTTGTCACCGTTATCGGTGCTTGACTCGGCATCAATCTCGTTCAGACCAAGTGTGCCAGCGACGCCGGTCAGACCATTGTACAGGTATCCGTTGGTCAATTGGGTCACTTTGATCCCAGAGTCTGCAGCGATCTTGAACTCGCGCTCGCAGCTTCCAAGACACGAGAGTTTACCGTTGGTGATGACGGCGTTCAACGAACTCTCTTCTGATCCCAAGGTTTCACCTGCCAGCAAGACTTTGGTAATGCCCTTGAAGAGTGCATCCTGAACCACCTCTGGTTCTTCAACAATATGCGACAGTGCTTCATCTGGAGTGATTGGAGCCGGGGTATTCTTAGAGAGAACCACTGGGTCCTCATACTGCGCCGTGCCATCAATCCAGACCTGAACTGGAGTCGCACCAACACTGAGAGGATCACTGTCCCACACAACAACGTCGGCGTCGAAGCCTGGCTTGATTTTCCCAAGACGTTGACCCAATCCAAGTAGCTCTGCCGGGGCACTTGTAACAGCGGAAAGCGCGGCGTGATAGGGGAGGCCCCAGTGGTAACCCTTGGCTGCTTCGAAGAGAACGTGCTGAGCATTCAGGACAGGGTTATCGCTAACGTAGACCGTAGTAAGGCCTTCGTCGTAGAGATACTTTCCAGCGAACTGAGATCCGATATATGCCTCTTGCTTATAGTACATGTTATCGGCAAAGAGGGCGGATGCAGGAGCCCGGCCGCCCCAGGTGCGGTTAAGAATCTATAAAGTGTCAGAACAAGTGTCTTCAGTTCAAAATGGCCGGTTTACTTACCTCAGGAACTAAGAACGTCTGGTGAGCATGATGGAAAGCTCGAACAGGAAACTCGAACTCGTTGGTGTGATCGACCATAGCTTCAAGGTCGGGGATAGTGTAGCAATGGGTATTGATATGAACTTGGCCTCGCAATGCCGCGACTAGAGGTTCCCAGAAAATCTCCTGTGGAAGATACTCGTTCATGTTCTCTACGCCAATAACTTCGGCCTTGGTGCACCAATCGTCTTGTTTCTGGATCAGGGCTCGCGCTTCCACGAAGGCCTTGCGGAACTCAAAGCTTTCACCCATTCTCGTCATGGGTCGGGTTGTGCGTGAACCGTGGTAGCGCTTCGGATTTTCACCGCAGGCCATCTTCATGTAGCGCCAGCTACGCTCGGGGTCAGCCAGCATATCCGCAGCACTGATCTCGTTGCGACCATCCTTCTTCCCAACGGCGTGCTTGACAACATAGGCCTCGCCTCCTATGTTGTTAGCAGAACCCGGCAAAACGAGAGACGTGGTGACACCTCCAGACTTGATCACTTGGATCTGAGGATCCAGAGGCATGATGGCGTCAATGGAGCGAGCCCAGGGCGTGATGTTGTCTGATCCCTCGTTACCATCCGCACTCCCCCGAAGCTGCGGGAGCGAATACACGCCAGCATGGCTGTGCATGTCGATGACACCAGCAGTGAGCTGGCGGCCCTCAGCATCAAAGATGATCGTGTCATCCGGAAGGCTCGACGAGAAGATGCGATGCTGGACCGTCTGAATGAGTCCGTACTCGAGCAAGACATCGCCGCGGATCCACTCCCATCCTTTGCCGGCCCTCGCATCCTCAGCGCTCGTCCCTTCAATCGGCTCGCCAACCCAGATTGTAGCGTTTTTGATCAGGGTCGGCTTGCTGCCTTCAATATACCGGGCATTCTTGTCACGGCCGAGTCCAATTGGATCTTGGGGCTTAGACTGGAGCTTGGCGCAAGTCTGAAGGTCCGCTCTCAACTTCACAGCCGACAACAACGGCTCTTTGGTTGTTCTGTTCCAAATGAGCGTCCATTGGCCAAGGGCGATGAGAATCAGCGAGGCGACAGAGATAGCCTTGATGACTCGTGATCGTCGGAAGCCTGGTCGACGGCGGGAGAGACGAAAGGGCGACGCGGCAGTGGCCGCAGAATAGGGCGGCAAGTCTGATTTCCTGTCCATGTCTACTTCGCTTCACAGGCTCACACAAGCTCTGGCATGAATCTCAGAGCCAGCAGCCGCCAGGTGTTGCGGTTATATGAGCACGAGGACAACGGAGAGGGGAGCGAGCTCGGCTCAGAGCTTGTGGAGACGGAGCTCTTATCAGTGGGTGATAAGCCTCGACATCCCTGAAGCAACAGGGGACCTTTGAGATGATGCAATTCTAGCCTAAACTACATAATTCGAAATGTACAGTAGTTATATTAGTTGTCTATCCATACTATGATGGAGTTTACCTTATATATATCTCTCTAGGATGTTGTTAAGGTGACGGATCAAGAGCCTCCGTGATTGTTGGCGTCTCCTGTATAAAACAATCATACCTTTCTGTCGGCCACGGATACAGCACTCTTTTCATGATTCAATACAGTAAGACACAGGAACAAGTGAGGAATCTCATCATTTCATCAAATATAAAAAGCCCGTTAACATTTGATTTCATTCCCATAGGCATCCCTCATAATCTCGTGAATAATAGAACAATTTTCCCCACGCCTCAACCCAGATTCATCTCATCATGATTAGCAATGAACAGGTTGGTTTCTGTCCACTAGCCAGCTAGTGTAAACACCTGCTCCGTCCCATTGTTGCAGTTATCAACATCAATCACTCCATCAACTGCAAACAGACAGAACCCTTCGCCATTCATGGGAGTCAGTCCCAGCGGACCCTTGCCCCCATCAAACTTCCACAGCTGAGAGTCCGTCACCTCGCCAGATCCATCTGCCCGTCCTCCACACGAGAAGAGGTTGATCTGGCTCCCAGGTTTCCGCCTGGGGTCGGCGTTGAAACACGCCTGCGTGAGGGTGCTGACGATGAGCGTGTAGCCTTCCTTGTCGTTGTGCGCGCCCTTGGTGATGAAGTCCCATCCTTGACCATCAGTCGTTCCGCAGTCGGCGATCTGGATGGGGGTCAGATTCGCGCGAAAGTCACCAGATGTCTTTTCAACATAGAGGCAGCGGCCATCAGAAGTCTTGATTTGGATATTGGAAAAGGCACGAGTGGCAGTCTCGTCTCTGTGGTGAGCCTCCTCGTAGGCTTCTTGGTTGAGAGTGGCAGGCAAGGGGATGGGAATGGCCAAGATGAAAGCCGCGAAGTAGAGAAGGGCAATGACAATAAACAGCATTTTGTAGATTTGCAGCAAATACAATAGGCAGGTTGATGTGGAAATCAGAAGTGAAGAATACGAAATGTTTCTCGTCAAAGTCCGTCCAGCGGCACGAAGTTGATAAAGTAAGGAAAGAGAATGAACAAAGAAATAATTTTAGACAACGGTAGAGAATGGGATATTTGGACCATTCTCATCCCGTAAAGTAATCATTCGAACAAAGGATATATATTTCTTTAAGGGAGGCATCTTGGCAAAAATTGGTTGTTGGTTAAGCGCCCAATTGTATGGCATATCGTTTCATCATTAAACCACAATCGGTCGCAACTCTCGACTCCGATAGCAAAACGTTTCATTCGCCAGGCCCGCAAATTGTGTCAAGTGGAATTGTTGTATGTACAAAAGTCAATGCGGCTCATAAAACGATCTCGTATACTTTAGCCGCCTGACGTGCATCATGTTTCGTGTCAGCCACTAAGCGCGCGGGTTTGAGGGAGAACCAACGAGATCGAATCAATCGCATGTCCCCATAGAGAACCCAAAACCTAAGAATAGATTTCAAACCGTGACCGGTTTCAATAGAGAAGTAGCTTGGCCCAGATAACCCATCTTCTGTGGGTTGGGTTATCGTGCATCCCAACAGACCGCCCAAACCCCCGTTGTCCGACTTAGAACCGATGATAGGTTGAAGGAGAGAATAAGGGCTGTGGCTCTAAAATCCACCCATTATGAGTGCGACGCTGAAGGTACACTCTACCCAGTCAGAATGCTACCTTATACTGCCCTCGAGACCTGAACGAGGAAAAGCGCTCGAGGGCTCTTCAAACGAATAGGAGCCCAGAAGGAGGTAGGACACAGTGTGCATATGAAACCGAGTGTGCACTCTCAGCCATATGGGTGGTTTGGGTCTCTGGTCGCCGGGCAGTCGTTGAAGTATCCAGGGCAGAATACGCCGCTGGGGATTATGGCTGTATTGTGCCAGTTAGGGAGGCAGTCTTCTGGGAAGTCAAAGGGGAGGTCGTTGATCCCCTCTCCCACCCACGACTCGAGCTCGTTGATCCGGTTGAGCTGCTCAATGATAATATCACAGGAATCACCAGCTACCAGCGGCCCATAGCATCCGCATCGGTTGTAATACAGCAGGTACTGGCACATTGCCGTCGGCGCCTCGACATGAAAGGTGCTATTGGCAGATAGTTCTATGGGGAAAGGGGATCATCTACGAAGTGGCACGACAGTCCGTCCACCGATCCATATATGAGCTTCCCACGCTCCTTGGCCTTCTTGCAGAGTTTGTGTCGGTCAGGCATGTTGGCAATTGCGATAACGATGCTCATAATAACAGCCAGGAGAGACGGGAAGCTTGAAGCAGTTTGTACGCCATGCCACTGCCGTGCCTTACACAAACCCACTGTTTCGCTCTCCTTTTCCCGGTCCAAGACATCGTTGGCGCCATCGATGAGTCTTTTATCAACCAAAAACTCAAGCCAGAAGTGGCTCATGGCAGCATGGACGGGCGATGGTGATTTGGCTTGCTTGTCCACAGCCCATATCGTGCTTTCCAGGACACTGTTTTGTCCGCGGTTGTTTCCTTACCATGAGATTTCAATCACTCGCACATACAAATGCAAGCAGGCTGAGCCCGCCCGGTTGCTTTCCTCGTTTTCGTCCTCTTCTCCCTTCCCTCACCTGCCGTAGCCACCACTCTGATCTCTCCGCATCGTGTCATCCTGTGGGACAGCCCAGTTGAGTGATACGTGCCATGGTGGCTTGGCTGCTGTGCCCAAACCAACAGGTTGGGGCAATGCTCCGAAACAAACTCAGTTTAAGCTCTTGCGACAGCAACGTGGTTTGAGGATTCAAAGGTGCAAACTAAGCCATGACAGCGGCAAGAATTCAATTCTCAGCAAGCAGACTCTCGATAGCATCGGTGGGCAGAGCAAACCCTTTGTACTGGCCGGGTAGTCAACAGTGTTGCAGAAGAGGGAATGGGAACAACCCATCCGTGTTAGTCCAAGGAAACGGGCAAAAGATCTGTCCTACCCCCCGGATCCTGATGGTGTCTAGCAGGGGCTCCGTCCATTCCAGTGTCAGATTGCATCGACGCCAACGGGGCAACCACCAATGAGAAGTCTCGGGTTAGTATCGCAGCTGAGAATGTAATGCTCTACAGGGTGATAGACAATCAGATGACAGCCCTCAGTGTGGCTGCCATGTGATGTGGCAATCGGCCATGCGCCCTGCTCATGTGGATTATCCACATGAGAGTTGGAGAGCTGCAAAGCTTCGAGAGCTGCAGCACGGGCGATAGGCAAGGTCGATACCCGCTAAAATAGGCACCTCTTTAGGGCACTTTGCCGGGGTACCTGCTGTATGATAAGGTTCCTCCCGGCAAGCGGCACACCGTATTGGTCTAGCGCATGGCTGCCTACATTACCCAGCCCCCAGAATTGCCTTGAATGGACTGGACGTCATGCTCTATAATTACCTGCAGCAGGGCACGCGATCTATCTATCGGGACTCTCCTCACTCTAGGTCGAGCTGTTTCCAATTCAGAGCCTGAGAGAGTCACCGACGACGTCTTCTTCTGCGATTGCTGGTTCACGCTGCAAAAATGGTATGTATCCCCTCACCGCCTCCTCCTCCGGTCCGGTGCGATAATCTCATTGCTCATGTCACCTCAAATGCAGACGTCCGAGCGAAGCCCTCTCCTCGCCTCTGGCGACGCCGCTGCCTCGACCAAACCTAACCCTCGCCCGTCGCGCATCCGTGAGCTTGGCCTTTTCATCTGGGCTCTTGCTGCGACCGCTGCCGTCATCATCATTGCAGTCTGGGCCCAGCATGTCCAGCAGACGGCCCCCCATCGCCCTCCCAAGCACCATGCCTCCAAGCGCAACCTTGTGTTCATGGTCTCCGACGGCATGGGCCCCGCCTCGCTCTCGCTCACACGCTCGTTCCGCCAGCACATTGACGACCTCCCCATCGACGACGTCCTTACACTAGACAGACACTTCTGGGGCACCAGCCGTACCCGCTCCAGCAGCTCCCTCGTGACCGACAGCGCTGCCGGTGCAACTGCCTTCTCCTGCGGCCGCAAGAGCTACAACGGTGCCATCTCTGTTACACCAGACCATGAGCCTTGCGGCTCTGTCCTGGAAGCCGCCAAGAAAGCCGGGTATATGACTGGTCTTGTGGCTACTACAGCCATTACCGATGCTACACCCGCTTGCTTCGCCAGCCACGTCCTCGTCAGATCCATGCAGGACGAGATCGCCATGCAGGAAATCGGCGCCAGCAGCCCGCTCGGCCGGTCAGTTGACCTGATCCTTGGCGGTGGTCGTTGCCATTTCCTCCCCAACCACACCGACGGCGGTTGCCGTGAGGACGACATCGACGTCGTTCAGCTCGCACAGGACAAGTACAACTGGACTTATGCGGGAGATCGCAAGAGCTTCGATGCTCTCGATGGCGGCGAGAAGGTCGACCTACCCATCCTTGGCCTGTTTGCGCACTACGACTTTCCCTTTGAACTCGACCGTCGCAACCAGAACGATGTATATCCCAGCCTCAGCGAGATGGCCACCACCGCTCTCCGTGCTCTTGAAAAGGCGACCGCGGACAGTGACAAGGGTTTCTTCATCATGATCGAGGGCAGCCGCATCGACCATGCCGGCCATATCAATGACCCCGCTGCGCAGGTTCATGAGGTCATCGAATACGACAAGGCTTTCAAGGCCGTCCTCGACTTCATCGAAAGCTCCGAGACCGAGACCGTGCTTGTGGCAACCAGCGACCATGAGACTGGCGGTCTCGCCACCGCCCTCCAGGAGCCCGGCCACCTGCCCGTCTACAACTGGTACCCAGAGGCCCTTGCCAGAGCCAACAGCTCATGCGAGTACCTCGCCAGCAAGCTCATCAAGCGCGTCTCGAGCACCTCCGAGACCAAGAAGAAGCTCAAGTCCTGGATCAACGAGGAGCTCGTCATCGGAGGCCTGGGCATCACGCACGCGACCGACGAGGAGCTCGAGTACCTCATCGCCCACCCCGACCTGTCCGTCCACATCTTCGCCGCCATGATCTCCCTTCGCGCCCACGTCGGCTGGAGCACCCACGGCCACACCGCCCTCGATGTCAACATCTACAGCTCTGGCCCGGACAGTGCCAGCGTGATCCGCGGAAATGTGGAGAACACCGATGTCGGCAAGTACTTGCGAAGCTATCTCGATGTCGACGTGGAGGAGGTCACCACCCAGCTCAGGAAGCAGCTGAAGTTGGCGGAGATGAAAGGCAGCTTAAATTTCGGTGCGAAGAAGCTACACGAGAAAGACTATCACAGAAATGAGGAGGTATAAAGTTGATTGAAGCTTATACAGGTACGATGCTTATGCTAGGATTGATCAAATAGATCAGTAGAAAGGCATTTTAGAGATATTTTTGGCTTACGGGGGGAACATTATACCCTGGGAACACGAGCACGAGATTTGGATAGATTGATATTTATCATTCGAAGAACTTCAGACAGCATTACAGGTTCATATGTGCAGAAATTTACAATGAGAGACTTGCAGCCCCTGATATAGGACTATTATATGATCCAAGATTCTCATCATGATGATCCAAGGATTCATTTCGTGATGATCCCAGGGAGAGGCTAAATTAATATAGGGAACAACAAGGTCAATTGCACGATGTAAGGCAGGCGGGTGTTGCCCTTGGGGGATTGAAATTCGTAGCAAATCACAAGGAAGGGAAGGCTGGAACTAAGAGAGATGAAGTTCATTAAGAAAGCCAACAAAATCTTCCCAAGCGCGCCGCTATTTACCAAGTATACCCAAGGCCGTCAAGCTTAAACTCCCTGTCGCCGTCTAAGAGCTAAGCCAGTTTCCCTATAACAAACCAAAATCGATAACTAGATTCCTTCCCGCTATGATCATCAGTCATTATAGACCAAATTGAGAAAGAGTAAATAAAGCCCAAGTACGAATAACTCCTACAGAGAAATAACTCGGGACAGAGCATGGTTTAGTCCTTCTGGGCAGCCTCCATGCTATATCTCACGTACAAGCGGTCCAAGAAATGAGAGTGCCGAATACCGTGTGGTCTGTTCGTCGCAAACTCTGCGATCGCGTCCTTGACACTGAAACCACATCGCTCGACGAGGTAGCACACAATGAAATAGCCTGTGCGGTTGAAGCCATAGTGACAGTGGACGCCGATCAACTCTTTCTCGCCCTCGCCAGTCTCTGGCTGCCGGCTTCGGATAGTGTCGATGAGCTGGATGAATTGTTCGACCTCCTCGGCCGTGGGTGGCACCTTGGAAACGGTGGGGAATTTGTGGTAATGGACGCCTGCCCGCTCAAGCCCACGCGGGTCATAAACAGGCTGGTCTTTTGAAATATCGACGACGTTTTTTATAATGTGTCCCCAGTGGCTGACAAACTCTGTGGGAGTGTGTACGTCGTCTGCCTCACGGAGGGTCTTCATAGCTCGGAAAATGGGCTTTCCAGCAGGACCAATGGGCTCAGATACCGGCGCTACCTTCTTCCATTTGTTCAGATTCTTGACATCCCATTTGCCCTCCCGGGATAAGTACTGCAGCTGCCAGGCCAAAGACAATCTCTTCGTCACATTGGTGGCGAGGAAGTCGGATATCAAGCCAGCCAGGGCACGAACAGACTTGGGGACGTAGAGCACAGCGTGAGTGGCCTCCGGCATCACAATGTACTTGACTACCTTGCGGGGATGGCGAGGCTGGGGCGGGACATCCGCTGGTGTCTCCTGGGGAGTTGAAGGGTCATCATCTTGACTTTCGGGTTGAGGTTCCTTCGTCTTATAAAAATCCGACTCCCTAATATCTTCAATAGTCTCAGGAAGATGATCCTCGAGTCGAGTCGATATATCCACAGGAGCAGCTGAAACAGCGCCCAAAGCATCTGTTCCCGCTGCTTCGGATCCTGTATCCTTGAGGCCTAACTTTACCGCCTCGAATATCTTCTGAACTTCTGAGGGCGGGGTCAACTTGTCCTTGTCGCCCGCGATCACAAAGACTGGAATATTGAGTCCTGCCCAGACATCCAGACTCGCCATACCACCCACTGGCTTTCCCTCCTTGTAAGTCGGTAATGCGCCGTTCAAAGTCCGTCTCCAAACCGGTGTCCGGCTTTGCTTGTTGTAACGATACTGCATAGCCTTCAGCTCGGGTTCAGCGTCAGGACCAACCAGGCGGCGCACACTCCCACTCTCCGGGCCACCCATCCCATCCCAAGCTCGCCACAGGTCAAAGATCCACCCAGGAACCCACAGGAACCATCTCACTCTGTTGGCCAACACCTCGCTCACTGGAGGGGCAGGACAGATGGCGATGAGCCCGACAACGTACTCTGCCAAACGAGTAACGTGGGCGACCTCCCTGTTCGCCAATCTAGCCGCATGCGCTGTTCCCATGCTATGGCCAAGCAGCACAACAGTTTGCCCCGCATCCTTGTCTCGATAATCCTCAATAATAGTTTCAAACAGCTCTCCAAGGGCCTCGAAAGAATAGGCGTCCCAGGAAGTCGTGTTAAAGCCTGATCGACCACCACCTGGGTAATCGATTGCCAGACATGGCGCCAAATCGACGAGGCTGTTGAGGAGAGGATCAAACTGCGCGACAGAACCGCCCAGGCCGGGAATGCATACCAGCAACGGCAGGGGTCCTATCGACTTGTAGAGCTCCTCGGCCTTGGCATGCTCACGGTAGAATACTCTAATGTCCTTGTACTCTGCATGGCTGGTTTTGTAAGTCTTCAAAGCAGAGTGATTCTTCAGAAGAGGAGGATCTGTGAGATGAGGGTCGGTGGACAAGGGAGGGAGTGGGCGCTCCATTCGCGCCACAGTTCATGTATGGTGCTCCCCGAAGAGAGCGAATCGGACAAGTCTCACAAACAGAGTGTGAAAAGGGCCAATGCGTGTCAGAAAAGAGACGAGGAAGGCAAGCCGTCCTCCTCTCTCCGATCCCTGGCTTGTGAGAGAGAAAAACCGGGCAAGGTGGACGCGCAATCGCGACTGAAGATGACTCGATCGAGAAAGACCGGCCAAGAAGTTAGGTATTGCTTTGGGTATCTACCACCAGATGTGCGGCAGCGGGGCAGCTGGATCCCTAAAGTAGGTGCCTGTGGGTTCAGCCTCGTGAGTCCAGTGAGACGCCTGGAAAAAGCAACGACAGCGCAGGAGACGGATACTAGATAGGGCATTTAATGCAGGGCAGTCGCCAATAGTATCGCTTCGGCGACGGGGGCTGTCTTCCCATGGGGCCAGCAGCAATTCGGCTTATCGTGGTGCGAGAACCGGCGACGACGTTTTCAAACAAAAAGAGTCACATGTAAGGTTGGAGGATCTCGGGGTGTTTTTACTGGCGCAGGGCACCCAGCCACACTAATAAGCAGGGCAGAATAAACTGTTGAAAAAGTGTAAATTGTATGAGAGGCCACTCGTCTTGTCTCCCGATGCTAGAGCTGGTCTCGACTCTTGCACAATTGATTACCTGCAGAAGCGAGGCGAGGTGGGGATAGATGGAGGGGAGGAAGGAAAAAATGACATATTGCGCCCATTCTCCTCACTTCCAGCAGAGTGAAGCCTGCAGCAAGAGCTACCTAAACTTTGGTGCTGGACCAACCAATAGCCACCATGCAGCCATTTGAGCCTGCCATTGGAAGGGCTCAACCAGCCTCACCGACAGAACAGACTCCCTTTGTTCAATTGCCCCGACCAAAGTCTCGTAATTGCTTGGCGATCGACGGCGAGGAATGTTGAGGCCAGAGCCAATCATCCACCACAAGATAGGACATGTTTCGGATGGTTTTCGAGTCCCGCACAGCGGCAGGCTATTACTATTGCAATGACCAAATATTGTATTATTTTACAAGATTTTCCTGTGCACGAAGCTTGCTGCTAGACGAGCCTTCGGTTGCAGTTTGGGGATAGGCAGCATAACCGCCCTCCTGCCGTTTGCGGACATCACAATAGCTGGCTCAAGTATTCCATATCTTCGTCCCTAGTGTACATAGTGTGTATTGAATTTTACATTTTGTTGCTTGCGTCTGGTGGGTAGGTATTGTTCAATCGGTCCATTGACCGTCCTTCCATCCCAAAGGTACCAGCGCGGCCGCAACATCCGAAACTCCTCGCTCCGTAGCCAGCAAGTTGAATTGCGCTGCGGCGTTCCGTGTATCTAGGATATCAACTCGAAATCCCATTTTCGTGATGGCCTTTCGTGACTCGGGGCTCAATGGCATGATATTCTTGCCTGTACCGATGATCAAAAGGTCTATTTGTGAAGAGGTTCGTTAGGATTCTGCTGCAATGTCATGGGCGATGGCGGGGTTGGAAAGAAGGACATACCTGGGCGCGGCCAGAGCAGATCCAGCGTTGACAGACTTTCCTCTGGGAGCACGAACTGCCCCTTGGCATTGCCGAGCTTCTTGTCCGTCGCGAGTTCCCACGGCCGCCAGGAGAAGGCTTCCCCATTCACCAGCAAGGCTCCATTCCCGTCTGATATCGTCACTCCACTGTTGAGCCCGAAGCCGTCGTGCATGCACACGTCCACTGATGTAGATGGCGGAGGGGTGTTTCCAAACATATCCAGGTCCTGAATAGTTGCAGGTTTGGGCTGCGACTGCCTGTCGTCTCGTTTGCGCTGGGGAGTCGAGGTGTGAAGCAGCCTGGGGGTCAATCCCGGGCTGGCCGTCGCCCGTGATGCGATCCGCGTGGAATATGCTGTCGGTATTTGGCGCACATTTCTGCGAAGCACCTGACATGTGCAGCGTTGTAAAGGTTGTAAACGCATCATGGCTGTGGTTGTGGTTGAAAGGTGATGAAAAATGCCAATTGGCTTGCTTGGGCGACAAGCCTTAGAGGTTCCATTAGTCGTGGGTACTATTTTTTACCACACCTCAAGACAGCTTTTACAGTACCATCACCAGCACTCACAAGTGTTGACAATACTCCTCGTACCTATCTTTAAGTGAAAGGAACAAATATTTTCACCAATGGGATTTAAATTCAAAGTATTGATATCCGGAAATGCGCAGGATAGTTGGTCAACGGCGGGCCAAATAGGCATGAGGGGTCCAAGGTAGGCATTTAGGCTTGGCCAACATTAAGCACCAAGTCAAGTCAAACGTCACACGCAATCAGACACAATCCGGGCCAATTGATGGTTGTTTCATTTCAAATCACCAAGAGGAGGTAGCAGTCCTAAAGACAGCGCAAGGCCCGCGAAATGAGCTGGGCCTCGGAATGTATCATGCAGTCCCTTTTTGCCCTAATGAACACCGAAGCAATGAACCTAAACCCCCCTCGCAGTTCTTTGCCCTTTTCAAAGTCAAAAACCCCTTCGATCAAAAATTGGTTTTTTATTTCTTCTTCTGGCTCTGCTCCTGCTCCTTCAGAACCTTCTTGACGATCTTCTGCTCCTCGATGAGGAAAGCACGGACGATACGGTCACGGACGCAGTTGCCGCATCGGGAACCACCGTAGGCGCGCTGGACGGTCTTCTTGGGCTTGGAGATCTGGGCGTACTCGCGGGGGCGGAGAGCGGGAATCTAGAGTATTGGGTCAGTCTTTGCTCTTCTTGGGTGCATGTCTTCTGGCGCTGGCGAGCAATTCAACGGCGAGTTTGGTAGGCGAATGTCGAGTTAGGGCTCCTATGCGCACGGCAGTCGTAGATTCATCGAGATGTGATCCATTGCCAAGAAGCCCCCTTCCCTAGCCCTCCCTCGAGTTGTGTTGTCGTCCCAGGCAATATCCATCCAGAATTGAGGTCGACTTACGCCAGAGAGCTTGGAGCCGCAGTCACCGCACTTGGGGACAGTGCCGCGCTTCTTGATGTGAAGAAGGCGGAGCTCACCACCGGGAGTTCGGACAACACGGGTTCTGTTGGAACGGGTGTTCCAGCTATAAGGGAAAATTGTATCAGCCGACGAGTTTCTTGTCAAATCTGCATCCTCGCCGCGATTGGGGAGCAGTCCAAATAATAAAGAGTTAATCGGAAGACATCACTCACCCGTTGCGGCGGCGGTAGGTAACACGTTGAGACGGCATTTTGGCTCGGTGTTGCTGGGCGTTTGTCGATGAGGATCTCACAAGAAGCGAGGAATTTCGAGATTTAGGTAAATTTTGTGTGGGTGGAAGACGATTGTGCCCGCTAGTCTGACGAATCAGAGCGCTCGCTGGTGGGGGCTTTCGTTCTCACGTGACTGCGGGACACTCGAAAAATCAATATGTCAATTGTGGAGATTAATGAGGGTGCACAAGATGAGTGAGCAAAGGGCTTAGATGCCTAACTGCCTCTGGTGGCAGAGAGCATTTACTCATACAAAATGAAAGCGAGTATATACTACGTAGCTAAGACTCGCATATTCTCAGGCCTTCTATCCGTATAATTATACGCAGACAAGAAGGCCACAAACCACGCGATGGTCAGTTGGGCCTTTCATTTCACACATCCAGCGGCACTACATATATGCTACGGTTCCATTTCTGTTCTTTGAAACCCAAATCCTGCTCTACAATACTATTCGGAAGGACAAGATATGATGCAGATAGAAAATACGATGCAGGCAGAGGAAGGGTAAACAATTGCATTGGTGATACAACATAGGCAACCGGTTTCTACCCAGCCCATACCAACTTAAGGAGAGCCATTGGTAATCTCACAAATTTTGTCGCTTTATCGTACATACATGCAGGTGGTCTCTACTTAGAGCTTGCCAAGCCATTATACCAGTCTGGATGGTCCTTATGCCTCCATGGCTTGATACCTTTGGGGTCTTCTTGCTCACTTTTCTTCGCTCTGTCAAAGACAGCCTTAGTCTCTTCATCATGCATCTGATCAGTGAAGTCCCTGAGATCCTCTTGTGCCTCGCTGACCGCCTTCATGAACAGACTGAACATGACGTCGGCTGTATTTAATCCTTGTTAGTGATCGCTGGGGTACAGAAGAGTGCTGGATGCTTACGCGACGGCTGCTTTTGAAGCAGTGGCTCAAGCATTCTAGGTATAGTATCCCGCAAGCGTCGTGCCTGCATTGGGTTGCATGTTAGCAGGGCCTCCTCCTCGGGGTCGGAAACAAGTTACTTGGACATGAAGCGCATTTAGCCGTTCCATCGCCTGCTCCATCCGTGCTTCGTCCCACGCGGAGCCATCATCATTGGACGGTTGAGGGGGCTTGGAATCCATGATGCAGCGTCAGCCTGCGTAGCGCTTTGGGCGCAGTTCGTTTTGTGTACGTTTTACGAAACTGAAGGCGGGAAGACTTGGGGTCGTGTCACCCCTTTTGAGGCGCGATCACGTTGGGCATGAAAGTATGATGCGCGAAGGGGAGATATGTGTGGTTACAATCCGGCGTCTTGGTGGTGGTAGTGTTGGGCGTAGGTTCAAAGCTGGGCCAGAGAGGCAAGGTTGGCGCCGGGTGAGACCGAACAAGGGGAACAGTGGCACTACACACGGAACTCAAATCTACCACGAAAATTTTACCAAGACAGTTTGTGATGATCGGATATTTGCAGATCGGGACCAAAACAATGGCACAGAGGCGTGCAGCGCAATGTTGTCCTGTCAGGCCGCGATGCTTCTCTCTTCCCCTGTTTACGATGCTCTACACCTGGCGGTCTCGGGTAGGTACATAGCCCTCAGCCATAGGTAGTTGCGTCATCATGCCTTGCGAGAGATGTGAATGGTACGTGCTACATGGTAGATCCCACCTCGTCATACCGTCCGTCTGGGCGCTGGATCTTGAGAGATCCAAGAAGCTTCGCAGACAGTGCAGAGAACGCAGAAAGCCAGTCCATACTGGGGAGCCGATGCTTTTTTCTAGCTGACGTTCCATTGAATGCAACTTACTCCTGACTGGTGCCATCTGATGCGATGGCGGCAAGCCAACCGAGGAGGAAGGCCCCATATTTCTGCCAGGTTCTGCCAATCGAGATGGGCAGTGCAGGTACGTACTGGAGGATGGTGAATGGGTCACCGCGCGTCAGAGCAAACGAACACCAAACCTTAACTTGTCAACAGTGCGGATTGGAAAAATCCTCACAACCCAACCTTTGTCATTGATATACACGCACGGCTATCGTCACGACTCGCTGGCAAACGCGACACCCAACGATATACATCTGCACCGACTTTCCCAAACCATCCGATCCGCAACCCTTCCTCGCAGAAATCAAATTCGAGCACTTCTTTCCGTGCGACCGATCCCCTCTTTCCCACCCATCGTCCTCCAAGGCACGCAGCCTTGAACCCACCGCAGCCACGGCCTACCAAGTCGCCATGACGGGCACTCCGCCCCCGAGTCTTATTCCTCCACCCGAGGGCATCTTTAGATCATTTGAGGATCTGATGAACTCGGTGCAGCGTGTTGCGAAAGACCAAGGCTATGGAATTGTGAAGCTTCGTGCGTCCAACTACCGAGACGGCAAGCCCACGCGGTATGACCTTGTGTGTGATCGCGGCGGCGTCAAATACAACAGCACCGCAAAGAAGCGAAACCCATCCACACGAAAGATTGACTGTCCTTTCCGGGCCAAGGCTGTTTGTGAAGTACAACTCGGCAATCAATGGCGTTTCGCCCTCCAGGAGCCTCGCCACAACCACGAGCCGCGCGCACCGAATGGGCCCTCCACCCCTGAGAACGCACCACTTGCGACTTCTATTCGAACCTTCAACAACAAGCTGGATCGCATGAACCACGACCTGATGAATTGCCTCATGCGCATCGAGCAGCGATTAGATCACATCGAAAAGCGAATGGAAAACATGGAAGCACGCGCGGGCACCTACGAGCCACGCTTCCAAGCTCTCGAGCAGCGTGTTGGGGGTATGGAGAGCTTGCGCATGGATAGCTTGCCCGTGGACGATGTTGAGTCTCGGTTGTTGGCCTCGACGGTTATCTAGGAAGATCCGGTTGAACAAGAGGCCGCGAACGCAGGCGTTCTGTGAGTCTTATCGAGCCCGCGGCAGAGAGCCGCAAGCCTTGCGTCCGGGCACCAGCGACGCGCAAAATCACATGGCCTCTCTGGCGAGTTTCTCTTCGGCATTTTGCGTCTAGTAAGCGATGCACAACCTCGCACTAAAGATCGAGGGGGATTTCGCGTTTCTTAACTACAGCCCCTTCTAGAGAGCGAAGCTTTAAATCTTGGTCTTATTTACATATCTATTGTTTCAGAGTATCTTTCGGAGCAACATTTTGTCAACAATGATGCTCCCAAGTGTTCTCTTTTCTTATTCTTTTGCTTTTTTTCGGGAAGGCGTTCTGGATGGATGATACAGTCAGGTTCACAGATCTGCCGCAGAGGACGGTGCGATCAAAGGCGCTCCACGGATTGTTTTACAGGGCTTCATATTACATGATGACGGGTTGGGTGCTATCTTTTTGCCTTTGTTTTCTCGCCAGAGCAGAGAGGTTGCGAGGAATGGCTTTTTTCTCATGCGTGGCAAGGTCGTCGGATTTGGCTGTTGCATTCAACGGGGCCTTGGTTGCCCTTTCATGCTTTGCGTGTTTTGTTTGGTTTGGGTTGGTCAAATTTCTCTTCTCTCATTGCTTCTTACTGTGCGCTGGTCGCGTACACAGGGCATTTTCTTTCTTCTTCGAAGATTCTCACCGTTGCCAAGGACCGTCACCAAATGTCTGACGTCCAGTGATCAATTTAACATATCACGCAACTCGATACACTTGTCGTAAATTACACTAATAGAATTGAAGCTCGAAAGAGCAACCTTTGACCTGCCTCACCAGTTTCGACCTCCCGGGAAAGCCGGATGTGTGCCCTCTGTGCCATGGTTTGGGAGGGCATCACCCCTGATCAGCTCGCGGGAACTTGCGTCATTAAGCACTTTGGATCCGCGGTGGCCGCGCATCACAGGCCACTGCAATCCTGGCAATCCTGGAAATCACCCCCACACCAGGGGTGACAGGTCATCGCTGCCATCGCCTCCCCTGAAATCTGCACCCAACCGCCACTGCCGTCTCGCAAGTCAGGATTTGGTTGGCTGAGGACCTCGGCATGCGCTGGTTGGTGTGTGAATATGCCACGCAATTGCTGGATTTTTCAAACCTATTCCAGCCAAACGACGCCCGGCGTAGTGATCCCGTGAGAGCGTACGAGGGTCCAGGTCTCCAAAATAGCAATTGCTCCTTGCATCCGTGACCAAAACTTGGCTTTTTGGATCCGCAGCCCCACCACCACAGTCTGGCGACCTGAGCTCAGCCCCCCCGGAAATTAGCGCGGAACGGCTCCGAGATGTCTGGTGGCCATGGCGCTGGGAATTGGGTGGAATGGGCCATGGCGAGCATGGGAAGTAAGACGATCATACCTCATGAAACATGGCAGCTCTCCCATAGACTTGGGACGTCTGGGATTGGTTTGGGTCATGGAACAATCTGGGATCCCTAGCCAGAGCGTAATTATCAGGGACTCCAAATTATCATTTATAAAGCAACCTTCTTATCTAGGGATTTGTGCTGGATCCGATACGAAGTCATCATGATTGCAATACCACTGTAACATAACCGTGCCATTACGGGAATTATGATTATGAACACAGATACCAAAAGAAGCGCAAAATTTCGTTAGTTGAGATTAGTTGACAAACAAAACTTCTTAATATATCATTCCTTAAGAACTAAGGTAGATGAACTTGCTGTAGACGATGCTTGCTGTAGGGTAAGGGGGATGGGGATATTTTGAGAGGGAAGGCACGTGTCAGCGTCTTCACAACCTGAAGTGACTTTCAGCGACACCACATCTCAACCTTGGGATTCTTCAGCTCTTTCAGCAACTCCAGATCCATCCCACATTGCTTCAGACAAACAAAAATCATGTCATACATCTCCAAAATATCTTTGCACCACTCGTTGTCTGGCAGCCGCTTGATTTGGGGAATTGATAGCTCGTCAACTAATGCATCCGCCCATGTCACATCAAATTGCTGAGATACGACCAGGTGTATAGCTAATTCGAGACCTGGAGAATTGCTCAGGTTAGATTGGCCGGCTTTGAACGCCATCCCGACGACCAGAATACGAGGTCTGCTGCCTAGCACTGCCCCTTTACCGAAATGATTCAGCTGTTCTACTGCTCGTTCTGCAATAGCTGCGGGCCGGGACCACATTATCTTGGTTGCCTTTTCCAGTAGAGGAAAGCTATTGTTGGAGAGCAGGTAAAATGGGTTGATGGGGATGCAGTGTCCACCCACACCAATGCCTGGCGTATACGACATAAACCCGAAAGGTTTGGTTGAGGCAGCCTCACAAACCTCAAAGGGGTTAATACCATGAGAGATGCAGGCATCAGCCATCTCATTGGCATATGCAATGCATACCATTCGCTGACAGTTCTCATACAGTTTGGTCATTTCTGCGACCTCAGGCGTGGAAACTGGGACCAAATGGTCAAAAACACGGCCATAGATACTGGAGATGGATTCCAATGACCCAGGGACTATGTCATCAAGCCCGGAGATAATCTTGGGGATGGACTGAACCGATGGATGCTTTCTCCCTGGATCGACTCTCTGTCACGATAGTTATCAGAATACGCAGAACAATACGGAAGAGTAGCGGGGTAAATCACCTCGGGCGACATGCCAGCAAAGAAACCGCACTCCTCGGCCAGAGGCCCAAGAAGCTGCCTAGTCATGCCGACGGCGACAGAGCTTTCTATGACAATGGTTGAACCGCGACGGGCTACCATGCCAACGGTTCTGAGTGCTTCACGAAGATAGGAGGAATCGATAGTTCGGTCCGGCCTCAGCAGGGTTGGAACCGAGATGAGGAAATGTGTCGCTTGAGCGAGATCTCTCGGATTGCTAGAGATGCTGATTGACGAGACCGTGTCGTACTTCTCACTTAGCTCGCGCACTCTCTGACTCGACACATCAAAGCCGATAACACGAAAGTGACTGGAGAAGGTCTCCACAAGATGGCTACCAACATAGCCAACACCCAACACGGCAACAATAGGATTGCCTTCAAACCCCTTCGTGTTGATGAAAGAAAGCGTGAGATCACTCTCGCTGGCGCTTACAGAGATGGGTGGGGTCTCTGGATAGAAGTCTGAATGCAGATATCCCCATGGAGCATCAACTTGGCCGTGAGTTTCTTGAAGCTCCACGCCTTGAGTTCGAGACCCAGGTTCAATGTTCGCAGCAATAAGTTCAGTCGCCATCTTGATCGATAAAGGATCTATGAATGAGAGAATTCAAGAGAGGAACAGAAGAAAGGAATTTAAGCGTCAAGCTTGTTCTAAGTATCCGTGTCTAGATGAGCCGTGGTCCTGGTACCCTTTGTTCTGGGCGTTTCGAATGTAATTGGGCAAACATGCCATATACTGCTCGGAACCCGGCGGAGGGTCTCGAAGTGAGTAGCATTGTGCTCGCTACGGAAGAGAGCACCCGATCGGAGAGATTTAGGTCCACTGTACAACCTCTTCCTTGTTCCTCTTATGGGCCAAAGTCTTGCTGGATCCACGTTCCTATTTCTGCCGTATTAAAAGTTCAGGATCATTACCTTTTCAAGAAACCTCATGAGATCATGCAAGGCAAGTTGTGTCCTCCAAACCCCCTTTTACTGGGTTTATGGTGTAATTCTACCGGGTTTCCACACGATGATCCCTCAGCTTGCCTCGAAATTCCCCGTCCTCAGCAAAATCTCCGATACAATGGTTCCATCCGTTTGTGGGTTAACGGGACACAGTGTCAAGCACATGCCGCAGGTACGGAGACAATGCATATTCAGTCGTGATATGTCTTCCTTGGCAAGAGGGGACCCGAACTCAAATTCTAACCTAATCATCAATAATCTTGACAGTTTAAATGGAACCCTAGTATCACTTGAGGGCAGGGCACTATATGTGCTACATATTGTACTATTCATCGGTTCTTTTGTGCCTGGAGCTTCCGATTGTTTGCGAGTCGAGGTGTCGAATGACAAACCACAAGCAGCAGGATAGCCGACACTGCACCGAGGACTCGAAAAGCTGAGAAGAACGGAATATGGCACATCAAAGTCAGGCCACTGAAAACTGCTGACGGTCGGATAATAACGAAGGAAGATGCAACCTTGGCCTATCCAAAAAAGTCTTAAATGGCCCTGCAGATCTATCCTAATTGAAATGCATTTAATGGTCCAGAGAAGAAGAACTCTTCATACACCCTTCGACTCATTTTGGCCGATTCATTGTTTCTGCAAAGATTTCTTGCACACGAGTGACAGGAATCTTGACCGGATACAGCCATCCATCCGCATGAGTGGATGTTAGTGTTTCCTGGCCATTCAGGCTCCTGGCTCGGGATTGATGGACGGGAACTATGGCTCATTTGATGGAACGTTGAAACGTGATACACGGTCTGCACAGCGTCTCGTGTTTTCGAAAGGCTTGCAGCGAGCGTAAGCCGCTTGCTATTCATAGTACGTATGAAGAGCTAGACTTCCCGTGACAGAAGCTCTCACCCCAAGCCACTTTCAAACATGCCTGCTGAAACTCGTGGTAATATGCTGTGGAACAAGCCTTTCAGATTTCCAACATTCATGCCGAGTAGATTGGCACTGTGGCTGCAGATGCATGTGTAGAGATTCGCTGCAGCTGCTACCTTGTGGAAGCTGCTGAGGTTTTTTATTGACAGCCGATAGCTGGTGCCTTCGTGTAGGCTTTCAAATTTAGAGCCGAACGAGCTTCAAGGTTACATTCGGCGCTCGTTTCATTACAGTGCCTGGATCGCTGTATTTTTGGGCTTCGTTTTCGTCCTAATCTCGGAGAACTTGTTGTTGTGGACATGATTTGCAGCATCTTTCACCTAGCTGAGCAAATGATAGCCGATGTGACTTATGATGCATCGAATGGCCTGATACCGCGAGTGCCTTACCCTCATGCTGACAACCCGTCAATGTTTCTGGGGTAGCACAGCACGATCAAGCCTCGGGTCTGAAACCTAGCGGTGGAGGATGTGCCAAGAAGAGAAAACAATCTCCAGGATGAGTTATGCAGCTGAGATCTTACCTTGCAACGTACAGGTCTGTATTGATCTGAAATCAGCCAATGGGCGCCGCCACATCGGGATTGCGTTGTGGGGTGTAATGCGGCAGCTTGTTTCTTGTTTCTAAGCAGACAGTTCATCAAATCTTCCAGGTCGGGCTTATCTGCAGTTTAGACGTCAGGTCTGCATGGTAGGCCAGACTTCTCGTTCCTCATGACCAAGGCCAGTAGGGAAACGATGGCCGCTCGCCGTGAGTTGGTCGGCTTTGAGAGCATGGATCACCCAGATTGTGTGAGCCGCATTGCATCCATCTCGGACAACGGCATGATACCGGAAGGTTACAATACGAAAGAAAACACCCAGAACTGAGCTTAGTTCCGATGGTTTACGATCATGTACCTCTTGGGCATGCTGTAGCCTGGTCGTATTCGTTATGCGTGGGCTGGGTCGCCGCCAGGCCGGTCGGGGCATTTCCCTGCCAGCTCACGGGTCCTCGAGAAGCGGAGAACCAAGAAGACTGATGAGAGCAGATATTTTTGCGACCTTGCATGCATATGCTGGTCATTGCCTAACTGGCTTATGTCAAATGGGATATGAACATCCAGCCCTTATTAAGCTACTTGCTCACATTAAACATACATCGGCCAGCTGTGAGATCTCGGTCATTGAGCGCCCTTCACACGTCCTGCGTATTTGAGAGTGAGAGGGCCTTATTGCTCTAATCAGTTACAATGGGCTCGATCGACATCTCGTTTGTTTTCAGCTTGGAGAAGACGAAAAAGGAGACGATCGTTCCCAAGCAGACTCGAGTAAGTGAAAGTCCAGCTGGTACAGCGAAAAAAGTCTATGTTAACCAAGATGGACTCACAGCCCGCAAAGCCCGATGGGAAGCGGAAGTTACTACTGCCGCCGCGCCCTGAGAGAGCCTCTATTTATGACTCAGAGGATTCAGTTGCCGAGAGCCTAGGCAGAACTTCAAGGAGTGCTGCCTGTGATGATTTGTATTCGTCTAATGAAGAGAATCCCTTTTCAAATGCAGCATCCTCCAAATCCTCGGTTGTCCAGGATGCTGTCGAAAATCCTGGCACTTGTCAACCGCAAGTATCTTATGACGCCTTCAAACCAAAGAGACCACCCGGTAGGCCTCTTATCACCCCGACACTCCCAAAAAATGGCCCTCAGACACCCTCCGGAGTAGCAGGACACTTCAGAGATCCAGAGGAAAATGACACTGGCTCTCGATCTTGGCAACCGGAAGCTACCGTCGCAATTCCACAGGAATGGAATACACAGCCCAACACTCAAGCTGACAGTATCCCAACGGCAAAGCCGGCGATGAAGGATGCTAGCAAACTGCAAAGTCAGACAGACCCGCTTCAAAAGAGAGGCCGAAGAAAGATGACGGTGACGAAATTCATTGTTGCAGCTGGTTTGATTGCTGTCAAGTAAGAAACCCTGCGCTAATTGTCCCGACTCCTCTTAACCAGTATTTTGGCATGGAACTGATTTGAGTGCAGTGGAATGTTCATATTTGCATCTTGGTGGTGGCAGAAGTATTACTATATATACCTACCATTCATCTGCCTGCCACTTGCTTTGAATTGTTTCATGATTGCTTCCATTATCTTCTTCAAGTTGCGAAATACTGCTCGCCCGGAGAAGATCATCGAGCCTGAGCACGTTGAGTCTTTTGGCATGGTCATTCCGTGTTATAACGAGACTAAAGAGGAAATGACCAAGTCTCTAGACTCTCTTGTCGTCCAAACTGGCATTGATGACAATAAGAAGGCCATCATCGTTATTTGTGATGGTCGTGTTCGCGGCCCTGGGATGGAAAAAACGACGGCGGACTATCTTTTCGAGGATATTTTGACCGAGCAGACACATCGCAGTAAAATAAAGAAGGCTTATATGGCCTGGGATGGGCAGCAGATGGGCATCGAGGTGGCTAAAGGCTTCTATAAAGGGCTGCCCTTCTGCTGCATTGTCAAAGATCAAAATCAAGGCAAGCGGGACAGCCTGATTGTTGTTCGCTCCTTTCTGCATAAGTTCAATCACCGGAGGGCCAATCCTGAGCATATTTTCTCACCACGCTTCTTCGACTACATGGAGAGCTGGCTGGGCAAGGATGTCGATGTCAACTACATTGACCACCTTGTCGGAATGGATGCCGATACAGTGTTCGATACTGATTGCATTTCACAGCTGCTGAAAGAATCTAAATACCCGCACACCGTCGGCGTCTGTGGGTATGTCGCTGTGGACTTTTCGGGTGGCAGCTGGAACTTGTGGTCGTTGTACCAGAATTCGGAATACAGCATTGCACAAGGACTCCGACGCTTACACCAATCCATTGCCACGAAAAAGGTTTCCTGTCTTCCCGGGTGCTGTCAGCTTCTTCGCATCTGTGAATATACCTGTGGAGACAAGGTGCTGGTCGAGCTTTTTGGCTATCATCCTAAACCACTCGACGGGCTGCTTACGCAGATCAGGGCAACTGCTTCGGAAGATAGAAACCATGTAAGTTTTCTCCATATATTAAACCTTTTCTATTACCCCTTGTGGGAAAATGGATGGGTGGCTACCCATGAATTGGATTCTAATTAGGGCAATTTTCTAGGTCTGTCTTATGCTTACGACGCACCCGGAAGCCCAAACTCGTCAGGCTCTTCGGGCAAGAGCATTTACTGATGTACCTCACTCTTGGAGTGTCTATCTGTCTCAGCGTCGACGGTGGACGTTGGGAGCCACCAGCAATGATCTTCTACTGACTCTTTCCTGGCACTGCCAGTGGTGGGAACGAATCCTTGCCTTCAGCAATGTTCTGGGATGGTGCCTCAACGTGTTCATTGTCGCATCTATTGCATGCATGGTTGTGGCCTTCATGTCACAGCCGTGGTGGATCATTTTGGCATTTGCGTCCGTCATGATTGTCCCGCTCTGCTATTACCTCGTTATGACTCTGTGGCTTCCACGCACCCTGAAAGAGAAGATGCAATATCTGGCGGGGCTATTCATTTTCGTCGTCTTCGGACCATTTGTCAATATCACTGTCCTTCTATTCGCCGTCTGGAACATGGACAGTTTCGGATGGGGAAAGACACGGATGGTCGTTACTGATGACAGCAAGGACGAGTCAATGGAGAAAAGAGGCACCACACCACGCATCACTGAGCCGGATTCGAGCATGGGCGGTCAAAACCACGCATTAATGGAAAAGCCCCGACAGCCCGACGAGGAAGCCTCTGTGGAGACCGTGATTCATCGACCGACATCGACACATGTGCGGTCTCCTCTTGGCGTAGAATTTGAGTTAAGGGGATGAAACCCGACGGCAAAGGTACCGGAAAGATCACGAGCGAGGCAACGGGATGGCGGATTTTCTCCTTCTGCACATGAAATGTACATGGTATATGCAACTAATGTTGGGAGCATGGATAATGCCATGTTTCGGGAGGCTGTTTCATTGTTATGTAGTTTGATGGTGCCACGAATGTTTATGCATGCATGCCTCCACGTCCTGCGCTGCACTCCTGCGTGATGAATCTGGAGGGATAGAGGCTGGGCTGTGATGGCCAAATGTGGAAATTCCGAGAGAAATCAATACATTACCCAGATATATGTATGATCGATCGATTGCTGGCTTGCAGGGCTTGACATGCCATGCTATGCCTGTCTCACCTTTGCATTGCCTGGCAAAGGGAATGACTCTTGCTGCACGCCGTCTGCTGGCCCATTACACCCTCGTTCATCTCATCGTAGCGACTAGTATCAAGGACAAAGGAAGATATCATAACCAAACAGGGCCTTGGGTTAAGTTCTCTCATTTTATTCACACCGGTCACACCCTCACCTCTTTCACCAATACCGGACAGGTACCTCAGGGACCTGCATGGTAAATTGTGATACAATGCTACATACGATGCTTTGACCGGGCGTACTGCAAGTCAAAATGCATATAGACCTAATGGAATACGAGGTGACACAACAGCCGCTAATCACTGCCTCAAGTGAGGTGACGCAACACACGGTCCAACAAAGTTTGGCATGCATACGATCAATATGCAATATGCATTCATGTCTTTCCTATGTACAAGCCTTCCTCGAAAGTTGCCGGATTTAAACCCCTGTGTACAACGATTGTCAAACTCTCCAGCCCAAGGCTGAAGGACGCACGCCACACGATCGCGAGTCAACAACCTCTGCAAAGCTCTACCATGTTTCAGTCAAAGCTGCGAAGGCCGCAATTTAGGACATCTGAATCCATGGTGGCTACCTAGCAGGCTTAATTGGAGGGACCGAAGCCCAAGTCAAGGCTCGGGGCTTTGGAGAGCGAGCCATTTCAAGTTTTTGCGTAAGCTGGTAGGATCTCAAACGTGAGAGATTTAGCAAGGATCAGCGGATCTTTTGACCTCGTGCTCATCCTCCAAGCCACTACAAAGGAACCTACGGTATCAGGTTGCCTACTACGTATATACATGCGCACATTGTGCGTTCGCCGGAGAATCAGACGTAGATCATTATTACTCTCGGATAATGTGATGTAACGAAGTACTCGGATTGTTTTTAATCACACTATGTGACAGTGGTTCAAGGATGGATGGACGGATGCGTAACAGGAGAACGAGCCTGATTAGGCTGATGCTGACCCCCTTGCTACGTGAAAATGTGAAATAACATGTATTCTTGGGTAAAAGAGAAGCCGTATTAGCGAAATTTATGGTTCGTTAATCTGTCGGTCGAAAGAAACCGCTTGGCCTCTGCCCTTATCGTAAGCAAGATATGTGCCTACCTAGTTTTGCTTTACGTAGCACTGATAATAGCTATGTATTGGTATGGTGTGCATAGAAAAAGGGAGGAAAATGTCTTGTTTTCGAAACGGGCCAGTAAGTTATGTGTCACTAGGACATGTTCTAACAGGAGAGCCGATTGCTAATCTGGACCGGTCCACAGATGTCAACATCAAAGCGTGCAAGGCCTCAGCTCACGCAGCCTTGTTCTTCGATGATGGGCCCTCCAAACGCAGGGAGGAAATTCTGAACTTCTTTGAAGAATATGGGGCGCAGGGCACTTAAATAATTACTGGGAACAACAACGAAAGGATCGGATAGACGGCTTTGCGATGCCGTGGCCCTAGGTCCTCCTAGGATGTACAAAGCTCGCCATCAAGTCGGGTCGCCCGACTGGTCACACATAGATCTGTCCGGAGTCTACAACGAAATTCTTCGCTAATGCGGTGACCGATACAACGAGATGGCAATATGCAATGTCTTCGGCGTCATTCCCAATTCATCCCCTGAGATCTCAGCATCATGGCTTCGGAAACAACTCTCTAAAGAGGATTGAGTTGTCTAAGCAAATGTTTAGCAATAAGTATAAGAAGATAGGTGAGACTAAAGTGAAGTAGGAGTACTATGGACACATGGAGTGAGAAACTTTCAGCTGGTGGGAACTTTCTAGTGCACTCAGTTGTCACATCATGGCATCCTAAAGACGCCAGGAACCTCATCCCATGCATGCTTCGGATACTAGCTAGGCCGAGGGCTAAGGCTGTAAGTCTGTGAGAATGTCCGGGGCAGAAGGCCACAAGGTACTGGTGTTGGACGCTAGAAAGACCCTGGACGCGGGAAAGTGCCTGTCCAAGCAGAGGATTAGACAGGGAAACCGTGTTTCCTTTTTTTGTATAATGAGCATCCTACAATATATTCAAGAAAGATCATGTCGGAGAGCCTTTTTCTGTTTCCATAGTCGTTATCAATCTAGTTTCTTTCACAGACAAGTAGTGAGATAGCTTGTAGCTCATCAAGACCACCAACACAATAATGTCAACACAATAATGGCGACAATAATTAACCGTATAAAGAACAAAGTATTAAGATACTTCCGTTATCTAGTTTACTATCAACTTGTCAATGAGGTTGCTTGTTTCAATGACAGAATTTGTAGGCCTGAAGCACAGTTCGATATATCCAGGTTCAAGAGTAAGCCTTTTATTTTGTCTTAAAAGGCCTGGGTAATACGGCTTAATATCACTCTTGGTTAAGGTGCTAGAAAGAAAACTGAAAAATGAGACAAATGAGGGGGCCTTTGCCGAGATTCCCCAACTCATCGCTGCCAAGATTTCAGCTGCCGGCTACCCGCCAATCAATAGGAAGAAGAGAGCCAAGCTCCCTTGTGACAACTCACTCTCCATCTGATAATTCGCTCTCTTCTCTACTTTTTGTTGGCAATCAGCCAGTTGGAAAGAAGAGGAGGCAAGATTCAAGAAGGTGGTGGAGTAGATGGGATGATAATAGCTTGGCACTGAGCCTAGAAACACTTGTATAGCAATTGATGTATAGGACCCTGTAGCAGTGCTCCATCAGGGTGCAGGTAGATGGTTTTGCGCTGACGACGACTTTTCCCAGTCTCCTCTTTGCGACCTGCTACGATCCGTCTCTTCAAAATACTCAACCATAGGACAAATTATTCTAGATCAAAGCTCAAGCCGAAGACCGCTAGCATCATGCCGACCGTGAATGCAGTTTACTATCCTTCATGGAAGGTCTACAATGGCAAGCCACCATCTTGCCTCAATGTACAGGCGACCACTCACATACTATACGCATTTATCCGGTGTGTGTGAAGCTTCACAGCATCCACGCATGCTTGATTTTGATCAAGGCTAACTCCTCATAGCGTGAACGAAGATGGCTCATTGAAGGTGAGTACTGTGGTTCTCTGAAGGGCTGAGGTCCGAGCTATGGCATACTGTTCATTGGATTAGCTGACAGAAATGAAACGGGACAGCTCCTTGACGAGTGGGGTGACATCAACATGGAGGTTGACGGCGCCCAGGGATGCCTAGGAGCTCTGGCGAAACTGAAGCAGGAGAATCCACATATCCGGACCTTGATATCAGTTGGGGGCGGATCAGGAAGTGATGAGTTCCCGGCACTCGCGGCGAACCCAGATGCCAGGGCCCTATTCGCTCAGCAGATTCGAGAATTCTGTGACCGCCACTCGTTTGACGGTGTCGACAGTGGGTGGCTACCCAGATCTTCCTCATTATAGTTGGTTTCGGGGATAAGCTAACCAAGTGCGTTTCGTTTCCTATAGTTGACTGGGAGCATCCTACAACAGAGGATCAAGGCCGGGACTATCTGAGCCTGCTCCAGGCCACACGAGAGGCACTTCCGGCACCTGACTATCTCGTTACAACAGCGCTGCCTGTCGGGGAATACTGCCTGCAGCATATTAATCTCGAGGCAGCTGGGGAGATCTTGGACTTTATCAACCTCATGGGGTACGATTTCGTGGGCGGATGGACTGACGTATCGGGCCACCATGCTCAGCTTTGCCTGCCCAGTGACGATGTCGACGAGGTCCATCCAAACTTGCGCCATTGTTGCGCGGGGGCGGTGGATTATATCATATCCCGCGGATTCCCCAGCTCCAAGATTGTCCTGGGCGTGCCCGCATATGCCAGGTTCTTTCCTGGCGCCAGCGGGCTGGGCGAAGCATTTTCAGAAGCAGGGGAGCTCGACTACTGTGACCTGTCTGAAGACTGCGTCAACCACGCACAGGTGGATGAGAAAGCTGCCGCTGCATGTTACGTTGACGACTGTGATGGGAAGGGGTTTGTGACGTTTGACGTTCCTCTGACGGTAGTGCTGAAGGCCCAGTTCGCAAAGGAGAAGGCATTAGCCGGTCTCTTCTACTGGACTGGAGTCGGAGACAGAGAGGGAGACGACAGTCTCGTCGCCGCGGGATATACCGAACTGACATCATAGTATGAGAGCATGGGCAGGCAAGTGGGTGAAATAACACATGCATGGCACACTAAAGCTCTTTTTGCGCAAGGCAGGGACCTCGTTTTTCTTCTCCACACAATAATAAGAGAACAATTTATTATTCTACGATATTTGGCTTGATATTGTATTCATTATATTTATTACTCGGTCAATTATTCTGATATTGTGTTGAAATTCAACGCGGAACTGTCTAGATGTGCCATGTTCTATGCTAGTCGTTTGACAGGGTCCTCAGATTGAAGAGCGAGGAAACGTGTGGGTGTGCTTTAACAGATCAGCTTAATTATGACGGACCTGCATTGTTCGACGCGCTCTAATTCCCCCTAGAGCGGCACCGACACATTGCAGTTGCTGAATCCCAATTATAATATCCCCTTCTCCTTGCTCTGGCTGGCGAAGGAAAAGGTGAGCAAAATCCAGTCGGAGGGCGCCTCCAGCAGCATACGACTGGGGAACGGTTGGGGCTGCGTCATCTACCCTCCGAATGTTAATAACTTGCATCAAGTTTGGCCCAAGGGCCTCAGAGGCTCGTGTGGTGGTGGCGCCAGCTCGATCCTGGGGCGGTATCTCTTGCCATTTTTCAATCAGTATTTCCCCAGGTGATGTAGGGTCCATCTTGATCAGAAGAACTATCTTCACCTGATGGGCTGAAGCCCTAAACCACCATGCCGCCTGATCTCTTAGTCGTCGATTTAGGGTCTGCGAGTATCCAGCCTCAATGACCAGTGTTGGCCAGTCTTGTAACTCTCCGACTCCTGCGACAAACGGCCCTCCAGCTGCATCGCCTTCTCCAGCACTCCCGTTGTTCTGATTGGTGAATGTTGTAGAATTAAGGCCTACCCAAGACTGATTTAGGCCTTGAGCGATGATCTCCTGAAGGAAAAATGAGTAAATCTTGGTGACCACTATTTCGTGAGGTTTAGAAGGGAATGCGATAATTAGGAGGCGCTGGACAGGACAAAAGAGTTTTATACGAAACGGAGTCTTCTCCCCTCTTTCTCTTTGAACAAGGGCAAACTGCTCTGCGGATACATCTAGAGAATATATTAGCGAGTAGAGAAAAAGTGGAAGGAGTAAATCACCCTTAATGTAAAGGCATTCAGTTGATGCCTGCTTGGCCTCAAGTAACGCTTGGTACGTTGTGAATTTGATAGTAGGTGGTTCATATGAGCCTGTAGATCCCTGCCGTATGGTGAAGTCCATTGTGGATGCCGCAGGGGCTTGTTTGCATTCGCTAGACTGTCGGAAGTAGCGAGCCCTGGCAACCTGGGTATCTTGAATGAAGCTTAGGGAGACGATACCGGACTGACATCATAGGCTGAGAGCACGGGCGGTCCTTGGATTGAGGAACAAGTGAGTGACAGGAGAAATGAGACGTCCAATGGAAGAGTGGCTATAAACAGACTACTTTCCAGACAATATATGCCGTCTTATTCACGAACATGTATTATTAGCACTCAACAACCTGATAATACGATACCGGTCGCAAACTTAGGAATAAGCAGCTTATTGTTTGAGTATCTCAATTTCAATGTCACCCACTTGAGGAGCTAGGAAACGTGTGGGTGTGCTCGTGGAGAGTAGCTTAATTATGACGGACATGCATTGCTTGATGCTTGCACCAATCGCCTTTAAGGAGCAGCTTAGTCATATGTGTGTGCCTGTGGAAGGAGTGACCCACCGCATGCCCCTACGTCATACATTATCGTGATGATGCTCAAAGCATTAGGCCTTGATTTGTACGTGACCAGCAAACAAATAAAACCCAGGCCTGATCGTCCGTTTGGATATTTGGTGTATACTAAATCTTCACCTTTACCTAAACCTTGAAAAACACCTTTCCAAATTCACCAATATTCAACAAGCAACAACACTTCTACAAACACCTAACCTGTATGTCCCTCCATCAACTACCTACCTCCTTCGGGGGATTAGTTGGGGTCTTTTGACAGGAGTATCATTTGCTAACTATACTGATTAGAAAATACCTCCGAAATCATGGGATTGTTCTACTCAAAGGGATTTGGCAATCGCCACGTTGGAACCAGTGTCAATGTTAGCAGGAGAGGAGTCCACCGTGGTCCTTGGAGGTTCTCACTGGGCAGGTTCAGCTGCTTCAGACACTAGAGGAAGAGAAGACGGTGGCGAATTTGACGAGTAATGAGTGCCTGTTCTGTTTCAAACGAGATCTAATACCAATACGTTGAGATGCACTGGTGACCAGATAACTGTGTCGCCTATTTTTCAAATAAATATTTTATTTTGTTCTCTGTCTCATCAGATCCATGTGAACAATGATTGTGAACATTATCTTATGTTGGTGATGGCGCAGTGCCTCCATTCGTTCAGGCGAATATGCGCTTAGTGGGACGCCGCCACTGGCTACAGGGTACGTCTTACACCGCGCCAGTGGCCCGCCCCAGAGATTGCCCAACTTCACAACCAAGCAGGAGAGCAGGGAGTCAAGTACCAGCAAAATGAAAGGACTTTCGACTTCATTTCCATAATTTTTCTCCCCATAAAGCCCACTGACACTGACTCTTGCCAAAGCGCAGCAATGGTCGTGCTGAGCTTCACGATCAGCGACGATGGTGTGGGTGCGTTTCGCGATGCTTTGATCTGTCTCAGCAAGTTCAGTGACGATGTGTCCCTCGAGGCACGCAAAGATTCTGTGCGTTCAGTCCATGGATTGGCTCAAGATGCGAGACAATTTCACTAATCACATGCTTCAGTTCGTTCTGAGTACTCTCAATAGCTCCAAGTCTGCCTACGCGAGCTTCAAATTTGCGACCACCAAATTCTTTTCACGGTACCAGTACCACGGTGGAGGACAGTTTCCCGAGCGGTTCTACTGCACACTTTACATAAGGGCATGTCCTTGCAATCTCGAATAGATTTCTAAGTTTTGCTCTAATATGTTTTTAGGCCCTCATTTCGCTGTTTCGAAGCCGCTCTGGGTTGGATAATCAGCGTGATGCCGACAAACAGACCATCATTGATCGATGTGACGTCGTTATTGAGGACGGAGAAGGAATTGAAAGCCGCTTCATTTCCCGCATCATCTTCAAAAATGGACTGACTTCTACCCACCGCCTGCCGTACGAGATTGCGGTGCCAGTGCACGCCAAGTTCAACAAGCAAGACGCACCTCATCATTGGACCATTTCATCACGAACACTCCGGGAGCTGATGGAGCATTTCGGGCCCGGTGTCGAGTACCTAGACATCAACACGGAGGGTGATCACGTCAAGTTCACGTGTTTCAGTGAAAAGACTGTGAGCGAAGATAGTACGTTCTTGATTCATCTGCAATATACCTCTGTTTCACTCAGTTTCCTGGAGGGCAACGTATCCAACTAATACCGCTGTAGTGGTTTTAAAGAAACCCCTCAGAACTACAATTTCTCTGGAAATCGATGAGTTCGACGATATTGATGTCGAGGATGACCTCCACATCGTCATCACCGTCAAGGATTTTCGCGCCATCATCCAGCACGCCGGAATTACTGGTAACGACATTTCCGCGCGTTATTCTCTTCCTGCCTGCCCCATTCAGCTCGCATATCTGGGAGATTCTATCTCGTGCGAATTCCTCATCATGACGGTTGGCGATCGCGGTGCCAACCCAGCCCAGAAGACCAAAAAGGGCCGTAAGAGTGCCCCGCCCAAGACTGTTGGGCCGCGACTGGAGGCCATCTCTCGTAGAACGAGTGTCGCTCCATCCGAACCGCCACAGCCACCGCAGAATCAGCCAGAACCAGCTCCTCAACCTGCACCAACGGCATCCTTGAGTGCCCGGCCACAACTGAGCACGGCGAGAGCTAGTGCCTCTCGCTCTGGTGTGTTCGATTTGCGTCCAACTCAACAGCAGGCGCCCCCTCAGGCTACGATGATGTCAGAGAGCCTCTTTGTGGATGACGATGGAGGTTGGGAGCCTATGAGAGATGAGGATGAGGACGAAGAGGAAGACAATGCAAGGTTAGGATGGGACCATAGTGCTGAGCCAGTAAGTCTGACCATCCCTCTGAGCCAAGTTTTGTTAAGCTGACCCAACAGAATCCCCCTTCATTCCATCTGAGTCGGCCACCGGAGCAGCAACAGCAGCAGCAGAAAGAACCAGAGGCTGAACCTGGGCTCGTGCCCACCGCCGACGACCGGGAAGCAAGTTTCGTTGAACCGACACAGAAGCTATCTGATGTTAAGAATCTTGCCCTCTTCCCGGATTAATCGCAGTCGTTTAAATAAACATAGTCCCTTGAGCACCATATTGCTTTCTAATTATGTTTTATTTTGAAGGCAAGTTAATCAGCTGCTGCAATATAGATCCAGCTAGTGGCGCACCCTGCCCCTATCGTTGCAATGCGAGCCTCTTTCGGTATAAATTTTGACGATGCTATGACATTCCACCGACCCTTGACATCGTTGTTTTCAACTTGTGGCCCGCAATTTCCATGTTCTCCCCAGCCCCAGGACAGCACATCACCACTTTCTGTTAACGTAACAACGTGCTCGCTTCCTATGGCAATCTTTGAAAGAGTAGGGAGTTCGGGAGGTGGCAGTTGCCCGTGATCGTCCCGTCCCCATGCGACCAGACGACCGTCTTCGGTCAAAATATACACACTTCCCCAGCTCGCTCCAGCATCCTTCCAGGCTGGCGCCTCTTTTGGTGCATTGGATTTTATTGACCACTTGTCGGAGCCCAGCACAGCAATTTCCCCTTTGCCAGCCTCTCCAAGAAGACATGTGGATTCTTTACAGCACACTGCCCTGTAGACGTGAAAGCCAACCCCTTCAATCTTGCGCGGCGAATGTATTACTTGTGCCGGCTCTCCTACTTGCCCTTTGCGGCAGTTTCCCCAGCCATAGGCATCACCGTTGCTTAGCACGGCGACGGCATGGCCCATGGAGGCGTGCAAATCTACGATTTCCGTTCCAGGCGGAGGGAAATCCTTGATCAGCGTCGCCGAGGGTGTCCTGACGATAAGCTCACCGGCTCCGAGCTCGCCCTTCATGCCCACACCGAAGCTGTATAGTCTCGTATTTTTGCCTTCGCCGCCCCGGGCCACCACGAACGAAGCTTCCCAGGCTGCAGCCACTAGCGTACACTCTCCGATAGCTTCGTTCCCATCTTTCGACAGCTGGATTTCCTGGAAGACAGGCGCAGCTGGGGGAGACGCTATGCCGCACGCACCAGTTTCCGGATTGCCACTCCAGAATATCTGGCCGGCTTCGGTGAGTATTAGAGTGTGGTTGCCACCAGCTACGATTCTCGTGATGCGTGACTCTGGCTGGGATGGATGAAATATAACGGGCTTGGGGACAGACACATCTTCTTTATGGCTGATCCCTAGCTGGCCAGATCCATTGGATCCAAGCGCAAATAAGGCGTTCATGATGGCATTTGTCTTCGCGAGCTTCGCCTGGCTACCCTGCGGAAGATGCAGCTGCACAGGTCTTATACCATCTTGGTGCTGATCCACTTTGGGCAGGCACAGCAGATTGCGTAGCCCCCACATTTAAACGCAGTACACCATATATGCAGTTATCAGCAACTTGATTTTTTTTTTCGCTCCTCTATTTAGAAGCTAGAAGTCTCGCGTTCTGCTTTGGCGTTCCTCATCCTTCCTTGCAAACTTTTCTCCTGGGCACACCTGGAGGAGACTGCGAAGGTTGTTGATTATCTTTCTAGGTGTGAGAGCTCTTCTTGAGCTTCGCACTCTTGCTGTCATTACCGATGGCTGCTGCCACCAAGTCCGACGCAATCCCTGAGGGGATGGAGGGCTTCGTCGTGGGCCTGATTGGCATGGGCGACATGGGCAAATTGTATGCCGAAAGATTGTCAGCCGCAGGATGGAGGTAAGTTGTTTACCGTGTGCTACACGAAACGCTGGCTCCCTTTGAAATGGTAAGTTTGACTCATCTCTCTATCCTCCCTCTTCTTCCCCTTCCGGTACTATGATGACTAGAGCGCATTTGGCTCGAGTATCGGTCTGGACAGTCTGGTTCCCGTTATGGTCGCCAGATGTCGTCCAGGCTGGTCACTGATGTAAACGCTTGCTACCTTATTTTTTCTTTGTCTGACTGTACCTCACTTTTCATCTTTCTCTTCAAGCACCTGCAAGCCCTTTACCAGACCTTGAGCTGACCAGATGAAATCAGAAATAGATGAATAGCTACGTGATGTACGAACCACCCATTCTGATGCCTGGCTAGGATATTGGCGTGCGACAGGGAGGAAATGTACGACAGTCTGGTTGAAGAATACTCTAGCAACGTACGACCTGTGCTGTCCCATGCTCGCTCCGACGCCTTCGCTGAAGCCTTGCTTGTATAGAACAGAATAGAGATATGCCGAAATGGCCACCTGGTATCCCGCGCAAGCGACTACATCATCTACAGCGTCGAGGCTGCCCTCATTGATCGTGTGATTGCCCAATATGGCCCTTGTACGCCATCCCTTTCCTCGTGAAGATTTGCCAAACCTGTAAAAAGCACCTTTGATAGAAGAGAACCCGCCTCTGACCAGCGAGCGCAGCTACCAAACTCGGCGCCATCGTCGGCGCCCAGACGTCCTGCAAAGCCCCCGAGATCAAAGCGTTTGAGAGTCACCTCCCCAAGGACGTCGACATCGTCTCCTGCCACTCCCTCCACGGCCCGTCCGTCGACACCCACAACCAGCCCCTGGTCCTCATCCAGCACCGTGCGCCCGACTCGGCCCTCCGCAAGGTCGAGGCGGTCCTCTCCTGCCTCCGCTCGCGCTTCGTCTACCTCTCCGCCGCCGAGCACGACCGTATCACCGCCGACACCCAGGCCGTCACGCACGCCGCCTTCCTCTCCATGGGCAAGGCCTGGCACGCCAACAAGCAGTTCCCCTGGGAGCTGAGCCGCTACGTCGGCGGCATCGAGAACGTCAAGATCAACACCATGCTGCGCATCTACTCCCAGAAGTGGCACGTCTACGCGGGGCTCGCCATCATGAACCCCGAGGCCAAGAAGCAGATCGCCCAGTACGCCCGCAGCGTCACCGACCTCTACAAGCTCATGCTCGAGGGTGACCTCGACGGCCTGCGCGAGCGCATCCTCGCCGCCCGCGAGAAGGTCTTTGGACCTTCCTTCACCTGGGGGTCCCGCCCGCTCGTGCGGCCGGAGGTCCTCACGTCTTTCTCGCTCGGCACGCCCAACCCGGACGCCGAGCTGAGGCCCAACAACCACCTGTCGCTGCTCGCCACGGTCGACTGCTGGGCCGCGCTGGGCATCGTGCCATACGAGCACATGATCTGCAGCACCCCGCTGTTCAGGCTGAGGCTCGGTGTGACTGAGTACCTGTTCGCGGACAAGGACATGCTCGAGCAGACGCTGCGGACGGCCGTGTCCGACCTGACGTACCGGAGCGACGATCTCGAGTTCACGTTTGCCGCGCGCGGGTGGGCCGAGTGTGTCGAGATTGGGCACTTCGAAACGTACGAGAAGCGGTTCAAGAGCACGCAGGAGTTCTTCCAGCCTCGGTTCGAGGAGGCCAAGATTGTTGGCAACCAGATGATGAAGAAGGTCATGGAGACTGCGACGGACGAGAAACCATGATGCCGGAATCTAGTCCCCAATCATAAAGACATAAATAAAGCTGAGAGACAAAAAAGAAATGTACCAAGTGATGTGACATTTTCTGCTCCGTACTATTGGGATCTACTCTGTACAATGTATACCTTAGACTGGCTCAAACAATTCGGTGGATATCCTAGGTGGGATTCATCTGACAGTAGCCTTGCTAACCAAACCCGCCTCTGGTTTCTCTAGTCTCCGCTCTCCTGCTTGCCTCGTACTTGATTATACCTGGGTTATCACGTCCGGGATGCCAAGCTCGGTGCTCTCTTCCAAGACCGCGATGCCGTACTCAGTTGTCAAAGTACTTTTGCCCTCTGTAGAGCTCGCGACCAGGCTCTCTGGGGCGTAAACGCGAATCTCTTCTGTTATAGCTGGCATTTGTAATGGAGTGTTGCATGTCATTCCAGAAGCACCATTGTACTGGTAAGCTGGCCCTGTATCGCCCTCATTGTCTGAATCGTACGGATCCTCTTCGTCTAGGAAATTGTCGCCGAGATCAGCGAGCTGACCTTGTGATTCGATCAAGGGAAGAGAGTGGACCAGTTGCTGCCGCGCGAGTTGATTGGTTTTCATCGAGAGGGAACTTCTATCATTCAACAATCTAACTTTTTGTATTCCTTTTGCAGGGGCACGAACCTTCGACCATCAGTGATGCTTGGCTCTTCGGCGAACCCAAGCGAGTATGTTTCAGAGGCGCTTGACAACCCGTACGGGCTGGGAGAAGGCGGGGGCGTACAGGCAGTTCGTGCTTGGGCCGACGTTTGAGTTTCCGGTGTTGTGTTTGTGAAGACTGCGGATAGGTTGTCGTAGCCTGGTGAATGCTTGAGGGTTTTGGGAGCAGCGTCCGCTACCTGCGAGAGAGAGAAGCTGCCACCGAGTTCAGGGCCTGTCAGGAAGCCCACTCCGCTGCCAAAGGAATACTGCTGACTGCTGGAAATTTGCTTCTCAAGGAGCTCTATGAGGCTGATGTCTGACTCCGGCAGGGAGTTGTCGGTGCTCCCATCGCGATGGCTTCGAGTCTATAATGATATACTTAGTACTGGGCTGGACTTGACAGCGTGCCGGGGATGGTCTCGTCTTACCAAAGAGGGTGGGCGGCAGCCGATTGACCTGAGAATATCAACGTTCATGACAGGCCGTTCGCCTAGTCCATGAAACCCAAATCCTACAGCAGATGTAGGCTGGACCTCGCCCTTGGCCACACTATCAAGGCTCAGGAAGGATCTGTCAGCAGCCGAAGGCCGGCATAAAGGGCAGACCATATAGCGACATTCGTTCTCTAAACTGGGGACCCAAGGTCGAGGATTCTCAGTTCCCAGAAAAATAGTGTCTTGGTAAGGTTCGAAAATCTGATAATTGGAAAACGGATTGCGGCGCAAATTGTCTCTTGTTATGGCGTTCCGGACCTTTTCGGCTCTCAAGTCAATCCTGGAGCTTCTAAGGAGGACGAACACTTCTCAACACTGGCGAAATTTACTCACAGACTCTCGCTGTCGTAGAATTGTTTGGATTTGATCCGGGCGATATTGCGACATCTGCTGTGGCGTGAGTTCGTCGAACAGACTGAGAGGGTCTGCTCTGGCTTCTGCGCTCCCCCTTCTAATGCGTAACTTTGAGGACCAATATTCCCCCAGATCGTCAAAATATTGCTTTTTCCTCAGTTAGACCAGCCATGATAAAGAAAATAGGAAAGGGAAAGGGTAAGGGTAATGTACTGGACAACCAGCGGCCACTGCGCTCTCAATCATCACCTCGCGATCTTGCGTGCAGCAATACACCCAACCGAAGGGGCCTGGGCGGCGGCACGCATCGCACAAAAACTCAAAGCCATGAAGCCGCGTCATGGTAAGATGCGTACATGAAGGCTTGAAGCGGACTGGCACCAGCATGCCTGGCGGGCTTTGATGAGCCATGTCGGCGAGGTGGCTCCTGGTCGACCTGGTCAAGGGAGCGGCAGCAAACCTCGAGAGTTGGGAGAGAAATTCGGTGAGAGAAAATGTTGAAGTGGGTGACTCGGTCATCTGGGTTAATTTTAGAATGACAATGCTGCACGGCAAGATTGCAAAGACGCTTGTGCGTTGAGTTTGCCCCGTTTGAAAGGGAAGAATCCAAGTCTTGAAAGCTAGAGAGGGCTGGAGTCAGAGGAGGAAAGTAAGAAACTCACCAGTCCCCCTCTGAACCTGCACTGATGCGTGGAATTCGTAGCCGAGAGACGCATGTGGTGCTCAAAGTTCTGAAAGCAAGTAATTTGCTCTGAGAACACGAGGCAAGACTGCACCCCCCGCGTCTCGTGCAAATCACCACCGCCGGCCAACTGATGCCAGATGGCCACAGCCGCTGGCAGGTGGCGACCTTTCCTTAGGTACTAAGTTTCCCCGTCTGCCGCGGGAACTTTGATTCCCTGGGATTTACTGTTGGCAAGAATCCGCATCTCTTAGCAGAGACAGCTCAGTCACTGGGAAGCTAGCTGTAATCCGCAAAAGGGAGAAAAATCAACATACTCGTGCAAAACCCACCTCAAGAGAAAAGTAGACAATTAGAAAAAATGCCTTGATCTACCTTTTACCATTTCAGACGCTATTGGAAAAGCTTACGTCGTTAGGGAAATGCTCAGCAAGGACCTGGCGGAAGCGTATTCGGTGATTCTGTCGAAACTGGTACCGTGACTCGGAATCAAAATCAAACTGGGTTCATGAGGGCCTTGATACTCTTAAAAATTGATGACTTTGACACTATGGGGACTATCAAGGTATGTGATTAGCCATCTTGATATGCCCCCCCCTGAATTCAGAGAATTCAGAGAGTGAATGTGATGATGTTTACGTTCACCAAGGCCTGCGAGGAAATTCGTGGTATTTCTCTAATGGTGTTTCGTGGAGAATATTCACAGTTAAAAAACCACAGCCGGCGAATAATCGTCTTGTAGACCTTATCCCGAATTGAAGTATCTGATCCTGATTGTTTCTAGAACACGGTGAGAAGAAACGCGTAGCCTTACAATTGGTATCTTGCCCATTCTGCCAAGGCTGGGAAGGTTACACAAGTTGCAATCATCCAATATCGTCCGTCGCACCTGCTTGCACACTTTACCAGCTATCTTCGAGCAAGAGCAATACGAGACATGTTGGATTTGACCCCATTGCTTCTTCAAGCAGACAACAACCCTCCCTTTCAGCTAGCATCGCCCCCAACTCCCAGGCAGAGAAAAAGAACAATATTGTGTTGGTGTACTTCATTATTCTTTATCTCGCCCTCACCTATGTGTCTTTTAAATGCATCCCTTCTCGTGACATCTTGGCTCTAAAAACGATAAATAGCTAATTCGCGATCGCAGGCCAGCATACGACGAAATGCAAGACATCAAGAAGCGCTTGTCCGCCGTCAGGCCATTGCTTCCGAGCTCTCCAAGATCTCAGGGACTGGTGGTGTGTCTGTCGGCATTTTGCACCATAAAAAATCACCTTAACCGACAAACCATCTTCACGGGCTTAGGTTTACGGAATGAGGCGGCCAGTTGCGATGCAATTCTTGCGCCCTGTTGGAGATCTGCAAGTTGCTATCGCGATAGTTGCAGGCTACATTGACTAACCTAACTACTCGTTGACGGACTTCTTTGAAAATTCTAATTGATCTTCTAGGAACTGGCGTACCGGCAAGCTTCTGACCTTGGATAGGTATGAGAGATCTTTGGACGCCGTCTTTGAAATCGCATTCCAAGATCTGCCAATTAGAACAAATAGGTCATCCATGCATAGCCCGCTTGGAATACGCAGTGATCCGTTCCATAAATAAGATATGCTCAAATAGCTTCTGCCTTGATCTATCAGTTAAAAAATATCTTCCGCTGTACCCTTGATAGAAAATGGACAACATGTTGGGTAGCCAATCGGTTTGCCCGTAAGCTGCAGCTGGAGAATTCACTTGCAGGTACATGAAGATACATTTGCTGTCCAAAATCTTCTGAGAGGCCTAACGCACATGTAGGATTGATCAAATGTCACTAGCTGGTTTCTGTACATCGATTATGCATCCAGATTTTGGACAAGCTGACCGCTGTGCAGGCACATGTAGCATGTGATGGCAGTTACAGCACATCTTAAGACCGGAAAACAATTTCATTGGCCTTAAGCCTCCAACAGGGTGATCATCACCGTTACTCAAGTCCTAAATTAAGCAGCATCAGCGGACTGGAGAATTGGAGAAGGTGAGAGCGAAACTGCACATTGTGCAGTCTTGGGCTATATAAGCGCTGGCCTGTCCCACCCAAGGCCTAGGCAGCATATCTTAGCCAAAGGCTCACAAACCCCCTCATCAGCTATCACCTTCCTCCTATTGACTCTTATTTGGCCAAATTCTTCCCAGGTCTACCACCAAGTTTGGTGCACTGTCTTCCCCCTTTGCCCCAAAGTTTCCCAGCTAGCAAGATGGCGGACATCTTCACTCAGCACAGGCCACTCATTAAGCGCCTATACCAGGAGGAAAGAAAATCGTTGAAGCAATTGAAGGAAATTTTAGAGAGTGAATACCAGTTCCCGGAATCATCGTATGGCTTCAGATATCCCGGCCATGTCCCTCCACTTTAGCTGACCGAAAGCATAGGCTCTCCGTCTACGAGACAAGACTGAGGGATCTCCTGGGAGTACGAAAGAAGCTCAAAAGAGAAGACTGGTCAATTATTTATCAGCACTATCTAAATAGAAATAAGAGAAGTAGTGCTCTCTATTTGGACGGGGTGAAAATCCCATGGAAGAAAGCCTGGAAAGAAATCAGGCGTTCTGGTGCAAGGAAGGCGACCGTTGGTGAGTTCATGGACTGATTCTATTCTGGCACGGTTTCTAATATTTTGAAGCTCGAGATACATTGCTCCCACAGGGAATAGATCTGCGTAGCCCATCGCCCTCTGCACCTGGACCTGCCAGTCGCTGCCCCCCAAGAAATACCTGTCGATCCATCTTGCCAACTTCCCCTCGTCAAGAATTTTCTTATGGCCCAGATCGCATGTTTACCGAGGCTACAGCTGGATTCAACTGGAGTGAGAGTGGAATTCATTCATTAGATAATGACACTGCCACCTCCTCCAACAGTCACAGTGACGCCAATGTAGACCTGCTCGAGGCGGACACGTCCATGAAAAAAGCAGTGGTCTCATTTCCTGGTAAGTCACAGTTAAGATTGCCTCAGTTCTAGTACATCTTGCTAATTAGTTTTAGGAACCGATTGCAATCATCTCCTCTCATGTGAAGACGAAATTATCCCAGTATCCCAAAATATCCAGCCTCCATCATGTTACACAGAAGTGACAGCTTCATCTGCCAGAATTAGTCCGCTTTCAAGGGTTCAAATTTTGCTCGAATACTTACCATGGCAAAGTTGCCGACTTTTGTTTTCAAGTAAGTAGTTGAGAGCTGTGCCCTTTATGCTACCTAGGAACTCTTCTCTAACCGAACCTTAAAGCATTATTAAAAGGCGAGAGCAGCACTCAAATCGCACACCAAACAGCCAACGGCATTATTCACAGTCTCATACCCCGAGACTGTTTCTCCGCGGATACTTCGGGGCTTTCCCTGGCCAGAATGTGTGATACTACCTTCCCTGCCCCCTGGCATATTCGACAGACAGCCTCGAGGTTAAACCCGTCTTCTAACATTGAAGTATACTGTTTCTTGGCTCAGGCCATCTATTTACTTTCAAATTCGTTATTAAATTCTACGGATTTGGATACACTCGAACTATTTAAGGCTCTTCTTCAGCTCCCTCCAGGCATAATGTTTTCGATCTTCCAAAGCGACCTTCCGTCTATCTATGCCGCCTGGGAGGGACTGCTTTCCATTGTGATCGACATTTTATCATTCATAGATCTAGACCAAGAAATTACACAGATGTGGCGAACCATCGATATTCATTCTGTAACTTGCTCCCTGATAGAGGTAGCCCTACACCGAACCAAGTGGCTGACGGAAAACGATGAAGATCTTGTCCTTGCTGCTATCTTGATCTCAAATTCCAACTTGGTTCAGCAACTGTTGGGAAAGGGCGCCTGCCCAGAGAACACTGAGAAAAGGAGCGAGGCGATTTGTCGCGCCTCGCGGGCAGGCTCAGCACCATGTATCAAAATATTGATCGAGGGTTGCGATCCGAATTATTGGATTGAAGGTTCAGGATCACAATTTGCCTTCATTCTTGAAAGAACTGTCAATCTGAGTGGGCGGAAACGGACTTCCGAGCGAGAAAACAAGCAGCGCGAGCTACTACTCCAAGTCGTTGACTCCTATCTCGAGGCAGGCGCTGATGTTGACTCACCTTATCCGCCTTGCAAAAAACACCAGGAACTTCTAGAACAGACCCAAGTCCCCAAAGACTGGTATCCAACCTATTTAGATTGGCTCTTTCAATGTGAAAGGGGGCTATTCGATCGAGTCCAACCGCGAAATTCAGTTAGTGAAACGACCATAACAAGGCACGGAATCATCCTGGCTGCCATGCAGGGCGAATCAGCACTCTCTGTATACCTCAGATCTCGGACGTCACAAACGGCTGCAGAAGTGAGCCGGTTCCTGGAGCTCGTTCTTCGAGAGCAATTCATATCCTCTACCCTGTGGGACTTTTTCAATATCAAGATTGTGAGAAGTCTCTTGAGTATCGGGGTTCAAATACCTCATTCCGACTATTCAACATGCTGCATAAAACTTCTGGAACATTCTCGAGGGAGCGGCGACCGCGATAATCTTTGGATTCTTAACCACCTATTCCAGAATGGGCTTGTCGTTACTTGTGAGATTTTCCGTGCCGCGGTGTCCGACAAGGGTACATATATGCTTGACGTCCTCCGGAAATTCGTCGTTGATATTGGAATGATTGGTGGGCCCGCCCTGGTGAAAGCTGCAAGACTTGGTAATTATGAAGCAGTGGATTGGTTATTGGGCTTTGGTGTGGACATCAAAAGCCCTATACCAGATGAAATCGGCAGCCGAGACGGCTTCAAAGCCAACACTGTGATAGGAATCTTCATCTTGCGGGGTGGGAAACAAAGTTCAGACATATCAATGTTACGATATCTGGTCGGATGCGGCGCTGAGCTCAAGAGAACTGTGAGCGACCAGCACGCGGGTGGTCTTACTCAGTTGATCAAATGGCACGGGGAACCACATGCAACGAAGCTTATACCTTGGATTCTTGATCAACTCGAGGAGCGAGGCACTAGAAAGATGTCGAGAGCTGAACTTCAGGATCTATACGCATTCGCTGCGATACCAGGAACTCCCTTGGGCTTCGAGAAAAGCATCTGGCGGTCAGTCTTTGATAGGTTGCGTAACACGTACGGTCTCCCACCGTGCCTCGAAGCAATCCTAGGGCCAATGATTGTGGCCGGAGCTCATGACGAAGTTATCCAGGAGCTTATCCGGGCAAGCATTGACATCAACACCTATCCGGACGAGAGGTCCTACATTTGTTATAGCCCGATACAAGCAGCTGCATCTGTCGGTAACTACCCCTTGGTGGTTCAACTGTTTAAGATTGGGGCGGACGTGAATGGTCCGCCTCAAGGGAGATTTGGTAAAACAGCACTTCAAGCAATCTGTGCATGGAATCCTCTGTCTGAAAAGGATAAGAGTTGTCAGCAGAACATTGTGAATTTCTTAATCAAGAAAGGTGCAAATATCAATGCTGGCCCCGCGCACGGCGGTTGTGGTGTTACAGCAATCATGGCAGCGGTAGAACATGGAAATATTGAACTCGCCACTGTCCTATTGGCTCACGGCGCTGACCCCAACATTTACCCATGGCAGTTGACCAAATTACCATGCGCGACCTTAGACCTTGCCCACGGCAGCTGCGATATGACGAAACTTTTACTGAATGCGGGAGCATTGAGTTCACATCGGGGTTCAACCGGATACGAAGGTGCTTTGTGGAGGGCTGAATATTGTGGTAATAATGCTGTCGCAGACATAATTCGCGACCACATGTTGCAGAAGGAGGGACAATTTCGTTCAAATCCAGAGCTGCGGGATCTTCACGATGCAGTCGTATGTAAACTGGATCTCGAGGATGCCTCGAGGCACGCGAACGAGACATACGATGAGGAGGATATGAAGGATATGGAAAAGATTCAAATACTAGCGGGTGAGCAAGGATGGAACTATCCGCCACAACCTCGCCCATAATACGGGGGTATCAAACCTGACCTTTGGTCTTTTCTCTGATATTCACTTCGAGAAGCAACTTGATAAAATTGGTGGCCTAGGGGGGACACAATCTCAGGTATATAATTTGTCCTGCTGCAGTACTCATCAGCATCGTTGCGTCCTTCTTTCATTCCCAACTGTAGCTCAGTGGCAATGGGACTTACCTACTATTATGGAATGTTATAAAGAAAGAATTTGAGTGCGATTGACTGCAGAAAGGCAGACGGGATCGAGAAGAGAGCTGGGCATGTGAGAGAACAAACTCGAAAATGAGATAGAAGATCAGCATATGGCTAGGAAAGAGCATAGGGACGAGAGCTATGTCCGGGCGGAAAGGTAGGGGAAAGAGAGAAAATGTTTGGGTCTTCGATACGAATATGTGTTCTAAGCCGCTTTTCCTTTGCCTCGTGGCAGCTGTCCTTAGATTTGCTAGGGCACTCAGTTGGTCACTGTCGAGGTTTCCTTCTTCAAAACATCAGTTCTATTGATATGACCAAGTGGCAAAATAGCAACCAAGAGCTTCGAGTAAGATGATATTTGGGGTCTGTTACCTAAAATCTCAGTATCCCAATCTACATCATTGCAATACTTCAAACACTCCTTATACTCTTGATATAGTGAATGGAGGAGACTTGAAGGGTCTGTCGATTACTTTGAATATCGTATGTCTGATCAGACATAGTTGGATTCTATCTACTTAAAGGTAAGCGAATCTGTGATATCCCCATTTCTAGCAACGGGCATGTGACGAGAAGAAGTTCACTTGCAGACAGGTCTCTAATGTCTAGCTCTCTGCAAGGATTACGAAAAGGAAGCTTCCCACTTTTCAAACCAGGCAATGGCTTTCCGTATGCAAGTAATCTTTCGTTCCAGGGTGCCAATCTAACTGCATCATATCACAGGCTGACAACGCGACGCAGCACATGCACCCCAGGATCATAAACATCGCCAGCCAACGACATGGGTCTAAATTAGTGATGTCTGATGCTAGCAATCGGCGAAACTCCAGATGCAGCTGTGACCATTCGTTCATACATCAAGGGTGATCAAGGAGCTTTCCTTCGTCTATATCCGAGATGATATGGACGCCTGGTTTATGATCGCTGTCATGTTGGTATTTGAGCATCCTGGTCATCAGGCACTGTGACAGCGTTGCTAGGGGTTTCGGGACCCACCAGGAGAAGCCTCGGCCTCGGTGTGTTTAGATAGCAAGGGGCCATCGGGCCAATCACGGGCGGCATGGCAGTAGCCAATGGCTCAGCTCAGGTCCAAGGCGCCAACCACCCGTTTGAGTGCTCAGTCCACAGCCCAGCCCAGCCCAGCCCAGCTCAGCTCAACTCAGCAGGCCGTCGCGACATGAGATCCCCTTCCCTTCAGTCTCCGCCCCCAGCCCAGTTCCATCATCTCCCCTCCACACGGTTCGCGACATCCACATCACCACCATCGACGACCTGGACCACGCTGCTTGGAGGTGAGTCTCTGTCCCTGTGCTGCCGATTTGTCGCGTCATTTCGGCCGCATGCCCACCCAATGCACGCAATTCCCTACGCTGCCCCTGTCCCAGATTGGGAGAGCTGCACCAGTCTCGGCGGGTAAACAAATCCATTGGCTGGACACCCAAGACATGGATTCGAAGCGCCTCGTTCACTTCTAGACCTCACATCACCCTAGACGCCTCTGTTGCACCTCAGGAATGCGATCCCGTCCTCGTTCCACCTTTGCTAACGCCTTCCTTCCACTCGCAGACTCTGAGCAGCGGCGACGACAGCAACCACCGACGACTTGACACGCGCGAACACCTGAACCGCCATCATGTCGGTGAGCTTCGAGAAGCAGACGAAGGAGGCCCTCAAGACGGCCGGGGATGCCATCGCCGGTGACCCTCAGAACATTCCGGGCACGAGCGGCAAGCACCCCATCACCGCCGCCATCGGCACTGCTCTGACCGGCGGCAAGGAGATGGCGGGCACCAAGGGATATCTCGCTGTGCGTAACCCCCGTTTCCCTCTCCCGAGGCACTAAGGCTCACCAATGCATGTTGTTTCTATAGGCCTACATGAAGCAGCTCGAGGACAACCCGCTGAGGACCAAGATGCTCACAGCTGGTTCACTCGCCGGTGCTCAGGAACTCATTGCCTCGTGGCTTGCAAAGGACCGCAACAAGCACGGCAACTACTTCACCTCCAGAGTACCCAAGATGGCCGCCTATGGCGCCCTCATCAGCGCACCTCTGGGCCATTTCCTCATCTGGCTCCTGCAATTCACATTCAAGGGCCGCACCAGCCTTCGGGCCAAGATCACGCAGATCATCGTCAGCAACATTCTGGTATGTCCCAACAAAGCGCTCAGGCTTACTTGATTTCTCTACGTCGAGCGACCCAAACTAACCACAGAACTCATTCAGATCGCGCCAATCCAAAACACCGTCTACCTGGTGGCAATGGCTCTCATTGCTGGCGCGCGCACCTACCACCAGGTTCGCGCCACTGTCAAGGTCGGTTTCTGGAAGGTGATGCGTGTCACCTGGATCACTTCTCCCATCTGCCTTGCCTTTGCGCAGAAGTTCCTCCCTGACCAGCTCTGGGTACCATTCTTCAACATTGTCTCCTTTGTTATTGGTACCTACATCAACACCGTCACAAAGAAGAAGCGCCTTGCTGCTCTCCGCAAGAAGCACTTCGGTGACAACCGTGGTGACAGCGTCGGCCCCCGCCCCGGCCCCGGCAGCATCGGTCGTCCTGAGGACTACAAGGACTATCCTCCGATCGGCCCTAACCCCCCTTACTAAACTGAACGGCGAACTAACTGGAGAGTGTGTGATGTGGTGAAATTGCACAACTCCTGTATCTAACAATATTCTTCCTGGAGAAATCGGTTCCAAGCAAAAGCAACCTTGTTCGGTACATCTGCCGCGGGTGACTTCCACAACTAGTAAAATATATCAACTAAACGTGGATATGGGTGTTGCAAGATTTGAGGTGGAGTGGATCTTTGGCCTTGTTGGTAATGATTGTCTAGAGGCTCCTTGTACAAATTTCGGCCTGATTGATTTTATGTTATGTTTCATGTGTTGGTTGGCAGTCAGGTAGATAGGATAGTTTTCTATTTGAGTTGCCGTTTTTGAGGCATGTTCACTCGCGTGATCTTGCCCAGGCACATATGGCCTGCGTAGTTGCCGGGATTATGAGGGCCGTAGCTATGAGAATATGGCCTCTGCGCCATGATAGCGCACCAAATGCTCAGAATCTTGAGCAAGCCCAGGACGCAGTCCATTTCAGATGAAGTGGTGTAGTCGTTATAATGCCGGGCGACTAATATATGGCCCTGACATGTCATAATCAAGCTTGATGCTGGCTTTTGGACTCAAGATCCGATAGCCTTGAGCTTTTCGAGCCGGTCTTGGGTGGTTTTGTTGTTTAAAGATGTGAAAGGTGAAAGGTGACTGGTGACAGTCCTCTTCACTCGCCTTCCTTCACAGCGCCGTCCGTGTCAACCATGAAACTCGGGCTCCAGTACTCCCACTCGCCTTTGGTCTGCTTGTCAACCCACAGCATCCCCTCAGACATGAGATCGTCGATAACCGTCTTGCACCTGGCCGTCTCCCACCCCAGGTTATCCCGCAGCATCCCAACACTCACATACCCAAGCACCTGCACCGCCTCCACGACAGCCCTCTGGTCACCGCTCAGCTCCCTCGGCACGCTCCGAATATACTCCTTCCGCCCGACCTGCAGCACGGCATAGCTGCCCCCCAACGGCTTGAGCGTCTCGACGGCGCGCCGCACGTCGTCCTCGGATATCTCGCTGCTCCCTTCCATCCTCCCCTTGGACACCCGCTCCGTCAGCTCAGCGAGGCCGATCAGCCCGCCGTTCTCCCCGCGCGTGACGCCGCACACCTCCACCACCCGCACGGCCAGCTCAAAGTAGAAGTCGTTGACGCTCTCGCCGAGCAGCTGGGCCCACAGGCCACCACCGCCGCCATTCTCGTTCGTGTGGCTCGAGGCGAGGGGGTCGACGCCGATGACGCTACACATGCGGGCGAACTGGGCGCGGAAGGCCGGGTCGGAGCGGATGTCCTTGGCGTGGGTCTGGGCGAACTGCTGGAGGAGGGAGCGGAAGACGGAGAGCTGCGTCGAGAGGGCGTCGGCGTTGGAGGCGCGCAGGTTGGAGCCGTGGGAGGCGAAGTGGGCGGAGGTGAGGCGGGAGCGGTCGAAGGCGCCGATGCCGACGCCTTTGCGGGACATGGCGAGTGTTTTCTTGTGTTATGCCTGGTCTGCTGGGGAGCAGACCCTGGGCTGTCGTTGAGATTGTCTGATGGATGGTGGTTCAACCTTGGTTTGAGGCGCGGGGGAGGGGACGGGTGGCGGTGGGTTCAGATCGAGGTTGGTGGTGCGGAACAGGGCCCGGGGCTGTGATAGGGGGTACCTCTTTACTTCGGTTTTGGCTCCTGATTACAGGGTATCTGCATGTACTAACTAACAGTGATGTAACCACCTCAGGTGCACGGCATCCTTCCGCTGTCCAATATGTCTCTGATCTGTTACTTTTGGTCACAATGAAACCAATTTATCTCACCAGACGTCACGCAAGACTAAGCATGGTTTAGACGTTAAGGTTAAGTGTCTGTCCGACCAGCAATTCACCACGTAAATCCCTTTGAGCAACGGTCTGCCATTAGTGCCCAGCCGGACCAAATCTAACATTAACCAAGCTGCATTGACAAGTCCTACCTAGCTGGTTTCAAGACTGGCCCAACCCGAGAACCAAAGAGGGCTGAAGTACAAGGGTTCCATCGTGTTGATCACCAAGTTAGACGAGGGTCCAGATTCAGCTACAACAGCCAACTCTTGCATATCACCTACCCTTCTCTCTCCCGCCGTCCCTAAGATCATCGGCACTTCTCCCAGCTAGTGGGAAATCCGCCTCGCCAACTCCACTTGCCTGATCGTCTTTCCTTGTTTAAACTGGGGGGTCGGCCAATCCATCGTTTCATCGCCGCCACATGTCGAGCCCTCGCCATGCAGATTATGGAATGTAGTGCGAGCTGGATCAGAGCATCCAAGGCATGACTTCAATTACGTCGCTGCAGGACCGAAACTCGGGTCCACAGCTTCGAAGGGTTTCACCAAGTGTGATTCGTCCGAGCTGATCGAGCTGAAAACCACAACGGGAAGCTCAAACCACAGCCAAGATGTAATAGCTGCATGTACGACGGGCCGGTGACGGTATCTCGACACTTTGTATGCAGTCTAGACTCTAGCCTATTTGTATAAGAAGGGGCCTCCTTTCCTTGTCCAGAATGGCTGTCTCTATCTCCTCATCAAAGAGCAATCCAGCATAGATCACAAAAGACAGCGTCATGAAGGTCAGCCAACAACGCTCAACTTACATGTACATGTAGAAGAGCACTCCATTTTAACAACCACCACAGTTCTCCGTCGTCCTCGTCACGATCCTCGCCACCGTCACCACCGCCGCAAAGCTCACCCAGAGCCAGGCCGAGACCCGCCTCAAGGCCGCGGGCATCACCGCCACCTCCTCGGGCGGCTGCACGAACCGCAACGTCGCGACCTGCACGTCCTACGAGCAGGTCAACGAGGACACCGTCCAGGGCGCCATCACCCTCAAGCGGGCCTGCGGCTGCGACATCACCGTCACGGGGGGCACCGAGACGGGCCACGCGAGCGGGACCTACTCGCACTGGAACGGCTACAAGTTCGACTTCCGTAAGGGCTCCGGGATCGACGGATACGTCAAGAACACCTTCACCAAGATCGCGAACCGCGGCGACGGCTACCCCCAGTGGAAGGCCGCCTCTGGGAACATCTACTGCGTGAGTTGAGATTCATTCATTTTTGTGCTTACATACGGTGACTTACACTATATATGTCTAGGATGAGGGCAACCATTGGGATGTTACCTTTTACACCAACGGTGGCTGAATGGTCGGCTCTGCGGCTGTGGATGAAAAGAAATGAGTTGATGACCTGGAATAGCCAAGAATAGACTTATCTTAGGTTGATTTGATTTAAGAATGCCGAGTTCTATTGTCTGCCTTGCTCTCCCTTCCGTCCCAGTTCCTCGCTTGTCCGTTTCCATTATGATCCCATCTGCGTGTGTTTCGCAGAGTCTTTGCATTCCCCATCGTGTCACTTGTGTAGAGAAGAGAGCAAGCATGTCATCACGATCAGAGGTAGGAGTCTTCTCTCCGTCTCCCCTCTTTTTTTGTTCATGTCTACGGCACCACCAGGCGCCCCGTTCTCATCTTCCCAAGAGTGGTGTGGTGATATCCTCAATACAAATAGACCAACGCATTAAAGCAAACTCGTCACTAACATCAATGCCACTTGTCTATTGTGGCCTCTTGGCACGCAGAGGCCCATCGTCGTCATAAAAAGTCGTAACCCATCCCAATATATGCCTCACCATAAAAATATACCATCAGGATAAATAATGGCCCGGATTTCTTTTTTTTATTGAGTATGGCATTGAGCCTGGCCCTCTCCCATCTCGTCGTCATCTTCCCATTCGTTGTCGAACCGGGGGTCTCCCGAGTTCTCGCCCATCTTCAGTGCCCGCAGGTTAGTAGAGTCCTCTAAATAAAAAAGAACCGGACAAAGGGGGGTTGTTGTGATGAAACTTACCTTTTCAATGTCTGCGTCGTCTTCATACTCTACCTCGTCAATCTCATCAGCCTCCACACTTGGGAGCGGCGGGGGCAGCATCTTGGCGAGAGTCTCGTGCTGAGAGTCTTCCTTCAAGAAATCATCCTCAGGGAACTCAATATCGACAATCAGGTACAAATCACCCTTGGTCTCTCCCCTCTTCATAGGCATACCCTCCCCAGGAACCTTGAGAATGTCACCGGGTCGGAGGATCTTGCCCCTCTCCCGTTCCAGGGCAATACCACGGCCGTCGAGGTGCTTCAGAACCGTCCGATTGAACCCAGACAGCGCCTCAACCAGGGAAATCTTCAGCTCAGCAGAAAGATCGTATCCGAGGCGTGTGAAGGTGTCATGAGGTTCCTCAACCAACGTAAACACAATGTCTCCCGGGATCTGATCAGGAACCTGATCGGCCTCGCCCTCCAGGACAATGTGCTCGCCCTGCATTGAGCCTCGGGGGATGTACATCTCGATCGCCTTCTTCTCCTGCACCGTGCGGTTGCCCTTGCACTTCTTGCACCGATCCTTCTCCTTGTAGAACTGGCCGGAGCCGTGGCAGTGGTCGCAAATGACGGTCTCGCGTCGCATCATGCCGGGACCGATCTGCCGGATGGCCTCGACCATGCCGTTGCCCTTACACCGGTCGCAGGTGGTCGCCTTGGCCTTCTCCTTGCCGCCGCTGCCCTTGCACTGGGTGCAGATGATCTGCTTGTTCGCCGCAAACTTGACGGTCTTACCGCGGTAGAGTTCCTCGAGCGTGACCTTGTATTCCTGCTGCTCGTCGGGGCCCTTGCGCGGCCGTCTCGGTCCTCCAGCGCCGGGGGGGCCGCCTGGTCCGCCCATGTCGAACCCGAACATCTGGGAGATGATGTCGTTCAGGTCGACCTCCGGTCCAGGGCCCCGGGACTTGTCGAAGGCGGCCATGCCGTGGGTGTCGTAAAGATGGCGCTTCTCATCGTCGCTAAGGATCTCGTAGGCTTGGGTGACTTCCTTGAACTTGACTTCGGATTCGGCACGCTGGTCCTCGGCGACCTTGTCGGGGTGATACTTCAGTGCAGCCTGGCGGGGAGACAGATGAGCGACAATTCATGCAAAATATCAAGGATTGAGTGCCTTCAAAGGTTCGGCAGGGTGTCCGGGCTCGTTCTTACCTTGCGGTAGGCCTTCTTGACTTCATCTGGTGTTGCGTTCTTATCGATACCAAGGAGGGCTGGTGGTAGTTTCAGATTAGACACATGCATTGCGGCAACGGAAGGCGTGCGGAGGATGAGGCTTACCGTAGAGATCAATGTCCTCCTCGCCGGGTGAGCCGAAGCCGTCCATGGTTTTCAAGTGAAAATAAAGTGAAACGAAAGCCCAGCGTGATCTAGAGGGTGAAAGCAGAAACCAACACGCAGCGAAGCAGGATGATGGCGGGTGCACAGCGCTGCTTGAATAGAAAAAAATATTTTGGCAAGCGGGCGGCCTGCTTAGTTCGCCCAGTTAGTGGGGGCGGTCACTGAGCAGGTGAATGCTACCTCTTGTGATAAGTGAGTTCAAGTTAGTACTAGTAGTAGACAATCTTACCCCTATACAAAAGTACATCAGATCAAGCAGGGGACGCGTGAGATTGCTGCTGCCTTAAACATATACTGGGTGACATTCCATCTCACACAAATTGTACCACCGCTCGTCTCGTCGAGCGTCGCAGCACCGCGGAAGAGGAGGGTTTAGAGGGGTAATTCAGTGCATAGATAAGCCACAGGAGCCACAGTGTGGCGCTAAAACCCCTGTAGATCCTGAATCGGCCGTTGAAAATTCCCATAATTATAAGGCCTGGGCCGTGATTGGGGATCGCCAATTGACATATGAACAACTGGAAAAGTATTAAAAAAAATTGGGCTTCTTCAACTCAATCTCTTACCTTACGGTGTTAATATGAACACACCATCATAGACAGTCTGTCCAATGGCCTCCTTACGCTGGCGCTCCAGCGTTTCTCGGAGCATAGCCTGTGCAAGATGTCATCAGCCCACGGTCCTATGGCGGCGTCTTTGTAGCAGCAATGCTACTTCTCTAAGATGGACCAACGTTACCAATTCTATTGGGGAATTCAATAGAAGGGAAACAAGCGGCTGGGATGGGCGACCTCAACAGCGCGGTTATGCAACAGAAGCACCGGCAACGGCAGCAAAGACCAAGAGAGTCTCGCGCTTAGCTTCACTCAAGAGCCAGGCCAACACTGAAGGCAAGGCAGCTGCACCCAAAAAAGTCCGTCGAATATTTGGCCAGACTCCAGATAAACCTATCAGAGCAAGGTTTGCGCCTTCACCAACTGGCTACCTTCATCTTGGATCTCTCCGGACTGCCCTTTTCAATAATCTGGTTGCCATCGCCTCGAACGGAGGCTCCTTTATCCTTCGCTTAGAGGACACTGACCAAGTGAGTCGCCGTTTCATATTCACCATTGACTCTTTCTTTTATTCTAACAGCAAGTCTCTTAGAGCCGTCTTGTAGCAGACGCCGAGGAACGTTTATACAAGGACCTCAAATGGCTCGGGTTGTCATGGAGCGAGGGACCAGATTGTGGCGGACCTCACGGCCCATATAAACAAGTAAGTAACTTGAACTTTGCTACGTATCTTCGTTTACTAATGCGTCTATACAAAAGTCTGAGCGTCTAGATATCTACAAGGACCACGTTCAGAAGCTCGTAGACAGCGGCCACGCCTATCGCTGCTTCTGCAAACCCGAGGATCTTGAAGCGCAGAAACGCCGTCTACATGAAGCCGGCAAGCCAACGGTGTACCCCGGCACATGCCGCTCCATTTCTGAATCAGATTCTCAGCAGCGCGCTGACGCCGGGGAGTCTCACATCGTCCGGTTCAAGGGCGATGCCTTTGGCAACGTTTCAGTGCGTGATGCCATTTACGGCCCGTTTCAGAAAAAGGATGTAGAAGAAGACTTTGTCCTATTGAAGACGGATGGCTTTCCAACATATCACTTAGCCAATGTGGTGGATGATCATCTCATGAAGATCACACACGTCATTCGTGGAGAGGTAAGAAGCATTTTGACCCCCTCCTCCCGCTATATATCTTCATATATAATGCTAACGGTGCCATGTTCTAGGAATGGCTCATTTCCACTCCAAAACACGTTTCTCTATACAAAGCATTCGGATGGGAGCCCCCAACTTTTGCCCACCTCGGCCTACTCATCAATGACGACGGCACGAAACTAAGCAAGCGCAACGATAGTGCCAACATCTCAACCTACCGAGACCAGGGCTTTTCTCAGATTCCTCTCAAGATCTGGCTTGCAGGTCTCGGCTCGTCATTTTCATTCGATCTCACGAAACCTTCCCTGAAAGGCTCACAATTTCCCCGCACCTTGAAGGAGATTGCGGAGGCGGTATGATTATCTTGTTTCCATGGGTCCATTCACATTGAACTAACTTTTCTTTCTCGTAGCTGTCTTATAAGTTCACAAAAGGAGGCATCAAACTTCATACAGGGACCCTCCAACATTACGAGACCAAGTGGCGTCGATCCATCGTAACAGACCCGAGACCCGAAACCGCCACTGAAGAAGAGGCCCTCATCGAAGAGAAAGTCCTCCTCCCTCTCTGGAATGAGATCAAGAGCGTCACGAGCGATAACACCACGTCCATATTCTTCCCCAAACAACCCACCAACTCGAAGCAAGACGAGCAGAAAGAACTCGTCCCAGCCCTCAAATCAGACCAGACACGCATCCCCTACCTCCGTCGGCTGTACGCCCACAGCGCCACCAACAACCACACCATGCTCGAGGGCATGGAGAAGTTCCTCTCCTCCAACCCCCACTACTTCTGGCGCGTGCCCGAGGAGCTCTACCGGCGCAGCCTGCTGGTCCACGGTTACAGCAAGCCCGTCCTGGAAGCCGTCGACCGGGTCTGCGACGACCCCGACCTCTGGGACACCAGCGATCCCGCGCTCCTCGGCACCGAGCTCGGCAAGAGAGTCGCGCTGCTGGACCCTAAACTCCCCAGCGATACCCTCTACCGTAACCATCGCCTCGTCGCCAGGGGGGATCCCTCGCTCCCATCCCACAGCGCGTCCATCATGTTCAATCTGATCGGCCGCGAGGAGTGGAAGCACCGGATCACTACTGTCAACAACCTCGTGAAGGAGCTTGATGAAGGCGGCTCCGATGTGCGATTCCTCTGGGCCCAGGAGGCACAGAGACGAGATCCGGATTTCGTGGACGAAGTTACCAAGTCCTCACCTACGAAGGCTTAAGGGGGAACCCATGGAGACGAATATCCTCTCTCAATAATGCCGGGTGGGATCAGATCATGTATACTTGTACAATACCAATATGCCAAACCTGAACAAATTGCCAAAGCATCGTCACTGGCGCACAGGTGTGCTTGGCCCCTGGCTATGGGGCTGGACTGGGTTTTATTCTTCATCGGCCTTTGAAATGTAAAATACTCCAATGTAAATCACAACTTATATAAATGCCTATCCTAGGAGTGAGATGAGATATGACATATACTCGGGTGGGGGAACAAAGATCTACGTTTCAATACATGTCAGGATAACCTTTCACAGCCGCATTGTAGCACATTCATCGCATTTCAAGATAGAAACTGTAGATCATATACTCTGACTTGAGTAGTCTGTATTATATACTTTTGGAAAATTACTAGAATCTCGGCAACGAGACCTGCAGGACCGAGAAAGCTCAGTAGCCCTTCGATTAGATGAGAGTGTAAAACAAAAGAAATGACATGAAAATGCTCGCTGTCCACCCCACGGCTTTGCAGTCGTTGATGACGTCGTCCTCCGCTTTATATGTGTAAACAAGAGAGATAAGGAAAAACATATCGCTGATGACGCTTCGTAATGCCGTTGTAGACCTGTATGAAAACAATTGTGAAGAAAAGAGAAAAACAATGTGGCTATCATAACTCATGAGAAACAGGTGAGACTGTCGGGTATCTGTTTTTTTTATGACTCGAAAATCCAAATCTGGAAAAGAGGAATGGTTAGCTGCTTGTGTTGCTTAAAATGTTGACTCAGGTTCTTAAACTCACTTCAATTCTACCAAGCTCCTGCCCATGCAACTTCGCAATCGATTTTGCACTCGAAATTGCCATCTCCAGGTCATCTTGATCACCCATGGTGATCATATCGCCTTCAGGCATATCTTCATCTTTGATCTTAATCTTGAATCGCCTTCGCAGGGCAAACTTGTCCCTGACGCGGTCGGCAAGGTCTTGAAAATGGATGGTCGATCCGAATTCGATATTTCGAACATCATCCGATGTGTGGACCTTGACTCGGATTCGGCGCATCTCGACATTTCGGTAAGAGGGACCATTGGCTGATGAGGCAGAGGGGCGACGAATGTTCCCTGGATGCATCTCGAACTCGACAGAGCCCACGGAACCGTTGTCGTTGTCAGATCCCGACCTCTCCTCCATGATAAAACGCTGTTGGCCATGGGAATTGCCTCTTTGGTGTTGGTTGCTACCTCTCGAACTCCGGTGACCGGGAACTTGTCTGTTTTGGTAGCTGTCAAACATCTGTCCGGGGTAGGCTTCCACAGCTTCCTCGTCGATTGTCGGGGTCCTCTGCAGTAACACCGGTCCCTGATCTCTACCCCGAATGGGGGTTGCATTTGCCGATTTGGTGGCACGCACAGGCCAAAAGTCGGGAGGGCTGATTGACTTCTCGTACTTTGAATGAGGCTCGTGGGGTTGGATTTTGAGCTTGGCCAATGCAGGCTTCGGCATGCTACGGGTAGATGAGCGTCGTGAGACGACCGAACGGCCATCGATCTCTGGAGGTGGTGTGGGTGGGAACATATTGCGGTTCAGTGGAGGCTCGGACTGTTGTCTTCGGGAGTGAAGACCAGGCTTGACAAGATTTGAGGCAGCAAAGGAGATGCTCTCTGGTGGGCGATCATCTCTCCCAACCTAAAGATTTATTGTCAGAACAATCAAGGGGATTCTCGAGGGTTGTAAACCCGTGGCGATACTTACAAAGTTCAAATCCGCACCCCAGAAATTGGGTGGGTGGTTGGGGCGATCAGAGGCAGCGACTAATCTTGCCTTGCCGAGGTAGTCTTTCGTCTTGAGGTTGCGGACTTTGGCTTCGTTTGGCCTGTAGACAACGCCTACTGGGATGGAAAAGACAGTGTAACCCTCTGCCTCGTCTCTAATTGCTTCATCGATGACATTATGGTCCTCGACAACCTTTTCCTTGGCTGCAAAGCTAAGATCATCCATTCCAGGTCCCTTCTGCTGGAGGTAGATGTAGCATAGACCACGGTTGAATAGCACCTCGCAGGAGTAGAGCTTAAAGATAAGACCCAGCTGCGTGTAATCGATCGTGGCGTTACCACGAAGGTAGAGAAGGGTGTCGTTGAAGTTCACAAGAGCTTCTTCAAAGTCGCCCAAAAGGAAATTCGAGACACCTTGTTGGAAATAAGCTATCGCAAAATACTGGTCCAGACGAGTGGCTCTCTGGTAGTATTCGACCTATTCAATGGCACGTCAACAGGCTGGATCCGTTGGCGCCTGGTTCACTGCAGACTTACGGCTTTCTCATGCTCGCCGAGGGTGGCGTGGATGACGCCGATGTTGAAGAGAATCTTGCTGGTTTCAGCAATCTTCTCGAACTCTTTGACAGCATCGTCAAATTCGTTGTTGTCGTATCGAGCCAGGGCTCCAACCCAGGTCTCGATCTCCTGTAAACGAGGTCAGTCACCGTCCTCCCACTAACACCCGCACTAAAGAGCCGACTCACCTGTTTCAACGACATGATTGCCGCCATGGTGGCAACTGTAGCCGGAGGCAAGCACAATGGAACAGAAAATGGCTGAGCTCAAATATCAAAAGGGTAGATGCAGGAGTAAAAGTAGAACTGCCGCTCGTTGCACAGAGGAGTTCTTTGGGTACCAAGCAGCAGAGGCAGCTCGGCGCTTATGGGGAGAACCGGCTCTTAAGAACGAATTGATCCAAACGGTGGGATATGTTGGACAGGGGTACCTTGTCCCGCCCCTGCAACCCTGTGTGTCTGCAATTGGCCTAAAAGATGGCCGTGTGGAAGGGTCCAGCCTCTTGGCGGGGAAGTGCTGGGCGGTTGCAGCGTGCAGCTGCTTGGCTGTGATGCTCCATCATTGGCTTCACACGGCGTTAAGACTCCTTGTTTGAAATTTGAGCATATTTTAGACCAGATTCCCAGGCTTCGGTTACGGATGCAGATCACACAGTCTCAACTCTTCGAGAACAATGCATCGGCCTGACGGCTTTAACCCTAAATATTTCCCCCTTGTGTACACGGAGCCTGAGTCTTGTGGCAAGTCTTTTGGGGCTCCGTGGCGGTTCTCCCCCGTTAGTCCTCAGATTCCCCCCCCCCCAACATTGTCTGAATCAAGATCAGACGATAGTGTCAATTAGAGGGTGGAAAGCGCAACAGGCCATGGCACGAATCTTTACCGAGAAAGTGACAGAGTGCTTGCTCGTGCAGGAAGTGGCTACATGATCCAATCGCGAGAGGCAGGTAGCGGCACAGCTAGTGAGTCCCCGTGTGCTGGGAAGCAGACCGAGCAAATGCTAAAGTGGGTAAACGTTGGTGCCCATGCTAGTCAATGAATGCATCACCTCTGGACGCATAGACAGACACTCCGGAGTGTTTTCTGAGAGAAGTGCAGGGGGTCCCGGATTTCCACAAAAGCCAGACCACTAAAGAAGTGGTGAGGAGAGATGATCTGATAGAAAGCCACTTGATGCCATTTTTGGCTGCGGGTGACGGCAAACTGGCCCGATAACATGGCGAGTGCAACCCTTCAACCTGTTCTTGTCGACGCCCCTACTCTTGGCTGAGAATAATCGAGCAAGTGGCTGCGATCCAAGAGCACTGAATCATGAACATGGCGTTGTCAGGGCTCAGACCACAAAATTTCCTCAGAATGCCGAATTGGTGACCACTAAATGGCTGCCGTTGAGGGGTGTGAAGGAAACTACCCAACCTGCATATGCAGTCCCGCCCCCTCGCCAGCGCCTCATTGGGTGTGATGTGTCGCAGACCAGGGGTTGGGCGCGTGCATCGGAGCGAGTCGTGGATCTCGTGGAGTCACGCCCAATTGTTTGCATAGCATCCGTCCCATGACGTTTCGCCATTAAGCGCCCGCAAGGGTGATGCGCACCAGCAGCTAGCACCCAGCCCTCGCTCCGCCAGACCGCTGGCTAGCACCAGCCAAGTGCCATTTGCTATGGCTCGTGTGGCCACGGGGGAGGGGACGAAAACGAATGAGCAGCCTATTCGAGCTTGCTTTCCTACATTGCGATGGTTTCTGGCGTGACTTTTGGCTGGGTGATAACGACGAGGAGACATGAAAATTGTGACGATGCTAGTGCGAGTGTGGATGGGGAAATCTCCAGCGCCCGAGCTTTGGTGAGGCGGTGGGAGAGGGGAGACAAGACAAGACACGGCAAGTGCAACCTACGTGTAGAGGTCTGATTGCGGCTTCCCTCTGCGGCCTTGAAACACTAACCAGCAGTCAATGCAAGGAAGGAGGTGGCTTTGCCCGATCGGCAGGCACAATGGATTCCCTCGTGGTTTCTTGGGAATTAGAACCAACACAGCGCAGCATCAGGAAGCGACTGAGACAGAAGCTCGGGAGAAGCCAACGACCAACACACATGAATCTTGTCGGCCGATCTGGGCCAGCCCGGGCTCGCCCCACGAGCTTGTTTGGGAGAGGGCATGCCCGATGCAACCTCAGAAGGCAAGAAATCCGGTCTTGCGGCCCTAGCAGGCTAGCCGCGTATACCAACGCACCTCGAAGGAGTCACAAGCTTTGGTCCGTCGAGCCTCCTTTCTGGTTCCCAGTCTTTGGCAGGGTTTGCTTCACCCAGCGAGCTGTCACTATCCCAACATCACCCACAACTCCACACCCACCTTGATGCCAAGATGCTCACCGTTGGTCTACTTACATAGCCGCCCAGAGATCGTGATATCACATCCAGCAGCACGTGCGATACCAAGTTGGGCCAATTGACCCAGGAATCATCAGATAGTCTCTGAGCCGTTTGCCGGTTGAGTCGTGCCTAGCCTTGGCACGATCAAGCCACCCGGTGGTTTATGTGATATCGATGCTGTCCTGCAGCAAAACTTAAACACCGCATCTTGGAGTTCTATTTTTACTCTACTCTGGCAACTCCAAGTTGCATCCAATGGGACATGGTTCGCATCACCGTGGGGGGAGCATCGATATCATATGCACAGTTCCCCGAGCTGCCATACCGCTCATCATTCGTTTCTCTCATCACTAACTAGTGCATCCCTGTATCTGTGACTATTCGTCACCACGTCCCCATCGTCACAGCATCCCCTTGGCGACCTCATCCTTCCTCTCCTCCCAGAGGGTCTTCCCGGTACAGGAGCAAACAGTCTTATCGTTGTCCCACACTCCAGCGCTTCGAGCAACCACGCCAACAACTGTGTCGATATCGTTTTTCAGGGATTGGGCATCCTCCTGTTTCGTCAAGACCATGGCATGTCCAATAGCCTCCCATATTTGAAAAGGGTAGTCGACAAACGCAGCTCCCCGCCCATCTGCGCCGACTTCTAGTTTCCCGAGATCACCCTTTGCCTCGCCGCTAGGGCCCTTCCAGACAGGTCCAGTTGATTCAGCGCCATCCTTAAGATCACCGTATTCGCGGATGGAGGCTGAATATGTCCCGGGCGAGACACCTCTCACAGTAAGGTCCACGAGTGTGCGCCCAGAGCTGACCTGCACCATCCGCGCTAACCCCCTGACCTCGCGGTTTGTTCCTTCATGTGCCGTTTGTTTCTTGTCTGTGTATGTTTCCAATATGCTGACCGCAGCACCTACAAGGAATCCATGGTGTGAGTAGCTGATCTACACCTTTCCCGGTTCATGTTGTCACTAACTGTCTGAAGTGCCTGAGCCTCGTAGGATGGCGTCACGTCCCGTTGCCTGAATGGCCTCAACAATGGCCGATGGCGCAGCTATACCCAATGATTAGTCCCGGTAAAGGCCCCCTATCATGGCCGAGTTGGCCGGGTTGCAGCATAGAGTAAAAATAGCCGCAACACATGACCTACCAGAGCCTTCAACGTATATCAGTTGATCCTTGAGGTTGCCCTCAACCTTGCTTATACCACCCAACTTGAGAACTGAGTCTGAAACAGACTTTACACAGCCATCGCATGATAATGGGACAGCAAATTGTGTCTATTAACGTCATTATAAGCCATTTACCGATGAAGGATTCCCATTGACAGGTTGTAAAGAAGTAAAGTGTGTAGACTTTGGCAACTGGGCGCTTACCTGAAACGAGTGATTGACAGTCATGATGTCTAAACGAGGTATAATGTCAGCTCACGCCTCAAGCCCTCGGTTAAAAAAAGCAATGTTACAGACTTGATGGAGATGATTCGTTGTTTAAACGATGCGCGCTTCCGTAGCGATATGCAATGAATCCTGTGAGAAAAAAAGATGAAGCAGCAAGAACTCGAGGCGCTGTTAATTTCAAAGCCATTGCGGAGTCGAAGGCAAGCTGTGGGGATATCGGCTGCACGATGCTTTGAAATCCATGGCAGCAGTCGCATTACCACACCACGATGGTCGGCCTACCTTAATCGATAAGCAGCTCGCCCTACCTTGACCGAGTCGCGGTCGTCGTGCTGCGGGGGGCATCTCGGAGCTCCGCGAAATCAGGTGACCCGGTATTTAACGTCTGCTTAGTCATTCTACATACATCGAAACTTTCGTGGTGGCTTATCTTGGTGAAGCACCGGCGAACGTCTATAGCAATAATCGATTGAGCCTTCACGGGGACAACGAGGGGAGCTTGAGGGCCAATTACACCGCTACGCCTTTCAATGAGGAACTGATCCCTCTCCGACCTCAAATATGTCTCAAACCGTCGGTCTGGTAGGCTCTTCTTCGCCCACTCTTGATCCGCACATCATCAGCTAACAATGGATTGATTCTCAAGACCCGGCTCGCCTACTCTCGAGTATGGCATCATGTATCCGCCACAGCAACCCATCAGAAGCTCGCCCCCCCTTCTATGGAAGCTCCCCCCTCCCTCGGACGCCTCGCCTCTCGAATCGCCGTCATCCTCATGGGCAAGCACAAGCCCACCTTTGACCCTTCAACCGACTGCGGCGACTACGTCGTCGTGACGAACTGCGCGGCTCTGCACGTCACGGGTCGAAAGATGTGGCAGAAGACATACTACAGACACAACACGCGGCCCGGCTCGCTCAAGTCGCTCACCATGGACCGCCTGATGGAGAAGCACGGGGGCAGCGAGATCCTGCGCAAAGCGGTCAGAGGCATGCTCCCCAAGAACCGGCTGCGGGACAAGCGGTTGGCGAGGCTCAAGGCTTTTGAGGGCAAGGCGCACCCGTACAAGGACAATCTGATCCGATTTGGGGGTGTTGTGGTTGGGTCAGAAGGGTGGGAGAAGGCGGCGGAGAGGATACGCTACAACGACCAACAGAGATTATAGGTCTGGATATTAGGGGGGAGGAGGTTGTGCGATCTGTAGGGTGAAAATTATTGTACCATTTGTAACATAAATACGAGCATGGAGTAGGACGGTCGTCTCTCAAGCAAACATCATCAATCTTCGCACTTCTGGCCAGCATTAAAGGGCAGCTGGCCCTGGTCACCAATTGATAATGGAAGAATCAACGTAAGTCCAGATCATATACATTGCTAACAAACTATTTACGCCCTAGCTGAATTGCGCTATCATCTCAAAACATGCATCATTCTCAAATGTATCTGGCTACCCTCTACAGCTTGGATTTGATGGGTTGGTCGCTAGAAGCGTCATTGTTAGAAACAGAGAAACAAAATAATGGCACGAGAAACAATCACTTACCCGCGAGACACTGAGCATTTGATGAGACCATTGGGGCCTGACTGAGGAACGTATACCTCTGCATCCGTGCCCGTGTTCTTGATGCCCTTGTGCCAGCTCAGGTCTGTGCAATCGTTAGCGTAAGTCTTATAAGATCATGGCGTAGTTGATAAGGGATCAGAATCTCACCTAATTCAAAGTAATGCTTGTTGGGGAGAGCGTATGTGACGGTTTCCGTCTCCGGAACAGCAGCGAGGATGTCCTCGGACATCTTGTACATGGTGGCTTGGACACTGGCGCTGTCGTCCGTAGCAAACCGCTTGAGGGTGATGTCACGGGCCGCCTCCCAGGCCTTATCGAACTTACCCACGCTGGCCTTGACGGCCTCGTGAGTGCCAAACGTCTTCCACGTCCAGCCAGCGTCCACGTCGGTGGAGAGAATCCGGTCCCAGGTCTCGGGCAGAGTGGTGTACTCGTCGCGGACGAAGCCGTGGAACGCAGACCCGGTGCTCTTCAGGACGCTAAGGCCGACGATGCTGCTGGTGATGGAGATGCCATCCTTGCGGCTGATGGTGGCCTCGACGTTCCTGGTCTCGCCGGCGTTCTTGACGAAGCTGTGGGGGTGAGGCTTGCCGTCAATGGTCATGCGCTCCCAGTGGTGGGTAATGATCTTGACATGGGCAGCGTGGATGTGGCTGTACTTCTTGATGAAGTGCGAGCCCAGGAGAGAGGCGAAGTACTCCGGGGGTGTGACGGGGTTCTGCTTGGCAAGCAGGTATATGGTGTTCTTGACGGAGTCGGTCGCGACAACGACGCTGTTGTCGGCCTTAGTGTAGGAGGTCTCGATGTCACCCTCGAGCAGACAACAGACGGTCATTTCAGCAACAGTCTGGACACCAGTGGACTGGTCGCGGTGGACCTTGTAGACGCGGACATTGTCCTTGCCGTAGCGAGCAGCGGATACGTGAGGCATGGTGAAGAAAGAGTTTAGTATGGCACAAAGGTGCGATGGATGAAGAACAATGAAGATATATTATTTCACGAGGGTTGATCTCAATTAGGAGGTGCCTGACCTGGGCGATGACCGAAGACGGAAGGAAGAGCTGGCTGGAATGATAAGGATGATGAAACAAGCTGATGGTTGAGACGGGGAGGGGAACCAGCGGATCTTTATATCTGGTCGATGGCAGCTCTATCTACAGATCGTCCATCTCCGGTGCTTTGACAGCTGCAGCTCGAGGCGGCGAACGCCCGGACTGGCAGCTAGTTCTGGTGAGCGTTGAGTTCGGAGCCCGCCGACGCCCCCATGACGGGAGCTGCCACCACCATTATTCGTGGGTCCGCAGCATAAATCCGGGACTCAGGAACCGATTACTTATCGAGGTTTCCAAGACGGACAGGTCCTGTTATCTATCAATGCCGTATTTATCAGTAGTTATTGGCGAGAGCAGCCGAGTCGCGATGCAAGGAGCTGGCTGACCGAGCTCTCCCAAGTCTTACCTGGGACAGCAGACCTATGGCTGGCCGTGTAGTTACCCACCTGCGAAAGCAGGTCTTATCTGTCCTCCCGTGTCTTATCTTCACCTCTAATCCACGTTGTACACCTATCGAACCAGAGCTATGCCGCGAGAAGTGAGGAGGAAGGCCACCGTCAAAGAACAAGGCCCTGCAGATTAATTTCCTTGGTCAACCTCTCATTCCTTCCACTCTTCGCTCTTATTAATCTTTAAGCAAGGACATGCGCCCAAATGCTAGGTAACGTAAGGTACAAACTGATACTACTGGTGGCTGACGGTAAAGTATGCTGAACAAGCTCAAGCCATCTTGGGATGGTTTTACTTAAATTCCATTGTTCTGTGATGGGGAGCGGTGAACATGCGGCTGCCTGTTCATGAATAATTATTTTCCCTGTTTATTTATCCCAAATATTTGCCCTGAACCCTTGTCGACGTGAGGCTGGTAATTTGCCTTGGCACTCCCGCTGTAAGAATCCTTCCATCGCGCTGTCTCAGATGCCCCAGAGCATCCTGGAGAGTCCCCAAACGTGCGCACTGGTAGCGCTGTAACACCACCACACCCGTCCATCCATCCCACCATCGTAGGGCAGCTGTTCCCCAAAGCAGACTTACGCCATTTCCCACTGGCGACAACTGCTTCGTCAGCCCAACAAACCGCCTGGTGTCATTCTTGCTTCGCTGCAAAGACATCGGCTCCCAGGCTGGCAATTCCCGCGAAGAGCATCCAACGTCATCGGCAAGAGTCCGCCGCAGACCCCCAGTTTCGAGGTCCTGCCCCAAAGCGGACACGGTCGATTGGGAGAGTCGGGTCCAACCTCTCCGCCTAAGACAACTGCCATCGCACCGAGCCTCAGTCCCTCGACCTTTGCCCGCTCGAGCTTAAGCGCAAGGTCCAGACTATCGACGCCAAGAAATCCCCTCACCTCTACAACAAATCCTCCTGTTCCTGCACCAAACCCCGCGAATCGAATGGGTGGCCTCTGACTCGCGCCAACCAAGTTCTTGCCTCAGCCTCGATCTATCAAGAAGCTATCACGCTTGACCTAGGACACGAATGCACCAAGGCCGCCTCAGGGCATCGTCCCATCTGGTGGGCCCCCCGTTGCCGTCGCCATGGTGGGTGGCTCCTCGATACCGAGCCAGCAGAAGGGCTTGAACACCACCCCCCAAGGCCCATCATCCTACAAGTCGATCGCACTGGGTAGGACCAGTTACGAACGCGATGTAGGGGCCGTATCGGGAGGCTTGCAGCCTCCGGGCAACTCGTCGGCAAGGCCTACGCCAGGGTCTTCGCAGCGAAACGCCAGTTATAACACCACCTTTGCGCCTGGGAGTTTCAGCTCGGAGCTACGCAGCCAGATGAATAGCCGTGCGGGGAGCAGGGCAGAGTACGGCTCGGTATATCCTGGGAGCATCATGAGCAAGGTGGACGAGGACGACATCGAAGCCTTGGTAGAACAAAACATTGCCTCCCTCAAGGATAAGCTGAACCGAGAGATGAAGATCAGGGAGGGCAGCGAGAACATGCTCGAGGCCATCAATGCCAAAAAAGCCAAGCACACCAAGGACCAGCGGCAGAAGGTGGAAGCGGAACTGGCTGCGAGCAGCACGCGAATCAAGGATTTACGACAGAGGATAGCGGACGCACAGCAGAACCGAACAGTAGCTCCAGTTCCTACGACGCCAACAAAGCATCGAAATAGAGATCCGGTCAACGACATCCGCTCACCCCCCAGCGCATCGAGGTCCGGTGCCGGATCTGATATTGAGGAACTGACTGAGAGCCCAACGTTCGCTCTGACGGAATTGCTCCAGTCCCTTGAGGTTGAGGGTATGATGCCCGAATACTACGTTTCCCGTGCTAACCAATTTGTGGACTTGTTCAAGCGACATCCAACTCTCAAGTACGATTTGGTCTGGTCTGTTTTTGGGCTACGCATGCAGGTCATGCTCCTCAGTGAAAGTCGTGAGGTTGCCGCGGCTGGATACCGCATGACGAGATATGCCATTTCTGATCGCGCCTCACTGAGAACGATCAGGAGCCTCAATACCGATTTTCTGGTCGTGCGATCTCTGAGCAACTACAGGAAAGCGGACGTGGAGAGAGAGCAGGCTCTCAAGTTTGTTCGTGCCTTCTTGGATGTTAAGGATGGAGTAAAGGAGTTGTCCCGAGCCATTGTACGGACTATTGTTGCCGTCGCTGAAGCTGGAGAGGATCGTCGAGGTAACCCAGTTGCCTCAGAGATGGATGCTGATCGGCTACGGCCGATTTGCATCGAGACTCTCGCCGAAATCCTGGTACGAGATCCGCGATTGGTGCTGGCCTCGGGTGGCATGAGTCCCCTCTCAGAAGCACTATCTGAAGGAACCTACAAGGTTCCTGAGAGTATAGCGTCCGCTTTCATGTTTCTCCTTGACAGGCCAGAGAGGCGGAAGTACCTGCAAGCTGGCTATGGTCTAGATTCCCTATTCACGGTTTTCACGGACCATTTGACGAGTGATGAAACGACAATGAAGCAGAACTCCAAGGCTATTGCGGCGTCTTTGAAATCATGGCCTGGACTCATGAGTCTCTGTATGTACGACTTCCGGGCCATTCGATCCCTTGTTGCAAGTATGATCCTACCGAGCCCTCAAACTCGCGAGACTGTTCTCGACTTAATGTTCTCCTTATTAAGAATTAAGCCGCCGGCATGGGCGACCTCGTTCTTGGCAGGGCGAAGATTGACCACATATGGGAGAGTTGCAAACCTCAAATCTTCAAATAATAAAGATCGAGGCGCGGCCCTTTATCTTGAAGAAGATGGTGGTGAGCAAAATTTCGTTGAGCACTATACTGCCCTCCTTCTCGCTGTCCTCATCCGAGCTGGACTCCTTCGCAGCTTGCTGCAGATCGCACAAACAGAGGAAGATGACATGGTGAAAAGAAAGACAACTTTGCTAATTAGCGAGGTCTTGAAACTGGCAAGCCGGATATTACCACCCTCATGGAGTGGAGAGCTGCAGCTTCTGCCTGAATTATTTTCAGCAGCCGCGAAAATCAATGACGAGGGCCACTTTCTCGCGTCTGGGATTGTATATCAAATCAGCAGCGTCAGCCGGACCTTGTACAGAAGTGCCCCATCGGGTTCGAACCCTGGGGCCCTGCCATCAAGTAACAGTATGAACGACCTCACTGCTCTTGAAGAGCAGCCCAAGGCGAATTCCTCTGTTGTGTTTGATGATGCATCGTTCCGCCAGCTGCTTATTGACACTGGTGTGCTCAATCATTCAAACTACACAAAGTGGAATTGGGACGTCGTATTGAGAGTGATTGATGGGCCCCTTCAGGTTGGTAAACGACTTGAAGAGGCCATCAAGGCTTCCAAGTTCATGAAGCGCCTCATGAGTTTCTACCGTCCCTTCAAGTACCGATTCGCGGAAATTAAAAATACACGAAGTACTCAGAAGTACATTAAGGTAGGGTGTGCGCTGGTACATTCGCTTCTCCAATCTCCTGAAGGTGTTCGGGTGCTGGCAGACAGCAAGCTGTTGAGGCAAATTGCAGAATGCCTCGCCCAGTGCGATCCCGTAAGCCCCCCCCCCGGTCCTCCCCCAATTCTTAATCACAGAACATGTCGACTTATCAATGTATAGACAAGCGGTTTGACAGCGCAATACCCAATGTTCTCAAAGGACAGGCTTGTAGACACGCTGTGCTCGGGATATTTCTCAATGCTGGGGGTCCTGAGCAGCGATCCCAAAGGTCTCCAACTTCTCGAAAGATGGCGCATGTTTAACATGATGTATCACATTGTAGACCTCAAACAACGGCCAGACCTGATCAAATTATTACTGTCGAATTTCGACTACAGCCTCCAGGGACACCCTCGTGTCCTGTTATCCAAGGCTTTGACAGCTGGAACCAAGGACATGAGGATACATGCTACCAACGCCCTTCGAAAATATGCGATCCGTTCTGTACCATCTGTTCACAGCCAAGGTGGTATTAGCGATTCAAAATGGGCGATCCAACTCCTCGTGACCCAACTATACGACCCCGAGATCGACGTGTGTGCGACAGCTGTCAAGATCCTCGAGAATGCGTGCAACCGGAAAACTTATCTTGAATACATTGTTGAATGCCGACCGTCGCTTGACCATCTAGGAGAAATCGGTGCGCCTCTCCTTCTCCGATTTCTATCTACATCAATCGGTTATCATTATCTGGACGGGTTAGACTACATCAGCAACGAAATGGACGACTGGTTCTTGGGACGTAATGACACATATGTACATGTTATTGAAGCGAGTTTAGCGAAGTCTTTCTTCATGGACTCGGAAGAACAAACGAATCGCACGGGGCTGTTTGACGAGAACGATGCTGACCCCGATTTTCACGAAAGCCACGTCCCGCCACACTTTTACCGGGAGCTTACACGTACGCAAGAAGGTTGCAAATTGTTACGTGATAAAGGCCACTTCGAGGAGTTTGCTAGCACCATTAACAGCTACGGGATGCAATCAGCAGACGCAGAACTGCTCACCAAAGTCAAAGGTTGCCTCTGGGCTGTTGGTAATGTTGGCTCCATGGAACTGGGGGCACCGTTCCTTGAATCATGCAACGTGGTTGAACAGATTATTGAGATCGCGGAGAATCACGAGGTCATGAGCTTGCGTGGTACAGCGTTCTTCGTTCTAGGTTTAATCTCGCGCTCAACCCACGGTTTGGAAATCCTCGCGGAGCATGGCTGGGAATCCAATATGACACAAATGGGCAACTCATTGGGTTTCTGTATCCCTACCAATCTTTCCAAGCTATTTTCGCTGAAGCCGTGGAAGCACGAGAGGGCCAACAACATCACGCTCCTGGATACCCAACGTACGATACAAGAAGCGCCTTCTGCACAACCAGCACGACCGCCATTAGAGCCATCAGAGATGCCGCTGATTGAAACTGAGGCCGAGTTGACGCAGCGTGTTCAAGAGCTCATTGTTGACTTGGGGAATATGGTTCTTTACAAGAAGACGCTCGCGGAGCTCCAGAAACTCAAGCGACGAAAACCCACGGCCTTCCAGAGCACCAAGTTCTTCAGGGAGATTATGGGCTTTATGGAATACAACCACTACCGCCTCGGCGTACGGAGGATGGTGATTGATCTATTCGACAAGAGCGTCATGAGGCAGATTGTCTTTGAGGATGACGACAGCGAGAGTAGTGAGGACGACAGGACCAAAGATCAGGTCGGCGGCATCAGCGATCGCGGCGCTCGCACTCGCGCTGGCGGCGAGGAAGGGAGTAGCTCCGGGGACGACCGAACAGAAAGGCAAAGGAGCGTCAGCGAGCCCATGGAATTCAAGCCGGACATGGGTCGGTCCCGGTTGAGGCGATGAGGTGGAAATAGAAAAGGGGGGAAGCGAGTCATCTACATACCATATTAGGATACCATGATAGAGAGCATAAGGAACTTCAGGTGTCAACAGAGTCGCCCGCTGATCTTGAGGAGTTGCAAATAAGGCGAAACAGATGGATATACATCTTCTATATTACAATATTATGTCAAGTAGGGTGCTGTGTGCTCCCCAGTTGTACACAAGTCTGAGCCATGTTCTTGAGCCAAAGACTATTGATTGAGTACTGAGACGATCCCCCACGTGTCCATCACGCATTAAAGACACAGAAAACCTGCGCCAAGATAAAAGGGCCGTGGTCAATGGAGGTAGGACAACAGCTGGCAATAGGTATTACGTAGTGACTAACTTCTTACTCACTACCAGTAATTTTTCCTAGTTTTCAAAGCAGCTTAAGTCATCCTCCTATAAATTACGTATTAGCAAGTAGAGAGGCCCCCATCCATGCTGCTACGGCAGGCACCAAGACAGAGGGATGATTCTATATATCGGATGGACCCACCACCAAACTTTGAGACTTGAGGCCTATTTGTGAAAGGCTAAAGAAAACAAATAATAGAGCGTTCAAGAGCTTTAGCTGGAACATCAACAATCCTCCAAGTTATCCAAGCAAATATACCACCGCCTCCCATTAAGAATTCGCATGCGGTAAATCCCACACAGCCGATTTCGCAATGGTCCAGGGACGGGTGCTGGTTGTGGCCGGCTCGGACAGCTCTGGCGGGGCGTAAGTGCATCGCCTGTCATCCATCTTGCCAGCACCCCGTGCATCCATCTTTCTTTCATGGAAGATGGATTTCCTCTCAGTTTTCAATGTTCTAGTACGGGGAAGCTCGGTATAGGAGAAGTGCTAACGTCATCAAAGTGGCCTCGAAGCCGACCAAAAGGTCATCGCCGCTCATGGCTGCTATGCCATGACGGCGACCACGGCCTTGACGGCGCAAAACACCAAGGGCGTCCAGAACATACATGTCATCCCCCCTAGCTTTGTGCAGAAGCAGATCGAGGCCAGCCTGGACGACATTGGTGCCGATGTGCTGAAGACGGGTCAGTAGGCGGCCTAAACAATCGAGAGCACAAACGCTGACGATGCAGCTTTTTTGGCGCCACAGGGATGCTAGCGACGGCGGAGACGATAGAGATGGTGTCGAAGGTTGTGTCAAAGTATCAAATTCCATCTTTAGTGATTGATCCGGTACGTGAGAGGCGATCTGATCATTCGCGTATTGGTCAAAAAGGAGCTCAAAGCTGAACTACGTCACTATCACAGGTCATGGTCTCAACCTCGGGCGCTCAGCTCCTGCCCCATCAGGCTGTCCAGCATCTTACGAAGTATCTGCTTCCTCATACTACAGTACTGACTCCTAACATTCCCGAAGCGAAGCTCATTCTCTCCGAAGCCGGCCAGCCAGAACAAGAAATTACTTGTGTGGAAGATCTGGAGGCTATTGCTCGCAAGATCCGGGCCCTTGGACCAAAATGGGTGCTTGTCAAGGGCGGGCATCTACCTTTTGGTAAGGACCTGAAGATTGGAGAGAAAGAGGTGGTCGTGGATGTCCTTGTTGGACCTGCGGACGAAGATGTGGTGAGAGTCCAGAGCCCCTATCAAGAGAGCGTCCATACACATGGAACAGGCTGCTCTCTAGCTTGTAAGTTCCTGACCTTTGCAAGTTGATATCACATGTGAAATCTGACGGATGACTCCCAGCTGCAATTGCCTCGGGTCTTGCCAAAGGACTTGATGTTCCTTCGGCCGTGAGGTCTGCATGCCGTTACATTGAGGCCGGTATCAGGACAGCGCCTGGGCTTGGGGGCGGGCATGGGCCGCTCAACCACTTTCACTCTACTTACACTCTCCCCTTCTCTCCGTAAGGAAGTTCCCTTTGCTACATTTGAACAATAAGCCGTATGCGTGGCTAATGGTATATGCAGTGGCTACTTCATTGAGTACTTGCTCAACCGTCCCGATGTCAAAGACGTATGGAAAACATTTCGTCACCACCCGTTCGTGATGGCCATGGGAGATGGCACTCTTCCTGTTGATTCTTTCAAAGGCTACATGGTGCAGGACTACCTCTATCTAGTACGCGGTGCTTCATGCAACATATCTTTTTGGAGATTACTGACCAAGAACAGATCCAATTTTCAAGGGCAAATGCGTTATCAGCATACAAGTCCAACAATCTTCCAGATATCGCAAGAGTACGTGTGACAGGCCGATTTCATGGGACATGGGAATACTCACAGGATATTACAGGCAGCACAACTTGTTACCCACACCACTCACGAAACGAAACTGCACATCAAGTACTGCGAATCTTTCGGTATCCCACTTGCACAGATACTAAGTACTGAGGAGCATCAAGGTTGGAACTCGCGATTCCCTGTCCAGGTCTCTTTTGTACATATTGCAAGGATCGCTAACACGCAGCGCAGCGTGTACGGCTTACACCCGTTACGTTCTCGATATTGGGCAGAGTGAGGACTGGCTTGCACTTCAGTTGGCCATGGCGCCCTGTTTTCTGGGCTATTTCGCCGTTGCCGAGATGTTGCGCGATCATCACAAGACGGTGCGTGAGAACAATACGTACTGGGATTGGATCGAGTTCTACGTCGGTGCAGAGTATACAGAGGCCGTGAGACTCGGTTCCGGTAAGTACCTCTTCTACCGAAATCTTTGCTGAATTTACGTTATTTTTATTTTTGGTGAAGTATGTATGCTAACATCGGGGTTCCACACAGAGTTGATAGAGAAACATATATTACTTCAGTCTCCGTCAAGGATAGAAGAACTTGTCAAGATTTTCATCCACGCTACCAAGGTAAGGTGTTTTCTGATCAATCTAGCGAACTCAATGTCTTCAGTCAGGCTAATGAATATAGATGGAAATTGGTTTCTGGGAGATGTATCCCTCCAAGTAATCGGACGGTGGTTATAGGGAGCCACGTGATGGCTCAAATTTTTGTGAATGAATCCTAGCAAATGGGGCTTCAATGAGGCTTAGATGGGGGAAATGATAGACACAGTGATAAGTATTACAAACTACAATGGGCGCAATGCGGTGCAGACGAGCCAATGGCTCGTCTCTTGGGCCCAGGTGATGCTCGTCATCCCCAGCCCGTTCATCCAATACTATTGATGTTGTGCGGGTCTGCGGGTTAGATTTTATCGATAAGCCGACAAAAAATATTGATCCTCCCCGAATTCCAGATGACACAATAATGTGAATGGATACCTACCGATTGAGCAGGGCAAAGCTAGTGGATGAGGTCAAGCATTCAAAAGGGTAGGTCTAACCCGCCGACATCATTTCGAGCGGAGACGAATTCCATCATCGCGGCAAACCCTTGATTAGAGCCTCGCGGTGAAAACCCGTCCGGGCACCTGACTACAATGAGCGGCACGCGACGATTTCCTGTGTGAGGTGCAATATCGGCATGTTTAATGGGTCTTCGGAGTTGGGCCGGACACACATGCCGAAATTTCATTTCAATCTGCACAAGTTTTCGATGGTGGTTCCCTAGGTATAAATACGGCTCTGGATCGGGAAGCACGGCGAAATCGCCGGGAGCCAGTCTCTAAGTGCAGAGATCTTAGGCCAGTACGCCGGGCAGGGGGGTGTTGGCTAGCAGCTTCGGATTGAAGGACGGCTGTACGGAGATGGCCATTGCTCTGGTTATCATGTCGCTGGACCTGGACCCAGCAGTGAGCCGCAGGAGACGGAGATGATGCACCTTTATCTGTGTGCTAGCAGGTGGGCTGGGCCGCCCGCGCAATCATGAGACGATCGTACGGTTCATTGAATCTTGGAGATGCTCTACCCCAACCTTAAAGCATCGATTAGCACATGGGGAGGCATGCCAGATGGGACGGATGACGGGGAAGTATCGGGGGATTTGGATGTCTTTACTATGAGGGCTCTGCCCGTGCCCACAATGCGGTTTACCTTCAGGCTCTATCGGCCGCACTAGCGCCTCATAGCTCCCTGCCTGTGCCCCCAGGGAATGATATGCCTACAACACAAGTAGTGCTCCTGCGAAATGTTCCGGACAAACGGGTTTTGAGTTGCGCAGCTTCTGAGACTTGGGGATTAGCATGTGTTCCGGGTCACCGGCTGGGGCGCCGGGTTCTCCCGGCCTCCAGTCCAGCTGAGTGAGATCGCTGGAATTAATGTTGAAGGAAGGCTGGCGGTGTGTAGAAGCAGAGATCACAGGTGTAGGCGTCCAGCAATACCTGATGTGTGCTGCCGCTCTCGTACACAGAGGTTGCAATCAATCAAATTCTGCCGAGGCGCTCGAGACGAGGTCCCATAGCGAGAGATTTACTGTCCTCCCAGCCCTGAAGGTCCCCGGAGACCCGCTAAAACAGCTGCCGCTCACAGTGGATGAATGCGCTATAAATTTTAGGCGACCGGGAAAAGAGCACAATAGGGGAGAATGTACGTACCGGCCGGGGAGCCACTGAAGCACTGATAGGTTCCAGACGGAATTCCACTCGCGATTACGGAGTGGAGGGTCAAAAAAAAAAGCCAGTCATCTAGGTAGGTAATAGGCAGCACCAACCCCGAGCTCCCCAGCTTCAACATTACCGTTTGCGCCCCGGGTTCCAACAGCACCAGCCTTCTTCCTCCAAAGGTTAATCCGTGACCACGAGGCTCACCCGTTTGACCTCTGTGTATTTTGGCCTTGTGCATTGCCTCCCCGTTTGCTGTTGCTCTTCAATTGAGCTTTAGCGCAATGGTCGCTGCCGCCAGGACATCCACCATGATGCCCATCCTCTCCAGAGCTTCTGGCCAAATGGCCAGTCGCACAATTGCCTCTCGGGCTCTATCGACAGCTTCGAGGGCTACTCCCCGATCTCTCACGAAGCCCTCGGTGTCGATGAAGCTGGCCACCACTGGCCGTATCGCCTTCCGCAGAGCTTACGCCAGCGAGGCTCCCAAGCCCAAGCCCAGGCCTGGCAAGATTCGACGAACCCTCCGCTGGACATGGCGACTCACATATCTGACCTTTGGTGGCCTTTTGGGCTACACTGCCTGGGTTATCTACGAGGATCGTCACCCCCAGGATCAGGTCAAGCCCGACCCCAGCAAGAAGACTCTCGTCGTCTTGGGTAAGTACATCAATGAAATGAATGATTCAAACTTTCTACTGGGCAGAAGCTGACGGGCGCACAATTCTAGGTACTGGCTGGGGCTCCGTTGCTCTTCTCAAGAACCTCGACACCGAGAACTACAATGTCATCGTCGTATCACCACGAAACTTCTTCCTCTTTACCCCTCTGCTGCCTTCATGTACCACTGGTTTGATCGAGCACCGCTCCATCATGGAGCCAATCCGCGCCATCCTACGCCACAAGAAGGGCTCTGTTCAATACTATGAAGCAGAGGCCACAACCATTGACCCTGAGCGCAAGGTTGTCAAGGTCGCCGACAATTCCGAAGTCAAGGGCTCTATTGCAGAGAACGAGATCCACTACGACATGCTCGTTGTGGGCGTTGGTGCGGAGAACTCTACCTTTGGTATTCCCGGTGTGAGAGAGAACAGCTGCTTCCTAAAGGAGATTGACGATGCCCAGCGCATTCGCAAGAAGATCATGGACTGCGTCGAGACCGCCGCTTTCAAGGACCAATCCGAGGAGGATATTGACCGCCTAATGCACATGGTCGTTGTCGGCGGTGGTCCTACTGGTGTCGAGTTCGCCGGCGAGCTCCAGGATTTCTTCGAGGAGGATATTAAGAAGCTGATCCCCGAGATCAGCCCTCGCTTCAAGGTCACTTTGATCGAAGCCCTTCCCAACGTCCTTCCTTCTTTCTCCAAGCAGCTCATTGAGTACACCGAGAACACTCTCCGTGAGGAGAAGATCGACATCAAGCTCAAGACTATGGTCAAGAGGGTCACCGAGAACACTGTCGAGGCTGAGGTCAGCCGACCCGACGGCACCAAGGAGCGCCTGACGATCCCCTACGGTCTTCTCGTCTGGGCCACCGGTAACACCATCCGCCCCATCATCAAGGACCTCATCTCCCGCATCCCCGCCCAGGCCAACTCTCGCCGTGGTCTCGCCGTGAACGAATACCTGGTTGTGCAGGGCGCTCGCGACATCTGGGCCGTTGGTGACTGCGCTGTTGCCGGATATGCCCCCACTGCCCAGGTCGCCTCCCAGGAGGGTACCTTCCTCGCCCGTCTGTTCAACAACATGGCCAAGACCGAGTCTCACGAGGCCCGCATCACCGAGCTCAGCACCAGCCTAAACGTCCAGCCCGGCAACGCTGCTGAGACCGCCCAGGAGATTGAGTCCCTGGAGCGCCAGCTCAAGAAGATTCGCGATGTCAAGCCCTTCAGGTACAGTCACCAGGGAAGCATGGCCTACATCGGTAGCGAGAAGGCCGTCGCCGACGTGACCTGGTGGAACGGTAATATCGCCAGCGGCGGTAGCTTGACTTTCCTCTTCTGGCGAAGTGCCTACCTTTCCATGTGCTTCAGCAGTAAGTCTTATTCTAACGTGCTCTGATCAGAGTTTCAGTGTTCATTATGCTAACTATTCAACTCAGCCCGCAACCGTGTCCTGGTTATCGTTGACTGGCTCAAGTCCAAGGCATTCGGCCGTGATGTTTCTCGAGAGTAATTTGAGGCGCCGTGATATCATTTAAGGCTGCCTTGTTCTAGTAGTGGAGGGAAAAGTTGTTGGCTGTGTGTACTCTAAAGTTCTGGGGTCGTTTTTCATTTGGTCATGGCTCTGGGTATTTAGAGGTCGGGTGTTAATCGGCCAGTTGGGAGCTGGATGTGATTTTGAATTGCTTTTAGATTGGCTTTTCTTTGTTGTGCGTGTATCTCCTTGCATCTAGAGGTGGCTACTATACCTTACTGCCCTGTATGAAATAAAGCATGTGACTATAATTGTTCGACCTGCGTGTGGTAACCTTGAATTTCAGTACCTTCTAAATTGCATGTGCTATCATTACGTTCACTTTGCATTATGAGAAATTCTGTCTCGCCATTTCCTCGATGACGAACCACAAGTTGCAGCCAAAACGTGTGGGGGCTCAGTCGCATGACACGACTTCCCCCAACCTGACACCCAATAGATACATCGCTATTCTCTTTATTCCAGCGCATGCCTTGATTTTCCTAAATGATTCTTGTGACACGGCTCGTCGAGGTACACTCTGACACTCCCAGCAAGTATAGGGTAGCGAAGGCGGTGAGTCCGATAGCTTAGATAATCAACATTCTCAGGGAGGTACGTACCTACCAGATCGGGTTAGTGCGGCACCCTTGAAATTTTTCTAGCGGCAAAAAAGCCTGGGAAGGTAAGACTAAAAAAAAAGTATCTGGGCCCTTTAGGCTGCCTTATCCCTACTAATCCAAACAAAAACTTTCTGTTTTTCTTTCCTTCCTAATCCCATCCATCGACCCTCTCGACTGCGCTCATTCATATCTTTGTCAGAGGGATTTCATTTTGCAGATACTTGAAAAACAGACGCGCTCAGGAACACATTACCCTGCATTCTCGCGTCTCGCTCCAAATTATCCGCGATCATGTCTGGTGGCTATAACGAAGGTAGCCGCGGTGGTGGCTACGGAGGCGGTGGTTATAGCAATGGCGGCGGCGGTGGTGGCCGCGGTGGCTATGGAGGAGGTGGCTACGGCCGTGATCGAGGAGATCGCGGTGACCGCAATGGATACGGCGGTGGTGGTGGTGGCTATGGCGGAGGGTAAGCTCATTCCCTAGATGCTTGTCGCGATGTGTCGTCAACGAACCCCATCAGCGTGGGGTCCGATTCATTGATTCCACACATCAGCGATAAGCATCAAAACACATTTGATTCAATGCACTGCTAACTCTCTGACAGCCGAAGCAATGGCTACGGCAACGGAAATGGCTACAGCGGCGGCGGTGGCGGTGGTTTCGGTGGAGGATACGGTGGTGGTGCTGGCGGCGACCGAATGAGCAACCTCGGTGCCGGTCTGCAAAAGCAAGAATGGGGTAAGTTTGGCCGGCTCTTCTTTGAATTCCATTGTCGTCCCCAACACATCAACTAACGTACGATGCAGACCTATCCACCATGCCCAAGTTCGAGAAGTCTTTCTACAAGGAGAACCCAGAGGTTGAAAACCGCTCTGATGCCGAGGTGGAGGCTTTTCGCCGCAAACACCAGATGACCATTGCTGGCTCTGATGTCCCCAAGCCCGTCGAGACCTTCGACGAGGCTGGATTCCCTCGCTACGTGATGGATGAGGTCAAGGCTCAGGGTTTCCCTGCTCCTACCGCCATTCAGTCACAGGGTTGGCCCATGGCTCTTTCCGGACGCGATGTGGTCGGTATTGCGGAGACTGGTTCTGGAAAGACACTTACTTATTGTCTTCCCGCCATTGTCCACATCAACGCCCAGCCCCTCCTCGCCCCCGGAGATGGACCTATTGTCCTGGTCCTTGCCCCCACACGTGAACTGGCTGTTCAGATCCAGCAGGAGATCACCAAGTTTGGGCGATCCTCCCGCATTCGCAACACCTGCGTCTACGGTGGTGTTCCCAAGGGTCCTCAAATCCGTGATCTTTCTCGCGGTGTCGAGGTGTGCATTGCCACCCCCGGACGTCTCATTGATATGCTCGAAGCCGGCAAGACAAACCTCCGAAGAGTTACCTATCTTGTTCTCGACGAGGCTGATCGTATGCTGGACATGGGTTTCGAACCCCAGATCCGCAAGATTATTGGTCAGATCCGCCCCGATCGTCAGACCCTGATGTGGTCCGCCACCTGGCCCAAGGAAGTCCGTGCTCTGGCGTCCGATTTCCTCACAGATTTCATTCAGGTCAACATTGGTTCCATGGACCTCGCTGCCAACCACAGAATCACCCAGATTGTTGAAGTTGTCAGCGACATGGAGAAGCGCGACCGCATGATCAAGCATCTGGAGAAGGTCATGGATGACAAGGAGAACAAGATTCTCATCTTCGTCGGCACCAAGCGAATTGCCGACGACATTACCCGATTCCTTCGCCAGGACGGATGGCCTGCTCTCTGTATGTGATCACCATCGTTCAACAATATCGTATCAGATATGCTAACAGTATAACTATAGCCATTCATGGAGACAAGCAGCAGAACGAGCGTGACTGGGTCCTGGACCAGTTCAAGACCAACAAGAGCCCTATCATGGTTGCTACTGATGTTGCTTCACGTGGTATTGGTAAGTATACGAAGCCCCCCAAACCCTCCCCCAAATACCCCCATCCATGGCAACTTCCAGCGACTATGTGCTGTACTTTACTCTCGTATCTAGGGGCTCTCTTGACTGCGCGAACTTGCCTGATATATTCGTGTCCACTTGGATCTCCAATTTTGGGGCCTTGATCCGCTGTGTAGCTTGGTGACCTGCTATACTCGTATTTCCATTCTTGTACCTGATTCACTCACGTGGTACGAGCGTGGAGGTGACATCTCTTGATCCGATCAGAGCTGTCCCCCAAGGATCCCTCAGCCCGAGGACACTGTTGATATCGCCTATCCTAGGATGGCATTTTTCGCACTTGGATTGCCCCAGTCTGCTATGGAGTGAATGTGTGACGGCAGTACAATTTCAGCTGCTCTGATCTCCTGCTCCCACGCTGGAACGTTGCTATACAAACCCCATCTTCGCCTGCTAACCATATACTCAAGATGTTCGCAACATCACTCACGTGTTGAACTACGACTACCCTAACAACTCGGAGGATTACATCCACCGTATTGGTCGTACTGGACGTGCCGGCGCCAAGGGCACGGCCATCACCTTCTTCACCACTGACAGTAAGTTTACCACGTCGCAAGACTCGTCATGCTATTGGACAAGCTAACAAACTTTGCAGACCAGAAGCAGGCTCGTGATCTCGTAAATGTCCTCCAGGAGGCCAAGCAGAACATCGATCCCCGTCTTGCTGAGATGGCCCGTTACGGCGGCGGTGGTGGTCGCGGTTACGGTGGCTACGGACGTGGACGGGGCGGTGGTAGAGGTGGGTTCCGCCGACGTTGATACTGTCAAACCTCACCCGCGAGCTGACCGGTCTTCAGCCAACGCCAACAACATGCCCATTGGCAACCGCAGATGGTAAATCGGCGAAAGCTGCGACAAGGCGACCGCAGCCTTTTCGACCTTTCGCATTCCAAGGTCGCCAACAGCGCATTTAGACGACTGGCTGTTGCAGGTTCCTTGGCTGACACAAGACTCATGGTACCCTTCGGCGTTATATAGAGGACTAGTGATTTTTTGGGGGGTTATCAAGAGTGTGCTCTTTGCTCACTCACGTCATTTTTATATTCATCGACTTTTTTTCTTTGTTCTAATGATTTCTTTATCGTTCAACCAAATAGACTGCCATAGGGGATATTCCAGTCCTTGGGAGGCTTTGCTTCCTGTGTTAACTCAAATGTTTGAGTTTGTTTGTTTGCATCTCTTCTTGGCTCTCTCTCGGCTGAGGGAGATATCAAAACGGTGATGGAGGTCAGTGCTGGGCTAAGGTCTTCAAATCCACGACAGTCTCAGCGACTCCAGACACTTGGCACCTTCTGATTCATGTTCATGAACGGTCGACCGAAGAATACTCGCATCATACCCGGCAGCCAGCTCACTACCTATGTAACTAGCACTGATAGAAACAAAAAATACACTGAGCTGCCTAAGAAATCCCGAAGTTCCCACTCACACTTTACTTTGCAAGTCATTGCGTGTCCCGGATCCTCGTAGCTCTGGTGTGGTTACTAAGTGGATGAGCAAAACGTGGCACACCAAGACTACCAGCGTTGAGTTGCGGTAAGATATCGAGAACAATGAACCTAGCAAGGAACAAGATTTACACATTGATCGTTTTCCCGTTATGGTGGTTGCTTGTCAGTCAGTTTACTAGGTTCATGACTTATTCCATGTTCTGCATCCTTGTCACGATTATGCGATTGCCCCGATGCGACGTGTGCTCAGGACCAGCAGGTCTGAAACTAGACCGGGTTGTGACACACCTCGTCAGAGAGCATGAGTCGGTGCGCCTTATCACTTGAAGCTCTCGACTGGGCTGGACTGGGGGGGAACGATGTTTTTTTTTTTTTTTGCCAGGTCTCACCTCGTCACATCATTGGGCATGACTTCTGGACCGCGCTCCCAAAACATGTCTCGGGACTCTGCTCACAGTCGGTGAACCACACACACAACACACACACCCACTCTCTCTCCTTTTTTTTCTTACCCACCAGCTGAATCATGGGATCATGACGCAAGGTACGTGGGAGGCAACTCAAGGTGGGAGAAGGGGGGGAGAGATCCGTGAGTAGCCGACATTCACCCTCTTGCGAATGATTCATGGCATGTTTCGCGATACGAGGAGAGATTTCAGCCATTATCAGTAGTAGCATTTACGATATCCGAACCGCCGTCACTTCCCCTTCGGTCTGGAACCATCCTTGGCTTTCTGGCCCCCCTCCCTTACCCCATCTCCTAAGGGGGGAATTTCCCACGGCAGTTTGATCCGAGAGCAATATGGTAAGACTATCAAATGCGAGTAATGGTCACGACATTTGCCAAATAGCGCGGTGGCTCCCCTTCTAAACCCCGGACCGTAGGTAGTTTCCTTTTCCAAGTTCTAGCCTGCTAGCACAGCACGGGCGTGTCTAATTAACTAGGCGGTAGGGCTAGGATGGACGGGCGTTGGGGCGAGGAAAAAGGCGAACCGGTCCTCTTAGGCTACGGATGGGGGCTTTGGTTTGGGTAGGACTCAGCCTTGAGGGCTTGGGAGGAGAGCGTTAAACGGGTAGAAAGTAGGGTCAGGGTTGGTTGGTTTGGGCCACCAAGAGAGAGCAAGAAAAAACGTGCTATTGCGACGCGGTCGCTCTTTTGGCGCTGGTGTCAAAGTGTCACCTTTAAAACGGGCGCGCATGAACTCCTACCTAGCATTAAGCGTAGGGATCGGGCCCCCCTCCTTGAGGTAAACCCACAGGCGTGGTTCTGCTTAGCAAAGAGAGGTCCGGGATTTTGGTGGTGCGCTGTCTGGAGTCAGGTCCGGATGGCACAGCAATCTAATTTACTAGTTTGCAAAAATGTACTTGGGCTGTCTTCTCTAGCGCAATCTGAACTACCGAGCGAGTTGCGCGTGGGTGCAGGAACAGGATCACCTAGCACCGCGGTAGTTGCATACAAGTGGTAGGGGGAGGGAGTTGCATGCAGATTCATGTTGGCGGGGGGGATTGTTTGATACACGGAGGGCAGGTTTCCTCCCCCCCCCTCCCCTCGCTGGGGGCCATGGCAGTGATGTGATCAGCAGATGGAGTCCCAACGAGGCAAGGTATTCCGATAGCTGGATGGCTGACCCAAGCTGCTGGGTGATTGGAGGCTGGGGGCAGGACACCCTCTGCCGCCTGTCCAGAACCAAGGTGTGAGATGGAGGGATAATTTGGGGTGACCTACCCTGGGTACATTGCGGCAGCAGAGAGACCGCTCGCGCGCGCGCCAGACGCAGATTGATGCAATCAAATGTCCTATATCCAGCGGCCATGACCACCACCCTGGTGCTGTCTGTTTGGGGGGGCCCATGAGCCAGACATGCTAGGCTCTCGTGAGGTAAGGTCTCGGGTAGCTGGAAGCCGGAGCGAAAGCACAGGGCTGCGGCTCGACTTACCTAGCCTGGCCACTTATTACAGTAAGAGCCAGCATGCCACGGACTCTTCCACCAGCACAGGACAGGACTGGTTTCGCTGCTAGTTCAAGGGGTACATGTAGATGCTAGGCGTAGGCCATGTCGGGGTCGGTTCGACTAAGACTAGGCGAGATCTAGATTTCCAGCTGGTATCAACTTCAAATTTCCCTATAAGATTGAACTGCCATGGGCACACGGAGAAGGGGGGAGAAGCGATGCGGATGCAGCCGGCAGAAGGGAAAATTTAGGGAAAATCACGACGATGATGCTCTTCGATCCACCTGAATCGAAATCCGAAAATCATCGGTGGAGAAAGTAAAGTTGGATTGGTAAAAGGGAAAATGAGATGATGAGAGAGCGAGAGGGAGGAGGTGACTGGAGAGAGGAAGGGGGAGAGAGATCAGCGTATTGGATGAGGGGGGGCGTGCGGATGCACGGACTGTCTGTCTGGCTTCTGGAGGGGCCATATTGGATGTGAAGTGGATGTGTCTGCCTGCCAATATGAAGCCGCGAAAGCAGCCACACACACGCGCACACACCCAGGATGAGGGGGCGCACATGGTAGCGAGATCCAGAGGCATGCGGGTTGGATGAGGTCGGCGAGGAGGAGAAGGTCGCAGGCAAGGCAAAGGCAACCGAAGTCGGTCGCGGCCCACAGCCAACAATCACACTGCGCTTGGGTGCGGTGGCATTACTGTACTGGGAGGCTAGAGGCTACAGACTAGTCGAGACCACTAGCCCCAAGACGGATTAGAGAAGGGTGTGGGACCAGCGAAAAAAAAGTCAAAAACCTCTTTGTCCGCGTGCAGTGCAGTTGCACGGTTGCACCCAGGACGAGAGATTCGTTAATCTGGGTGGGGACCTGGGTGGGTGTTGGGTACCAAGAACCAGGTACTCCGGTACTCTCAGTCTGTCTGGCCGACTTCTGGCTGTGCTGTGGGCGGTCTTGCCACCGAGTGTGTCTTGCACACATCATCACTTTGACCTCACCTCAGCAGTAGAGACGGGCGGGCGGTGCAGTCTGTCTGAGCTGTGCCCGACCGCTCAATTGCATTGATTGTTTGATTAGCTCATTAATGGGAGGGATGTCACGGCCAGACGAGAAAGAAGAAAAGAAAATGACACCAGAGGAGACCTCCAGCTCATGTCCACGGAGGCAGGGGTTGTGGGAAGCAAACCTCCTGAGAAGAAGAAACGAGAGCAATCTAACACTCTGTCATGCCCTGTCCCTGGGAGCCCTCCAAAAGGCGCCCCTCCCCGGAGCCCTCTCCGTGCTGATGCACCGACGTCCGAAGAAGTGGCTAGTTCCATTGATAATCCCACCAGATCCAGGGAAATGCTCAGTCGGAAGGGATCATGGGCTGTGGCGATGACATGCCTTGGGAGAGATTTGCGCGCTACGGCGGGTCCCAACAAATATCCTGAGGCGCCCTATGAGCCCTTCTGGGTCTGCACTAGACCCGGTGCGCCGTCTCGTCCCAGTTGGCGATCGTACATGCGTAGGCGTAGCGCTTTCGCAAGTCCCCCGGAAAGTTGAGGAATGGAATCATGTTCCCCATCTGGCCGGAACTCGCCAATCTACGTGCTAACTGTTCTTCTATGAGCTTGCGAGGCACTATTCCAAGAACGTAGGGAGACGCCTGGGGGGGAGGAACGCACGAATAGAGCATGTGTATGCCCTGCTCTGTACGCGTAGATTTAGATTTGTGATCGGGCCAATAGAGGGTGAGGGCATCTAGACAACTCGCGAGCTTCTTCGCAATTGGGTTCACCACACTCCGCGAGTACCCCCGAATCTCTGGCCGCTGGGGTTTTCCTGTTCGGCCCTGCTACAAGTTATGTGCCAGCTTTCATGCTGGGTCGCTTTTGAGGTTAGATCGTGTACAAGAGAAACCCACTTCGATAGAGACACCATCCGGGCGAGATCCGAATAGAGGGAAGCGAACACTTCCGGATTCCCGGTAAGCGTCTAACGAACCTAATAATTCTCGCAGAGCCATTTATTGGCAAGTGGGGGAGCCCTTCATGGGGCAGATTGAAGCTCCTCCAACCTCAATGACTTTAGCCATCGATTCGATGGCCAGACGAGAGAGGTGGTTGCAGCAATAGAGGTTGGGCCTGCCAAGACTGGTGGGCTGGATGCAATACAACTGGAGAAAGTCTCTCGTCGATTACGTCGGCGGCTGGCTCTCCTCAATGGAAATCCCTGGTCCCAAAACCCAGGCAATAATGGGGGTTGGGTGAGCTCGCATCCAGCATTGGAGCTTTGGAAAGCCCTCTTGAATTAGCCTACCTCCTTCCCAGAGTGTCGGGAGAGACAAGCTTGGCATTGCACTTTGGCGAAGGGCGACCGCGCCGGACGGTCTGCCGCCTCCTGCTAAGACTCCGGGCTTTGGGGATAAGATTGTGGGCTAGCCTTAGGCCAAGGGGGGGATGCAGACAGCCTAAACATAACCTCTCCATGCCGCAAGCGCTGATGGCGAGCCAGGGCTGTGTTCGGAGATATCACCAGGCAGCTTCTCAAGGGATCATGCTCCTCATCCTGGGATGGGCATGGCAAGCAAGCATTCCAATTGCGGATGGCCAAAAGTCTGAATTGAGTATGCCGAGTTCCAGAACGACTGGGAGGT